ATCATGCAGGATTGTTGCATAGGTACATACATGGCAATGTGGTTTGCTGCCTCCATCTCCCCCCCACCCCTGGCACCTATATCTGGCATTTCTCCCATGTTATCCTTCCCCAACCTCCCTACCCGATACTATCCCTCTCCTATTCCCCCCCAGCAGGCCCCAGTGCGTGATGCCCCCTCCCTGTATCCATGTGTTCTCATTGTTCAACACCCGCCTATGAGTGAGAACATGCAGTGTTTGATTTTCTGTTTTTGTGTCAGTTTGCTGAGAATGATGGTTTCCAGGTTCATCCATGTACCTGCAAAGGACACGAACTCATTGTTTTTTATGGCTGCATAGTATTCCACGGTGTATATGTGCCACATTTTCCTTGTCCAGTCTATCATTGATGGGCATTTGGGTTGGTTCCAGGAATTTGCTATTGTAAACAGTGCCACAGTGAACCTACGTGTGCATGTGTCTTTATAATAGAACGACTGATAATCCTTAGGACATATACCCAGTAATGGGATTGCTGGGACCTACTTTTACTCCCTGCGAGCATTGCAGGCTGCCTTCAGCAATTCCTACAAGTGTAAGGCCAGAGTGTGTGCGCGGCAGGAAGGCGTTTTAAGTGAACATATTCAAAGTGTGGGGTCAGGCTTTCAAGGTGGAAGGCAACCAGTTAGGATCTGCGGAGGAGCGTCTGCTAGATGAGAATAACATGCTGATCCCCATTGCCGTGGGCGGCAACCCGGTGGAGCTGTTCCTCCTCCTCCTCTTCGCCCACCTTACCAGCAGGAAGAGGAACCACCCACACGGCGGCAGGCGCAGAGCTGCAGGAGTCTCTGTTCATTTCCTGGGCTTAGGCTGCCGAGCTGCAGGAGTCTCTGTTCATTTCCTGGGCTTGGGGTCCTGAGGCGGAGGCACACTTCCCGACAAACGTTTCTCAGATGTGCTTCCTCAAATGTGATGTTCATCTCGCAGCATTCAGTATACACAGCACGGTAGCTATTGAAAGACAGTGTTAATTTTGCAACTGGGTTAAATATTTTGCTAACTGGTTAAACATTAATATTTACCAAAGTAGAACTCTAAGGGAGCGGGGGAGTGCTTCCCTAAATTAGCACTGGCTCCATTGTCCTTCGACTTTAAATTTTCCAGTGTTTGGTTTCTTCATTCTTTACTCCACTCAGATTTAAGCCTTACAAAGGGAAAGTCTCTGGCCTTTGTGCTTAGGACGAATGCAGGCCGGCTCATCATTAGGCTGACATGCTTGCGAAATTACAAGCAGTAGAGAGGGGAAACCTAAGACAGAAGAACTCCAAAGATAAACAGGCCTGACCGCCTTTTAAAGATGAATTGAAGCACTCCAAACATTTATCTTTGGACAGGATGGTCCTGGCCACACACATCTGGCAGCCACGTTCCAGCGAAGGCACTTGGTGGGGTGTCCTCAGGCATTTCCAATGCTCTGCTACTCAAGGGCTGGCACTTTTTAAAATATGAAAATGGGTGTTATTCTTATTTTTTTGTAAAGTGATTTTCAGTCTTCTGTTGACATTCATGGTGATCCTGTTTTTGTGGTGTGTACAACACGTGTTGCTCTCTACTGACGTGTCTGCTGCAGCTTGGGAGGTTGTACACAGGACCAGCTCACGTAATGCATTCCCTGTAACAATGCTAACAAAAAGTCTCTTTCTTTAAAAATGAAAGAAAAAAAAAGAAATGAAATATTTTAGTGTTCCAATGACAATAGCATCAGATAACATAAAATACTTAGGAATAAATTTAACAAAGGTATACGTGACCTCTCTGAAAGAATATCAAAGAAAAAAATAAATATGGAAAGATATAACTATGTTTATAGGTTAAGATCAGTATTGTTAACATGTTCTCCCCAAATTGATCTATAGATTCAACACAATCCGAATCAAAATTTGAACAGACTTCTAGAAACAGGCAAGCTGGTTCTCAAATTTATATGAAAATGCAGAGGACCTAGAATAGGCAAAATTATCTTGAAATAGAAAAATTTGGACAATTCACAGTATCTGATTTCAAAACTCGCTGTAGGGTTACAGTAACCAAGCAGGGCGGTATTGACCCAAGAATAGACAAATGGGTCAGTGACCTGAATAGAGAGCCCAGATATAACCCACACATATATATATATTTTTTAAATTTTTTATTGGATTTTAGGTTTTGGGGTACATGAGCAGAGCATGTAAGACAGTTGTGTAGGAACACACATGGCAGTGAACCCACACATATATTATCAACTGATTTTTCAATCAAGACGCCTCTGCCAATCATTGGAGAAAGGCAGTCTTTTCAACAGATGGTCACAGAACAACTGAGTAAGTGTATGGGGGAGGGGAACATTGCACCGCCACTCACACCACATACAAAAACTAATCTGACGAATCGTAGCCCTCAATGTAAAAGCTAAAACTGTAAAGCTTTTACAAGAAAAAATAAGGGAAAATCTTCTCAACCTGAGGATATGTGAAGATTTCCTAGACAAAAACAGAAAGCACTAAACATAAAATAAAATTTGATAAATAAGACTTCATCAAAAGTAAAAGTTCTGCTCATCAACAGGCACCAGTAAGAAAATGAAAAAGCAGACAGATTTGTATCCAAACTACGTAAAGAACTCCTACAAAGCAATAACAAAAACACTAAAACCCAGCTTAAAAATGCTCAGAGTACTGAGCAGATGCTTCATAAGGGAAGCTATGCAAAGATGGGCAACATTATTAGTCATCGGAGAAACGCAAGTCAAAACTACGAGATTTAGCTGGGCATGGTGGCTCAACACTTTGAGAGACCAAGGAGTTTGAGAGGCTTGAGGCCAGGAGTTCGAGACCAGCCTGGCCAACATAAGGAAACCCTGTCTCTACTAAAAATACGAAAATTAGCTAGGCCATGGCCCCAGCTACTCAGGGTCTAAGGCATGAGAATTGCTTGAACCCAGGAGGCAGAGCTGCAGTGAGACAAGCTTGGGCCACTGCACTCCAGCCTGAGTGACAGAGAGACTGTCAAAACACACACACACACACACACACACACACACACACACACCCTGCAAGATTCCAGTTCACCTTCTCTATAATAGCTAAAATTTAAAAGACTAATAACACCAAATACTGTCAGTGATGTGGAGAAATTGGAACTCTCAGACATTGCTAATAGGGGTATAAAATGGCAAAACACCTTTGGGAAATTGGCAGTTTTCTTATAAAGGTAAATATACATTTACCATGTGATCCAGATTCCATTTCTAGGTTTTTACCAAGAGAAGTGAAAACACATATTCTGGAATATTGATGGTAGCTTTATTCATCGTAGACCCAAAGTAGGAACAACAGAAGTGTATCAAAATATCCATCAGTCGGTGAGCAGAGCAGCAAACCGGGCTGCATGCACACGCTGGGGGACTACTCAACAGAGAAAGGAACAAAAGGCTGAACATACAGCAACAGAAATGGATGTCGATAACATTATTTTGAGCAAAAGAAGCCAGGCACAGTTTTTTGTCTGTGTCATACTATAAGAACAGGCAAAACCAGTCTACGGGGACAGAATCCAGAACCGAGTTTGCCTGTGAAGCAGTGGGATGGGACAGACCAGAAGTGGCAGGCAGAGAGGTCAGAAAGAACGTTCTGTGTCTTGACTGGGTGATAGTCACATGGCTAGATACATGTATCAAAGCTGATTAGGTAATACATGTAAGATCTGTGCATTCCACCCTTTTTTTCAATTAAAAACTAAAATAAAAAGATGATCTCCGCTTCTGCCACTCGAGCCAGCCCTCCTTGGAGCACAGGGCACCTGACTCCCCCAAGACATCTTCCAGGCCATGCCATGACCACTGCAATGGAGAGAAGCTATGGAGAGGATCTGACTGCACAGAGGAGCGGGAGGGCATCGCCAGGGGATGGGTCCCGCTTTGAGAACGGTGCATTCTGGTTTGACATAAAGCCTATTTCCTAAAGAAAGCAAAGCTTTTGCTGCCGTCGTCTCCCCCTGTTTCTCTTCTAATAACTCTTTCCATTTCCAAAATCAAACAAGGAAAGTCAGAAAGAAGTAAAGGCAATAAGAACAAATCCTGGACCAACTGCAAAATGTGGCTTTCCCAATGCCATGAACTTGTGTGACGGACAGGACAATCAACAGAACCTCAGCACCCCAAATGTGCCCTCACAGCAGCCTCGTGCAAGAGAGGCCACGGGTCATCCCGATTTGCAAATGAGAACACGGAGGCTTAGAGAAGTGAAGCAACTTGCTCGAGAGCACACAAGTCAAAAGTGACTGAGCCGGGTTTCAGTCTTGGTTCATCTAGGCCCAGCCATGCCCTTAGCCACTTCTGTGGTACCTGATGCCCTAGTTTATACAAAAGAAACCAAGGCTGAAAGATGGCAGCTCTGAAAGGAAAGGGAAGTTATGAGAGGGTGCCAAGGCCCGGGCAGGGGTGGCAGTGAGGGAGAACGGTGCGCCCCTTCTCCCTGGGTGTCTTTGAGGGCAGAGAGGTTTAAGCAGATTGTGTATGTATACACGGGCTCCAGAAGTTCTTAGCATATACTCAGCCCCAACCTCAACCCTGTAGGAGCCCTAGAGCCAAGGTCTGCCTTGGCACTGCCTAGTATAGCCACTAGCCACATTTGCTAGCTGAGTCTAAATTTATGTTAACTAAAATCTGAAACTTCAGTTCCTTGGCCACACCCAAGCTCCAAGTGCTCAATGCTGCACGCAGCTAGGGACTACTGTGATGAGCAGTGCGGGTTTAGACCTTGATCCTGAAATCCAGGCCACACCCCGAAGGGCTGCAGTTTGCTGGACCTCAAGCGATCTGCCTACGGGTGTCACCAGGATGAGGTGTGTAGTGGTGAGGGAGGAGGCAAGAAGTTGGGGGGCACTGTGGAAGCGATGAAGACCCCAAGAGCCCTAGGGAGGAGGTGGGGGCTGGAGGCCACTCTTCTCTGCCATGAGCACTCCTTCCTTGTCTGCTCTTTCAGAAGCGAGTTCTTTTCCTGACCAATGACTACTTCTTCACGGACATCAGCGACACCCCTTTCAGGTGAGGGACCCAGGCTTTATTTTCAGGGGGTGGGGATTGAACACAAATACCAACAACTCATATTTAGTTGGCAATTTTGTGGTAATAGACAAAGGCCCAGATCAGCATTCAGGAAACTTGAGGTGTAGACCAGCTTTGCTGGTATAGCCTAGAATGCAGATTCTGGAGCCAAACTGCCTGGACGTGAAGCCCAGCTCTACCACTTACAGGCTGTGTAACCTGGGACAAATGTGTTGTCTGTGCCGTGCTCCTCTGGGCCCCAGGCAAGCCCCTCCAGATGCCGTGGTTATTTCACTGTTCAACAGCGCCCATCAGCCAAGCTGCCTTAACAGGCCGTTCCCCACGGGCAGTTAGCCCTGTCTCTGAGAAGAGGCTCTGATGTCCAGCACTCCCTGCTTCACTGATGTGTCACCTCTGCCTCCTGCAACTCTGTTAACAGAACTTTGAGCTTCACTTAACTTCTCTGTGCCTTAGATCTCTACCTGAAAAATGGGGCAACAGTAACAGCTGCTTCTTGGCGGTGTTGTGACGATTAAGTGGCATCTTCTACTTAAGACCCTAAAGCAGTGAGAGGATCAAATTGGAAGATCTCAGGTTCCACGCGACTGTAGAAATGTTTGACTCTGGGTATCAGGCAGACTAGGAAACAAATGACCGTTACCTCTGAATTATCTCATTTCTCCATAAAGCCCTGGTTCCCGGCCCTGACTGCTCATTTGAACACCTGAGGAATTATGTCAAGTTGCCACTGTCCAGGTTTCATCCAAAACCAATTTTTTTTTTTTGAGACAGGGTCTCACCCTATTTCCCAGGCTAGAGTACAGTGGCACAAACACAACTTACTATAGCCTCTACCTCCCAGGCTTAAACAATCCTCCCACCTCAGCCTCCCAAGTAGCTGGGACTATAGGAGTGTGCCACCATACCCCACTAATTTTTTTATTTGATAAAATTTTTTAGAGATGGAGCCTCGCTGTGTTGCCCAGCTTACCAGACCAATTTAATGAGAATTTCTGGGGATAGAGTCCATGCACTTGCATCTTTTAAAACTCCCCAAGAAAGTCAGATGTTCAGCCAAGGCTCAAAACCAATGTCCAGTCAAGGAGAGGAAGGCACGGCAGGACTCACCAGGTGGGAAAGGGAGCTCCTGTTTGTGGGACCCCCTGTGAAATAGAGAGACTGCTCTACATTTCAGGGGGTCCCTGTGAGGTTCAGGATGTGCCTTGATGAAAATGGGAGCTGAGAGGGCTCTTGGTCTGCAGAAAGGCCAGGGTCCTGCTCAGGAAGGAAGGCTGCTGGGAATAGAAGCACTCCTCCGTTCTGGAGGGGACAGCTGTGAGGCCAGAGGCAAAGAAGGAGGTGTAAGGAGTATACCACTCGTCATGGATACAAGAAGCCTGTACACCTAGTGTTGGTGAGGGCAAGGGCGAGGCCCAGGAGATGGGTGGGCATCTGCTGGCGCTGAGTGAGTTCCTATTCTTCTCTCCCCACAGTTTAGGGGTGGTGCTGTCCCGGGGCCACGGAGAATACATCCTTCTGGGGAACACGTCTGTGGAAGAAGGTGGGTTGGCACCAGGTGCTGAGGGACAGTTAAGTGGAAATGTGACAGCCTCCCTGCTCCCAGGTTCCAGAGCAGCCTCTCAGAACAACGCTACCAGGTGGAGAGGGGGGTGTGTGTCCCTGACACCCAGGGTGTGCCAGGATCTGTGGGTCAGTCATCAAACCAGGAGAGCCTGAGGCCTGGCAACCACACTGCCAGGGTCCAGGAGGCCTTGCTGGAGTGGGAGGACCATCAAGGCAGTATGCTTTTTAAACAAAGTTCAAAGCTGAAATTTCCCTGCCAGGTGACAGCAGAGGGGATGAGAAAGGAGGCCAGGAAGAGAAAGGAAGCCGATATTCATTTGCTAAGGCTCCCAGCACGAAGTTCCACAAACATGGTATCTTAAAACAGCAGACATGCATTCTTTCACGGTTCTGGAGGCTGGAAGTCCCAAGTCAGGTGTTGGAAAGGCTGTGCTCCCCACAAAGCCTCTAGGGGAATCCTCTCTCGCCTCTTCCAGGTCTAGGAGCCTCAGGCGCTCCTTGTCTTGCAGCTGTAATACTTCAGTCTCTGCTCCCTGGTCCCGTGGCCTTCTCCCCTCAGCTGCCTCTCACTGCCTCTGTTACCTCTTCTTATAAGGACGCCACTTACACGGGATCAGGGCCTGCCCTCGTGATCTCACCTGAATTTGATTACTTCTACCAAGACCCTGTTTCCAAAGAAGGTCACATTCACAGGTCAGGACTTCAACATATCTTTTGGGGGACACAATTCAGCACATACCCAGAGCTTATGAGATGTGAACCAGTCTGAGATGGCAGAGAACAGCGGTGGAGGCCGGGAGAGAAGAGCCCCACCCATCCCATCCCTCCTGCCTATGACTTACTGTGGCCTAAGCACCTTAGGAGACCAAAACCTATCTCAGCGGTCACGAATATCTCAGGAAGCCCCTGGAAGAGGTGACCACTTTCTGTTTAGCACCCACACACTACCCTCTGCTATCTGCTGAGTGCATCTCATCACTCTGACTTTCTGTCACTGTCCTGGTCATTCTCACCTCTCTACTGGACAACTATGGTAGCCTCCAACCAATCTCCCTGACTCCTTTCTTCCCTGGGCTTCAGCCAGAGGGATCTTCCTAGAAATGCCAAGTCTGCCCACATCACTGCTTGTGGGCCTACTCCTCCTGGTTGCTTTGCTCTGCCCTGGAGTGCCCTCCTATCCCAGTGTACTTTGACCCACTCTCAGGCCCCAGCTTAGCTGTCACCTGTCTGGGAGCTGTCCCCAGTAGAGCCCCTCTCCCACACCTAGGCTGAGTCAGGCGCTAGCTATGTGCTCACCTGGAAGCTGTGTCTGCCCTTCCATAGCACAGATCCTAGTGCTGGGGTACTCTCCTCTGTCTCTCGTCATCCCCTAGGCCTCCACTGTGCCTTCTTCCTTCTTCCTACACATTTCTTCCTCTGCCCAGACATTCTCAGGGCAAACTTCTCCAGGAGACAGAGGGTGCTGTCCTTTACCCACTCCTGGGAGTGAGACAGACCAGTAGTCACGGCTTGGAATCCCGGCATTGCCTGGGCTTCTGTGGTCAAGGGAGCTTCTCTTCCAGCTGCTTGTCCTGTGACTACATCAGAGCAGTAGCCCTCATAAGGCTCCACAGGTGCCCCACTGGCCTTTCCATCATCCCCTCCTTAGACTTACCCTCAGTGGAGCACCTGTCCATTTCTCAGCTCTGAGTAGGTGCCAAGGAGCATTGGCTCATCATTCATTCAGTCAATGGCATGTGCTGAGCATGAGATCAGGCTGGCTCTGTACTAGGTGAGAGCCCACAAAACACACAGGGCTCATCCTGGGGTTGAAGCCAATGAAGCCAAAATCACTGATTTCAAAGTATCAGCTCCCTTTGAGGGGGATGCTACTAGGAATAGGATACAGTTTCTGCAGGGAGCTGCTGTCTGGCAGAAGCACAAGGTTCTTACATGCCTATAATACCCAGATCCAACCTGGACAGGGAGGAGGGGCATGAGGGCTGCAGGAGGAGAAGATGCTCCCACTGGCTGGGCAGCTCATTGAAGGCATGGCATTTGCCCTGAACCTTGAAGATGAGGTAAGATTTGAACATGAAGCAACGAGAAGAAAGCATTTCAGGAGGCAGGACCTGTGCAGACTTAGCCATGTTCTGTTGGTTAATCTGCTCTGAGCTAAGAGTAAGAAAGAACAGACTCCAGTCCCTTCCTTCAGAAACTCACTGGGTGGCTGTTTCTACAATTGGGGCACACACCTTCATGGCAGTGGGGGTGTGTCACCCTGCATGTGGACTCTGGTTACAGGACTGCATGACTTGCTTCACCCGGACCTGGCCCTGGCCAGTGACTGGTAAGTGAGGAGTAGAAAATGGGAGGGAGACAGGTGGAATGTTTTGAGATAACACTACTTGTCCTGGGTTCCAGGATCTACTGCATCACGGATATTGACCCGGACCACCGGAAGCTCAACCAACTAGAGGCCATGGTCCGCTTCCTCACAAGGGAGGATCCAGACCTGGAATGTGAGTGCTGGCTGTCCACTGAGGCAAGCATTTCCTCTGGGGTCCTGCAGCTCAGGATTGTGCCAGCAGAGATGGGAGGGCAGGGGGAGACTGCTGCATAGCCCTATCCCAGGAGCCCATGGATGGCTTAGATAGAACAGGGAGAATCCCGCCCCCCAAAAAAGGCATAGCCAGCCTTACCACAGGGCTGAGCTGATATTTAAGCATGCTTGGAACTGTGGTGATATGTGTTCATCCCCAGGTCAGGGACTGGGATCTTTTTCAGCCTCTGTCCACCAAGCTCTGTTAAGGGTCAGAAGAGAGTACCATTAAGAGTTTGTCAGCTTTCTCCCTACCACTACCTGGAAGTGGACTTCTGGGCAAAGGACCAGAAGTCTTCTCCACCAGAAGTCTTCATCTCCACAAGGGGAGCCTTTGGCCAGATGACTCGAAGCCTGTGGTCAGTGTTTTCTAAGCTGGTTCCTCAGGCTAACCTTGCTCACCTCTTCCACGTATAGGAGCCCCAGATGCTCCTTGTCTTGCAGTTTTGACACTTCAGCTTCTGCTCCATGGTCCCATGGCCTTCTCACCTGCACTAATGTGAGTGGTGAGCTCATTAGGCCACATCCTCAGCTTGCTCGTCTTCCTTCCTCTTTGGAAGAAGGAGCAGGTCTTCCTGTCACATAATTGTCACCACCATAAGATGACTGCCTCCCGTGCTAGCCCAACAGGGCACTTATTTACTTATTCATTCATTTCATCCACAAATCTGTACTGAGCTTGTACCTTGTGTCAGGCCCTGGGATAGGCATTGGAGCTACAGAGATAACCCAGATTAGGCCCTTGCTCTCATGGAGCTTACGGTCTAGTGGCGAAGCCAGATGATAAGCAAAGAAACCTACATATGTAGATATAGGTTGTTATAAATTCTTATAAGTGCCATGAACAGGATGCTATAGGGGAGAGAAATGGGTCTGCTTTAAAGGAGATCCTGCTAAGTCACTTGGCCTCTTTTGTGACACCTCCTCACCAAGGTGCGACTGGATCGCATATTTTAAATTTGTCAGTTTCATTTTATGTGACTTTCACCCCAGAAAGACAGATAAATTTTTTAAAGAGAGAGGAAAAATAAAGAGCCCAATGCAACGACTGGGAAAAGAACATCCAGACCAAGGGAACAGCCTGTGCAGAGGCTCTGAGGCAACAAGGAGCTTAGCAAGGTCAAATTCACTGGCCAGGTGCAGTTGCTCATGCCTGTAATCCCAGCACTTTGGAAGGCCAAAACGAGCAGATGACTTGAGTTCAGGAGTTCTGGATCAGCCTGGCCAACACAGTGAAACCCTATCTCTACAAAAAATGCAAAAATTAGCCAAGCATGGTGGTGTGCACCTGTGGTCCCAGCTACTTGGGAGGCTGAGGCAGGAGAATTGCTTGAACCTGGGAGGTGGAAGTTGCAGTGAACTGAGATCATCCCACCGTACTCCAACCTGGGTGACAGAATAAGACTCCATCTCAAAAAAAAAAAAAAATTCACAGAAATTAACCAAAGGCCAAGGTATGTGGATGATTAAGGAGCAGAGGGGGAGGGGTTGAGATGACAGAGACTGGGAAGATCCAACCTGAGGTCACTGAGGGTCTCTGAAGCTCGTCAGATGTTACAGTTGGAAAGAGCCTCAAATATCAAGCTGCCGTACTCACATATTTTTTGGAGTTAAGAAAGGGAAGACAGACAGAGGTAAGGTGGCTCCCTCAAGCTCAAAGAGATAGTTTTACATGTCCCACAGACACATTTACAAAGCACATCTTCTTCCCTCAACTTAAGGTGGGTGAGTTGTGTTCATAGCATGCAGGAAGCATGTGGCCTGGTACCCTGATGTTTTGCACCCAGGTGACGAGGAGCTGGTCCGGGAGGTGCTGTTTGATGCGGTGGTGACAGCTCCCATGGAAGCCTACTGGACAGCGCTGGCCCTCAACATCTCAGAGTAGGTCCAGGTTCCCTGGTTCCCAGGCCCCAACCAGCTCCCAGAATTCCCTTGTCTGAGTTAGGGCCCCTCTCACCACCTGGCTGGTGGCTCAGGAGAGCACCACATCCTGTGGCCTAAGATCAAGTGCAGGTCCCCTGGGCACAGGACTAAATCCACACCCAAGTATAGTCCCATTCCAACAGCCCCTTTCTGTGGGTTGATGTCCAGCCATGAGAGCCCATTGACCAAAGTGCCCTGGTGAGAGAAGCTCAAATAGGTTTCTAGCAGGTAAGGTCATGGCACCAATGAACTTGACCTCAACTTTCCCAGCCCCTTAGAAGTCCTCGCTCCCTTTGCTGGTCTTTTCCTGGTACTATTATGTCTAGTGGTCTGATAGAAAGAAGGCGAGTGGCATGTGAATGTAGGATGTGTGTGTGCACGTGAGTGTTGGGGACAGGGTAAGGTATTAATGAGGTTAAGGTCGCCGTGGGCCATACCTTGCTCCTGAATAGGAAGATTCAATGTTGTGAAGATGTCAAACCTCCCCAGACAGTCAATAAATTTAAGCACGTAATTAGATACTAGACAATAAAAATTGAAAGTTTTTTAGTGTTATCTTAATTAAAAAACACCTACAGAATTTTATAGGGACAGTCTCCTATTGAAAAAAGCAAGATGTGGAATGCTACCATTCTACATAGTAGAGTGTGCTACCCTTTCTGTAAAAAGGGAGGTGCCATAGCCTTTGTGTGGATTACACACATAACATCTGTGATCTATGTACTGTCTACGCAAGGCCACTCAGGAAACAGTTGTCATCAGCTGTTCTGGTTAGAAAGTCGGTAACCAAAACAGGGATGGAAGCGACACTTTTCACCCTAACATTTTGGTGTAATTTTGAACCATAGGAATATATGACCTATACAAAATTAAAGAAAGAAAAAGAATCGAGTGGACCAGGCACTGTTCTGAGTGCTCAGTGTGTATAACCCATTGATTCTCACCACGCTCCTCTCACACAGGAGCTCTCATCACTGCCATTGTACAGATGAGGAAACCAAAGCATAGTGAGATCAAGCAACTTGCCTGAGGTCACATGCCTCGAAAGTGGCAGAACTGGAATCAACAGCAGGCAGCCTCGATCCCTTGCCTAGACTCTTAAACCCTTCATTATTGTGCCTTCTACAGAGGGCTGGAGCACTACCTTTGGAGAGGGGCACCACCTTCATCTTTCTAAGCTCAGAGATTAGTCACAGATGGTGTTCAATGTGGAGAAATATTGAGAAGGAAATATTCTTAACCAGGGCATGCATCAGAAAAGACTTCCTAGGAAGTTAATATAAAATGGCATATAGTTAAGGAGAAAAAATACGTAACCATCTCCATAGATCTAGAAAGGCATTAAACAAATATTGATATTCATTCATTTTTTTTTTTTAGAAATTTTGTATAGAGGGGGGTCTTGCTATGTTGCTCAGGTTGGTCTTGAACTCCTGGCCTCGAGCAGCCCTCCCACCTCAGCCTCCCAAAGTGCTGGGATTACAGGAATGAGCCACCAAACCCAGCCATACCATTCTTGTTTGTTAAAGCCACTCAGTAAAATTAAAATTGACCCTAAGCATGAAAGTCAACATCTTATTGGCACTAGAGGCTCTCTCACTAAGGAACAAGACAGGCACGCCTACCTCTCCACTGCTGTTTAATAAGGACAGAAGGAATTAGGCAAGAGAAAGCATGCAGAGGCAATCAGGATTGGAAAGAAAGAAGTAAAATTATCTGCTCAAGGATGACATAATTATATATCTGGAAACTCCCCAGAAGAATTAATAAGAAAATTACTATACCCAATGAGAGAATTTAGTAAAGTAGCAGGTTATAATATAAACATTCAAAAGTTAATAGCCTTTACACACAAAAAGATTGAAGATATGAGAAAGCTTATTTTAAAAGGCAAGAAATAATCATGGTAAAGTTAGAAGACTACAAGAGCCTATGACACAAACTATAAGAACTGATCAAAAGTCTACATAAAAATTATGAAACACTCCTGAAAACACAAAAACAGACTGGAACACATAGAGACACAGTGTTTTTGGATAGGAGACTTCAACATCATGAAGGTATTAATCCTCCCTAGGTTAATGTTTAAGTCGAATGCAACCACAATGAAAGCACCATCAATTTTTTTCTGCATCTAGATAAACTGATTATCAAGCTTATTTGGAAGAACAAGCAAGAATAACCAGGAAATCTCTTTAAAAAAAAAAAAAAAGCAATGAAGGAAGGAGGTTGGGCCTACCAAGATATTAAAACACATAACAAAGCCTCTGAGGTTTATAAAGTGTGGTATTGGCACATGAAAAGGCAGGCAGACCACGGGAACAGAAAAGGAAATCCGGAAACTCATCAAATGCATGTGAAAATTTAGTCTATGACAGAGGCATCCTGTCAAATCAATGAAGGAAAGATGGATTTTTAAATAACTGGTTTAAGAGCCATATGGAGAATGATAAAATTGTGTTCTTTTCTCACACCATACACCTGGACGAAGTCCAAATGACTCAGAGATTCGAATGTAAAAAATGAAACCATATAAATACGAAAGAAAACATGAGCCAATTGCTCTAAAATCTAGGAGTGGGGAAACCTTTCCCAACAATGACTCAAAATTCAGAAGCAATAAAGGAATGATGGATAAATTTAACAACATTAAAAATGTTTCTGTGGTCGGGTGTAGGGGCTTGTGCCTGTAGTCCCAGTTACTCAGGAGGCTGAGGTGGGAGGATCACTTGAGCCCAGAAGTTCATGAACAGCCTGGGAAAAATGGCAAGACCCCATCTCTAAAATAATAACAATAACTTAGCCAGATGTGGTGGTGCACACCCAAAGTCTCATCTACTCAGGAGGCTGAGGTGAGAGGATCACTTGAGCCCAGGAGGTGGAGGCTGCAATGAGGCATGGTCACATCACCACACTCCTGCCTGGGCAGCAGAGCAAGACCTCATCTTGAAAGAAAAAAAAAGAAAGAAAGAAAAATATGTTTCTATGGCAGATATAAAAACACAAGCAAGGTAAAAGGAGAAATTACAAACCGGAAAGGAGTTTGCAACTTATAAAACAGATAAAGGATTGCTTCATTATATATTCATGATAAAGGACTTCAAAAACCGAGACATAAAAGACCAACCACCTTAGAGGGAACATAGCCAAGAAATATGAACATTTCAGAGGAAAAATGCAAAGAGTCCTTGGAAGAAAAATTCAAATAGTCCCTGAATATATTTTAAAATGCTCAACTTAACATTTAATCTTAAATGCAATGAAAATTATGCCCAGATTGGACTCCTCACCTATCAGATTGAGAGCCACCTGAACTTGTCAGCGTGCACTGTTGACAGAGCTGCAGAAAGTCAGGCACTTATAGATTGTGGGTGGGATAGAAAATGTGTCAAACCCTGTCAAGGGGAATTTGATGACATCTAGCGAAATTTCATGGTGCGTTTGCATTTTGACCCAGCAACCTCGCTTCTAGGAACCTTATCCCAAAGATACACTGGCAAAAATATGAAAAGATGTACCTATGAGCTGCTCATTACAGCACGTTTAATAACAGTAATAGATTGGCAATAACCCAAACATTCATCAGTAGGAGGCTAGTTAAATAAAGCATGGTAGAGCCACATCATGGAATTTTATGCAGCTGTGAAAAATTAGAATATCTCTATATACTGCCACTTTGAAATAATCTTCAGCAATGAAGAAAAGTTTATCTAGAAGGAGGAAATACAAATATATTTTCATAATTACTTTCACAAATGTACATATAAATGTGCATGTATACCTGTATTTACACATACACAGAACTTTTTAGTGGAACAAGGAACCAAAAATCAGGTTTCCTACAGGAAGAGAGAAGGAAAAAGGATGTGGGTGCAGAGACTCCCCTGAGTATGCCTTATTTTCCATATTACTTTGGAACCATGTAAATGCTTTATCTAATTACAAAACAAAATTAAATTTTTAAAAAGTAACCTCTAGTAATTGAAAGCAAATGAAACAAATAAACCTAGCCACATATCAAGTTCATGAAATAATCAAACATAGGGGAATTCTTTCAAGGGGCTTTAGAATTGCAAACACTAAATAAATAAAATCTTATGCAGTGCTTAGTAAGCACATTGCTGGAAATAATATTGGCATTGTTATTCTGAATAGAGAGAGCAAATACTATTGCATTAACGTCATTAAGAATCGAGATCTGTAGTAAAAAAGAAAAGAGATATGTACATTTCAAAAATCAAAGGAGTTAAGTTTAGATGTAATGCTAAATTTGAATTAGAAATACCAATTTAAACTCATATATTTTCGCTTAAAGAAATTAAAAGGATTTCCTACCTCTCTCCACTGAAAGGACCCACCTCAGTGAGTACTCTAGCCTCAGACTTTGGCCTTTCAATGTTAGTCTTCATTAAAACAAGCCCATGCTCCTTGGAGAAATGTCTGATTCCAGGACAGGGACAGGAAATGTACACAATGAACCTGGAACATCTTGTCATATGAGGAAGCAAGAAGTTACCAAAGACAAGTGCTATTGTGCCCAAGGGACCCCAGAGCCAGCCGAAGGAGGCCCTCACTGGCCAAAGGTGGATGATCAGAGCAGCCAAAGTAGTTATAATCACAGCGGGAGTTGGGCGTGGAGGCACGGCTGTAATCCCAGCTTCATGGGAGGCTGGGGCAAGAGGATCTTTTGAGCCTAGGAGTTCAAGGCCAGCCTGGGCAACATAGTGAGACCCTGTCTTTAATTTTAAAATAATAATAATAAATAACTGCAATGGGTTAAAACATAATGAAATACGTTAAAATCCTTGTGTTCATAATGATACTGGGGGAAAATCCTCATTGGCCATCTTCGGGAGATTGGTAGGAAAACAACTCATTATTCTAAAACCTGATAAAGAAATGAAAAGAATAAATTATTTATTCTGCCACTTCTATAAAAATTGTACTTCAGGATAACTAAATATTGATGAGGAGAAGTTTTTCTTTATACAAGTATTTCGGGTAAAAATAAAATAAAAGGTTTGTCATGCCCTAATCAATCAGCGAGTGTGGGCCTCTCGTAAAGAACAGCCTTGTAAAGGCACAAACCGGAACCTGGTGGGGCCCTGAGGTCTCACGGCCAGGTGACAGGAAATGCAGGGGACAAAAGAGCAGGCTGAAGATCACCCCAGGGTGGACCCGCCGAGGCCAGAACGGGAGAATCCTCATAGGCAAGCACCCTTTGTCGCTCTGCTTGTTCCACAAATCAATTGCAAGGAAAAGAGGAGAGAGGGAGAGTGGAGAAAGGGAGTCAGGTTAAAAGAGGCTAAAGATGACTACTAATGGTTGTGGGGTTTCTTTTTGGGGTGATGCAAATGTTCTAAAATTTACAGTGCTGATGGTCACACAACTTTGTGAATACACTAACGACTATGAATCGTACACTTTCAGGTGGGTGAATTGGATGGTATTGAATGATATCTCAATACAGACAGAGACAGACAGACAAATAAGGGATATCAGTTGCAATGCATGAACTTTAGGCAGATTCTGATTCAGTCAAACTTAAAAAAATTTATAAGACTACTGGATTATCTTATGATATTAATGAATCATTGGTTTTTTAAGGTGTAATAATGGCATCGGAGTTTTTTAAAATTATATTTTAATTGTATGAATTAAAATATTTACCCATGAAATATCTGGGATTTGCTTCAAAATAATCTAGTTAAGGGGTTGGAGGAGGCAGTAGCAGCTGAATTGAAACGAGGCCCGGGCTAGTGATTGTTGAAGTCGAGTTATGGGTGGTGAGACCCGTTAGTCCGTTCTCTCTGCTTTTGAACAGAGAATTGGATCACAAAGCTTGAGGGATACCCAGGCACTTAGGCCCTGTCCCCAGAGAGTCTGACTCGGAGGTCTGCTGCAGGGCTCTGTGAGGCTCGAGTCCTTAAGACCCCTGTGCGCACTCTGTACAAGCCCCCTGGCTACAGTGCTGGAGTGGGTGGAGGAGACCCTTTCCCTCAGTGATTTTCCAAACTTTATTCCAGTCCTGGGTACCACCCACAGATGCTGCAGGGTCTATCCCTGAGGGAGGCCCCTGCAGTTCAGCCACCCTGAGCTTGGCAGTGCTTTGGGGTTGCTACTTGTGTGTTCACTATAGCACCCCGGCTTGGGCATGGGGAGGAACCAGGTTATAGCCTCCAATAGACTGTGCCAAAGACAAGAATATCATCTAGGTTAAAAGGGATGACTTCCCACCCTGGTCAAAGTATTGTGGCTTTGAGACTGGGAGGAAGACAATGTGACGCAGCTAGCTCGTGGATCTGTCTTCCTTCCAAGTCTCATCGGCAAGGTTGGGAGGTCCACCGGGACTTCTCCCGGGTGGGTGTACACAGCGGCTGCTCCCCCTCCCTTCGCATTTCGGTAATAAGGGAAGTATGCTAGGCATGAGAAGTTCCTGTTCCTTAGGTCTCAGGACAGAATCTCCCTTCCAAGTTCCGTCTTCCAAATCCAACCCCCCAGAATCTGGGAGAACAAATTAGGAGATAGAGACAGAGAGGGACAGAGAGGCAGAGGCCCAGGGCTCCACTTCACAGGGAGGTGCTGCCTGGAAGCTGGGCCTTAGACATGACGCACACTGTGGATGCCAGCACAGTGTGTATCCCGGCCCCTTCCCGGGAACCCAGCTTCCTGGAAAGTCTCCCCTGAGCCAGGCTGGGCAGGACCAAAGACAGGCCCCAAAACCCCTGCAGGTGTCCCCCAAGCTCCTACCACAGCCACATGGTGACCACTCCCACTCTGTCTGCCACACAGAGAGTCCGAGCAGGTGGTGGACATGGCCTTCCTGGGCACCCGGGCCGGTCTTCTGAGAAGCAGCTTGTTCGTGGGCTCCGAGAAGGTCTCTGACAGGTGGGTTGGGCCAGCCATCCCAGGAGGGCAATCCCTGCAGGGTGGAGAAGAGCAGAGTCCCCGGTGTGCTCCTGGGCCACCCCTGGGTGGACAGGCAAGAGGTCTCCAGCATGCTGGACCACTGGGAGCCCAGTGGGACAGAAGGGTCAGGATTGACAGATTGGGACAGTAGTAAAAGTAGCCCTTCCAGAAGGCGCACACACATCCTGGCGGCAGTGTCCCCAGGAGAGGATGAAGGCCGGACATCAGGGAGAAAGACTTTGAAGTTGAGGGTTGGTTGGAGAATCCACCTAGAGGAATCTCTAGGGAGAAAGCCGAAATTGCGTTCCTCTCCAGGCTAGTCTGTGTGACGGGCTGAATCTTCTGACTGTGCCTTTTTCCCCCACTCCTAAGGGGAGAGGGGCCACTGCTGGGGTCCTCTGGTAGGTGGAGTGCTCACCCTGCAGTGCCTTCATGAACCACCCACTCCCACCTTGGCGAGGGAGATTTGTGGTTTCTTGCTCTGCCTGCTAGGAGTCCAGGCCCAACTCCCTGCAGGCCATGGAAGGCTTATGCCTCCACACCAGGGATGCTCAACTGGGGCTGATTTTGTGACACTGAGCAATGTCTGGAGACACTTTTGGTTATCATACTGTGGGAAGAAGAGAGCTTCCTACTGGCATTTAATGGGCAGAGGCCAGGGGTGCTGCTAAACATCCTACCATGTGCAGGGCAGCCCCCACAGCAATTGCCTGGCACAAGATGTCACTGGTGCCAAGGCTGAGAAGTCCTGCTTGAAGCAAAGGTCGGGTTCTGGAGAATCAGGGGCTGGCCTACCCGGTGCCCAAAGGAGGTGGGAGCCCAGAGGAGGGGTCGGGGGGCGAGCAGTGCCATCTGCCACTCTGCAACCCAGGAGACTCCAACAGGTGAGGACCTGCAAACAACTGGAGAGCAGCTCAGGGCCCCTGAGCTGACCTGAACCCCTCTCCTCGCCTTCCCCCCACCGGCTGCTCCTCTCACTAAACACAAGCACGCCCAGCCACGGAGCGCCATCTTTGAGCTTCTTCCAGGACTCTGTGACAAATCCACACTTGCTAAGCAAACTGAGGCTTTCTAGGAAAACAAATGAAGTTGCTCTTTCCTTTCCCTCCCTCCTCTCTCCCCTCCTCCCTTTCCCTCATCCCCGTGGAGGTGGAGAGGAAAGAGCACCACTGCCTCCCTGACCCTTCCCTCGCCCTCTCTCAGAGGCTTTCAGAATGCAAGCAGGAGATTTGAGGCAGACAGACCTTCCTGGTGCCTTGGCTTCCTGCGAGCACTCCCCGGGGGCTCCCTTCACCAGGACCTTGAGGTGAATGGCAGCCCAGGAATGAACGGTGTCACAAGGCAGGTTGCTTCTGGAACATGTGAGCCCAACACTGTCAAAAGGAAATCTCAGTTATCCACCTTGTGGGTTATCCACAGCAGTGTGTCTGCTCCCCACCCCCACCGGCTTCTCCCTGCCTCCCACTCTGCTTCTGGAACATGTGAGCCCATCACTGTCAAAAGGAAATCTCAGTTACCCACCTTGTGGGTTATCCACAGCAGTGTGTCTGCTCCCCACCCCCACCGGCTTCTCCCTGCCTCCCACTCTGCGTCTGGTCAAACACTCCCTTCTGTGGGCTGCAGTGTGTTCAGGGAATGCAAAACCATAATTAGTAAGGAAAAGCTGCTCGAAAAAAGGAAGCTCATGATGCATGCGAAAACCTAGAGGCAGTCCTCTTGAAGGAACCGTTTGGGGGGATTGATACCCTCCTATGAGTGCAGTGACAGAGCTGACTCTACAGCCTCCTCCCTCAGACGTGCCAAGGAGCCAGACAAGAAGAAATTAGGCTCCATCCAGAAGAAAGAAACCTGCAGGCAAAAGAGTTTACATAAAAATGGAAAGTATTCCCTCATTACGCAGACCCTATACCTCTTCTAGCTGCTAGTCAGATGCAACCTGGTTTTGTCTCTGGAAAAGGTGATGCTTGCTGGGTAATGTTGTCTGGGGCAGTATTAATTTAGGAGCTAATATTCTGTATCTCTCTGCAACTCTGCCGAAGCAGAGGGGACTCACTCTCTTGGCCCAGCCAAGATGACCTTGTATGAGAAAAAGGAAGAGGGATGACTGTTGACAGCTCTGGGGAGAGGTCCACATCTTCCTCCCTGCAGGAAGTTCCTGACGCCTGAGGACGAGGCCAGCGTGTTCACCCTGGACCGCTTCCCGCTGTGGTACCGCCAGGCCTCGGAGCACCCCGCTGGCAGCTTCGTCTTCAACCTCCGTTGGGCGGAAGGACCAGGTAACCCGCGCCCCATGCTTCTGAGGCTGAGCGAGTCTCCGGCCAGTCTCGTCTCTCCTCCTGCTGCGCTCTTAGTGGGAAATGGGCATCAGATATAGAATAGAATGTCCAGACCCCCCTCTGGCCTTCCCTCCTGCCATGCATTAGTGACTTCAGAAAGCTCATTGGCGCCTTCCCACACCACAGGTCTCGCGCTGAAGGTGGGGCTGATCATTTGATTTCCTAGCCAGCCATCAAAGTTGGTGTTTAAAACTCCAGCATGGGATTCTACCCCAGATTCCAAATATGAGATCAGAATAGTTGATCTCTAAGATTCTTCTATGTCTGTGAAACTTTCGTAAACCACCCAGATGAGTGGTTTCATTAGGGGCTGCAGTACTCACCAAGTCAGTAGGGCTGCCTCGCTCTTCCCAAACAGAAAGAAAGCAACCAGTCCCCAGTGACTCAGGACCACCCAGGAGCAGCCTCAGGGAGTGCCCAGCATGCTCCAGAAGCCCCTCTCAGCTCAAGAGAGAGGCTGCACTGGGTGGGTGACGGGGAGGGTGGGGCGTGAAGCAGCCGCAAAGCCCCTGCAAGGTCAGGGACCAGGAAGCCTCTCAGAGCTGGTGGGCACCCCACTGCCAGCCAGCCCCAGCTCCCACCCTGGAAAGTGACTCTGACAGAGCCCCAGAAAAACCACCAGATATGTAGGCCTGTAGCGACTTCAGTGTCTGCATAGCCTGGCGCTCCTGATTCACCCTCGCAAAGACTGTGGCCCAGGGAGCTTCAGGGCTTGTCCAGGGGTCCCAGAGTGCGTGGCACAGCCAGCCCTCCACCAGGTGAGCACTGGGGTGGCTGATCCCATCCCAGCATGTGGATTCTGGGATCTGGAGAGTGTGCACAGGCAGGTGGGGTGAGCCCCAGGAGGGGATGCAGGAGGGTAGAGACTTCTGAAAGGGGAGCCAGGGCTGGGGTCATTCAGAACTTCCCCGTTAGGATGCCCTTCTGCCAAAGGCCTCCCAACACCACAAAACCATCCTCAAGCCCCATAATGGCAAAATGCCCTGGAGCTGATGGCTGGGAAGGCCCAGGATCCCAGGGGCTCCTCCTGGGACAAGGACCGGGAAGGCAAACAGCAGGGCAGGGAGGAGCTCCACCCCTGTGCCCTCTGGAATTCCACCTTCCTCACCTGGTGCTATGCTCCGCCTCCAGCCCACGCCTGTTCCCTCCACACACGTGCCAATAACTACTGTCCTTCAAAAAATGATTTTATTTAATCTATACAACCCCATGAGATAAGGGCTGTAATTATCCCTCAACTTACACAAAGAACGTGAGGCTCAAAGAGGTTCTGTGACTTGCCCAGGGTCACACAGCAAGGAAGCCACAGAGCTAAGCTCTGCCCCACTAAAAGCCCAGGCCCTGTTACCACAGAATACAAGGAAAGAAGAAGGGGGAGTTTTTATTGCCAGTGCAAGCCCAGCAGGAAGGCTCTGGAAGCAAAGGGGATACCCCTCCCCACACCACCCACCCCAAGGCTGAAAGAGGCAGCTCCTCTTCCACAGCCCCATCCTTGATAGCAGCAGAGTGGGCTCCCCAGGGAAGGCACCCACAGGCCCCTGGAGAGGTTCTGTAGTGAGATCCCCGGCCCCTGCCCCAGGCCCTGGTGACAGGTTCCCTCCTGCCTGCACTGTCACCAGGACTAAGCCTGCTGGCTGCTGGGGGAGCTTTATGTGGCCATGAGGTAGGAGGGTTGGTGGGTGGAAAGCTGAGCCACAAGGAGAAGAGAGGGAAGCTGGAGCCCAAAAAGGGGGCCTGACGAGGAGGGAGGCGGCCCTCTCCACAGCCCCGCTCACTTGCTCAGCTCACGCACACGCTTAGACACGTGGCCACCTCTGCACACTCCCTTCCACCCCAAAAGAAGGAAAACAACTGCATTTCAATGGGAGAAAAGAGGAGGAGCCGCCTCCAGGGCGAGGGGAAGCTCCACTGTCTCTCTAGGCTGACACGGTTACCCTTTGCTGGGGCCTAGTGGGCTAAGTCCTGCCCACATGGAGCTGCACCAGTGCCTAGAAACCTTTCCGCACACAGCAGAGCCTCGCCAATGCGCCCAGGCGCTGGGGCCTGTCATCCCCCCACAGCCCACTGCTCCCTGGGCCCCACCCCCTCCTGCACTGGGTGCACTGATCATTCCCAGCTGCTGGACCGGGTAGCCAAGGTGAGCCAGGCACTGAAATCCCTGACGCCCCAGAGACAGCACCATGAGGGTCCTCACATCCTCACATAGCATTTCCTACAAGCTTCTGCTGGCTGGGATTCAAATGCAACAGGTCTGTCCCAGACAATAGGCTGTGGGACCCGGGAACAGTCGGAACAGCCCCATCACTACCTTCGAGGCGTCTCCAGACGCAAGGTGGGGAACTGTGGTCCCTTTCTAGAATCAACGGCAACCTTCCATGTTGGAAGTTCCTGCAATCAGACTGTAGTTTTACATTTCTTGAGATATTTGATGACAGCAGGTGTGGTGGGTAATCTTGGCGACGTGGCAGATGTGAGAAGCTGGTGGTTAAGTCCCAGGATAATTGACACTGTTGTAATAATCGCCATGCTAGAGTCCTGTGACCTGTTTGCTTCATGCAACATTTGAAATCAAGACATTCTAACAAAATATGATAGCACCTCAGAAAATGGAAGTTTAGTAATAGCATTTGACCTGCAGACAAGAGTGCTTTGGAACACCAGTCTGGAGCCAGATACTGATGAGAATTAAGAAGCCCGAGGTCCTGTAGTAACCAGCCCCGGTCAGAGCCAGAAAGCTCTGCTTCAATGTGGAGCTGAAACTACCCTCTAAACTCTGCACCTATGGTGGCCTGATTCTTCCAGAAGAGGTGGAGAGAGCAATGGAAGTCAAGCCCTGTGGCTTTCAGGAGCCTCAGGGTTTGCCTGGAGTTGCTGCAGAGAGTCTCAGAAGCGCAGCAACAGCTGTGAAGCAAGCCAAAGACCTTGAGGGCCACTGTGTGGTGGAGGGTCTATCACTGCACTGCCCAGGACTGCACTGCCCAGGCCAGATAGTGGCTCAGCTGTGAGGTCTGGCTTCCTGAGCAGGACTGACTGTCAGTGTCCTCTCTGACTCATGCAGACTCACAGAGAGCAAGCCAGGGTCACCCACCACCAAGGGCTGAAATGCAGCCTGTCCTTCCTTCCTTCCCTGGAAGGGACCACTGGACACAGCACAGGTGTTGTGGGCAAGACTCATGCCGAAGCCAGCAGACAGGCAGAAACCCGGGGTGGTGGAGACGCTGCATCCCTGCACCATTCTGTCGGCCAGAGGCCACGTGTGTGTCTGTCCAAGACCGGTGATGGTAACCACCATCACAGCAGCAACTTCTCCAAACACGACTCCTGTCCCGCCCTGACTCTATTCTTCCAAGGATGTGTTCGCCTGCTTTTATTCCCATCTCCTGTTGCAAGAAAGTGGTAGGGCTCCACCTGCCCCAGCCACAGCTCTTCCACTGTGACCGGGTTGTCTTTGTTTCCCCAGAAAGTGCGGGTGAGCCCATGGTGGTGACAGCAAGCACAGCTGTGGCAGTGACCGTGGACAAGAAGACAGCCATTGCTGCAGGTAGGAGCCGCCCTTGCGCCGCTGAGGCGGGGAGGCTGGGGTCAGTGTCAAGAGCAAGGCATGGATGACAGCAGCAGGAGGCCCCGCAGGCGTCACACATGTCGCCAGGGCCACAGTCCTCCAGGTGAAATGCCAGATGAGCAGAAGTGAACTCTTCCTAAGCCATTTTGTTTGTGAAACCATAAAACTTTAGATGTAAAAGTATTTGTGAAGCGAAGTGAGGAAAATGAAGCCCAGAGAGGTAAGGAGATCTCAGGACAGAGACTGCGGCCCAGCCCACCCCGCCCCTTCCATACAATATATTGACTACATGCAAGCTTCTCTTGAGAAACACTTCCTGCGGGTTAATAGAGTGTTACTGAGGCATTCAATAGCTAAAAGGAAGGCTGGCAGCAGAGTTCTTTTCTTCTAGGCCTTTCATCAATCACCATCATCATCGAGCCGATATTTACTGAGTATTTACAGTGTGCCAGGCCTGAGGTAGCTTCTTGAAAGCTTTGCTCTTGAAAAGATAACCTAAAGACCAGCAGCACTGAATTGCCTGGGCCTCTGTTAGAAACAGACACTCTTGAGGCCCACACCGTACCTATTTACCTATTCAACCGGAGTGCGCTGTACCGAGATTCCTACTGATCTGCCTGAACATCCAAGCTTGAGACAGCTCTTTCTCAGTGTTAACTTCCTTAACCTTTACAAATATTTTATAGCATAGGTATTATTGTCAGTGCCTATTTTATAAATGAGGACCACAGGCTCAGAGAGTTTGGGTAACTTGCTCAAAGCAACCCAACCAGCAGGGATCAGATGCCATCATTCATTCAGTCCGGACCTGTCTTTTCCCCAAAGGTGTTATTAACCACCAAAATGTCCTGCCTCTTCACGTAGCAAACAGTGGGTGCTGATTCCCGGGTCATCCGCTTGCTGTTCCGTATTTTACTGCCTTGGGCTCTCGTATCCTGCTCCAGAGGAAGGTGGGACTGTGACTCAGATCCCTGGAGCATGAGCTCAGTGTGTGTGTTCAGTGTGTGCCAGGTGCTGTGGAAACCGCCTCCCAGGCAGTCCTTGGGGTGACCCCATGAAGATGATTTCAATTTTATTTTACAGCTGAGGAAACTGAGACACAGAAAAATTACTTGCCCAAAGCCCCACAGCTAATAATGAATAAGGCTGGGATTTGAACGCGGCTGCCTCCCTTTGAAGCCCAGGTTCACTGCCCTTCGCTGCAGTTTGCCACGGCTTATGTGATGAGAGCACCTGAGACCCTCACTAGCTTATCCTGCCTTTCAGTGCCTTGGTGCCTGCAGAGTCCTTGGTGTCTCTGCCTAGCTGTCTGAGAATGGTCAGGCCCCTGCAATGAAGCTTTCCTTACCTTAGTTTTAGCTTCCGTATCTGGGACCCAGCTGTGTTCTGAAAAGTTGCCCGATCCAACAGGCACGGGAGCTCGGCCATCCTGGTTCCATGAACCCAGCAGTCTGGCACCTGCCTTTTAGCTGAGGCCCTAGCCAGCTGAGGACTCCCACAGCAGGACAGGGGAAGAGCAGACAGGGCCAGGGCAAAGGGAATGGAAAGAGCCAGTTGGGCTCTGTCTTCCCGCCTCACAGAGGGCACCAGGGCTGTCCTGAGTCGGGGTCCTGAGCTGTGTGCCACTCTGGGATAAGCAATGGGGGGAGAATGGCTCCATCTGACATTGCCCACAGCCTCGGGTGGAAACCCCGATGCTGCCACCTGCAGCACTTGGAAGGGATTTGTACCCTCCCGCCTGCCGTGCTTCCCTTGGCCCAGGGCACACTGAACCCAGACCCAATTTCCAGGCCAAACTTTGACCTCAAAATTGTCTCCCTACAGACTGTTCTGTGCTCCCAGCCAAGCGCATGCTGTGCAGCTTCCACGTGACAGGGGCCTTCTCAGCTTCTGTATACCTGGAGGTCTAGGAAAGAGATGGGACAGGGGGTCAGGCTGCTGGCTGTGCTTTCCTGCACTCTCCAATTATTTGACAGAATTTTTAACTCAGAGCTGAATTAGAGCCGAGAGGGGTTGCCATAGAAACAGTGTCCCAGTGCCTCCGGTTTAACTCACTGCAGACAATCCCTCTTACATTCCGGGGTGCATGAATGCCAGAGGAAAAGGATGGGGTGCTGGAGACCTGATACTTCAATTACGATTTTTCTTTTGGTCTCATTCTGTCACTTCCTTTCCCTGGCCTGTGGCTCAGCCTCCCTGATCCTGGGGCCAGCTGGAGCCTGTAGCTGAAGGAGGGTAGGTGGTTCATTTGCTGTCCCTGGAAACGGCTAGCACCGTGAGCATGTGAGTGCCAAGCCTGCTGAGTGTGGTGTCTGTCGTGGGGGATGCATGGTGGCGATTGTGCGCTGAGCACGAGGGAAAGGTAGGAGACGGGCACTTAGCCTCAGGGGCAGCGGCGTGCTGCGCGTCACTGCCGTGGATAACGCCGCCGGCTCACACAGAAGGCAGTGGACCAGGAGAGATCGTGTTCATCTCTAAGCAGGTGGTTTATCGACAGCTCCTGTAAAATTTCCAGAGAACCAACTTTTGGATTGGAACCTGTTTTCAATTCTCCATGTCCTCAGGCCCTAGGTGAGGAGTGAGGTCAAGCTCCAGGATGGTGGGGCTGTACTGGGCGAGCGTTTGTCCAGCAGACAGGCATTCTTCCAGCACGACTTGGAACGTACACAAGGCCCTGCACAGAGGTCCTTCCAGCCAGCTGGGGCTGTAAGAGGCTCCCCTCCCAAGAGGTCGGCCTCAGTATAGGTCCGACCTTCAGACCTTTGAAGGTTTTTGTCTGGGAACCATGACATTTGAATAACACATGTATGCATGAGAGACCTGTGCCAGGCCTGGGAGGTCCCAGTTCTTGCTTCTGCACTGGAGCTCGGGAATATTTGCCTTGTGCCCTGCTATAATCATTAGGGCTACAGGATAGCAACACTTACCACTGTCTGGGGAGGGCGGATACCCCAGCTCTGCCATAGAGTGAAGGTGAACTCCAGAGGGACCCGGATGGTTCACCTCCCTCTAGGGTTTGCTCCTGGCTTCCTGGGTTGTTATCCAAAGAAAGGTCCTAGGAAGGAGACAATTCCGCCTTGGCCTCTGAAGACTAATGAACCATATAGCCGAGACCCGGTGCGCCAGCCCCAGAGGGGGTTCTCTGGCGGAGCACTGAGCCCTGCTCTTCACTGGGGCTTGCCGCATGCTCACCACCCCAGAGGCCTGATGCTCTTCCTCATCCCCTCTCCTCTGTGCCTCGCTCCCAGCCCTCCAGTCTGTGATTCCGGGGCCCACCTGCTGAGCGTGAAGGGTTCACTCTGCAGGCCCAGAGTGTGGTTTTTGGGCCCCTGAGTCAGCCCTGAACAGGCTCCTCCTCTCCGCCAGCCCCGCCAGCATCTAATGAGGCTCACAGAACCCAGGCAGCAGAGGCCCCTTCAATGCCCTCCCCTACCCTGTGTGGCAGCATCCTCTGGGGGAACAGTGCCTTCTTGCCACATGGGCCTGTCTGTCCTGGCTGCCAGGGCTGATTCATGTCAAACCTGGGTAGATGGGCAGCATCCGCAAGGCTCGGGCCCCGTCGGCTCCCCAGCTCACCTTCGCACCACAGCCTCGGTGCTGCCCAGCAAAGCTGCCCTGGAGCTCAGGAACCTGCCTGTCAGGCACCATCCAGACTGCCAGGCCATGAGCTCACTGCCCCCAGCCATAGGCCCTCACTCTGATTCAGGACTCAGCCTCAGCTCTCTCCCAGCGTTGCCCCAGCCCTGGTCCTGGGCAGGAGGCACTGTCTGTTGTCAGAGCTCTATGCATCAGGGTCATGGCCACCCATCCTTTGTCCAGCCTCCTGGGGAGGTGGGGGCAGGAGGTGACTCTCTTGGCACCCAAGACCCCCTCCCACCCAATGAAACCAGGAAGTACGTAGGAAAATACAGTCTTTATTGTTCTTCTGAAACAACAAACCAGAAATATAATTTTGCCTTTAAAAATCTTCTGTCTCAGGCTAAAGATACCACCATTGACAATGCCCTCCCCTCCCCACAGTCCCTTTAGAAAATCCCCAGATCTGGTATCAGCCTGCATGCCAAAAGAAGGAAGACTGTGGCGGAGGCTAGGGTGGCCTGGGATCCCAGTGAGCAGCCCATGCCAAGTGCCCTCCGTCCACCTGCCAGGACCAACCTTCTCAAAGGCACTCCTCCTGGCCCCCAGCCCACCTCACCCACCCACGGCCGCATAAGCAGGGAGGGTCGGCGGGGGGCACAGGAGCTAGGCCTGCCAACTCTCTCCACTCAGACCCTTGGCTTCAGAGTTCTGGTTGGCCTCTTCCCGAGCCCCCATTGAGATTCCACCAGAGAGCCAGAGACAAGCCTGACATCTGCTGAGCCTCTGTGAGCACGACACCTAGGTACCCACCACCAACACACTCCGAGGAGGGGCGGGGCTAGGGAGGGGGACAAGTGACCCTGAAAACCTCCACGGTCTTAGCAGCAGGTGGCTCCATCCCAGACAGGCTCCCGCCCACCCTCTGGTTTGGACCCCACCTGGGTGCAATGAAGTGCTCTGGGGAGCCACACTGAGCAGATAAAGCCCAGGAACAGAAACCCCATCCTCGGAGCCTCTGGGCAACATGTGGCCACCCCTCCTGCTCCTGGAGTCTGTCTGGGATGAGCTGGCAGGCATTGAGCCTCAGGAGAGCCACCGTGTTCTCTGCCTGCCACCTGCTTTCCTCAGAGGGTGCCACCAATGGCAAAGCACCACCAAGTCCCAGCCCTGAAATCACAGGCCAGGAGTGCTGAAGATGGAGGGGGAGAGGCACAGAATCATGGTGCCAGGCTGCAGTCTGTGCAGGAATCGGTGGGGGGCCCCCGGGGCCTGGCGCTGTGATGTGCGTGGGCAGGACCGAGGCAACACCAGTGGTGTGTGGCTGGGTTCTCAGGAGGCCGCCATGTGCACATGCAGCCGCTCCAGGCCCCTGGGTGGTATCCTGGGAAAGCCTAGCAGGAGAGGTGTGAGTGGGTTACCATGGTGACAGGAAGTCTCCTCCAGTGGCACCACTTTGGCCCACTTTGAAGGATCTCAAAGGATCCTGGTGTTACTGGTTGAGTTCCTTCCCTGTTGACTTGAGAAGATTGCAGTGAGCAAGTGAGAGGGTCTGTGGCCTCAGGGAGACTCTGGGGGAAGAGCATGTCTCTGCTGTCCCAGTGCTCACAGCCTTGGTCTCCATGTGACCGTGTGAGTGCGTGAGAGTGTGCGTGTGTGTGTGAGAGTGTGTGTGTGTGTGTGCATTCTTTCAATCCATGTGACTGCACTGGTGATAGAAAGGGTGTGTGTGAGTGAATTAGTGAATCCAGGAGCATGTGGTCAGTGTGGCCTATAGCAGATCCAGGGGCTTGATGGCGTCAGCCAGGGGTATATGGTTTTTCTAAGTGCTGGGTCCAGATGGCAGGGCTGGTGTGTTTGTACATTGGTGCCAGCAGTTGTAGAGCTGGACCAGGTTCCATACTGCAGGGGTATCAACAATGTCTTTCTGGCTTAGGAAAGAGTCTCAGAAATCTACCCCATCCCTCAGATTCCTCCCTCCCTGTCCCTTCAATGCAGGTGAGGTGGGACCAGCAAGGTAGGACAAGTCACCAGCTGTGGCCGCCCCAGGGCAGGAAGGACGACAGGGGAATGCCCAGTTTGGAAGCCTCCTCTTGCATACACCTCCTTGCTTTGCTGTGGCCACAGCCTTAGGGAGATCCCCCAGATGTTCCAAAGATGTACTGGCCCAGAGAGGAGCATCAGCAGGAGCCCCCAGCACCGTGGCTTCCAGGGAGCCTTGGAAGTGCGGGGAGAGAGCCTGTTGTGGCTTGTCTGCTGGAGGGTAGGGAGGAGAGTGGACTGGGGGAAGCAGTGGCCAGCGCCACGTCAAGGTGGGGGCTATGGCAGAGCAATGTGGTGTGCTCTCCCTGCCCTTCCTACCTGGCCAGGTCGGGGGTGGGCACTCAGGCCACAGAAGAGATCTGCTTCTGGTCCTCATGCTCACCCTCAGGGTCCCCCATCAGGGGCTGGCGCTTCTTGAGCTCCCGGTGGTACTTGGCCATGAGGGAGGCATAGATGCAGCCGTAGGCAGCAGCCACCACCATCATGATGCAGACGATGCCACACACGACCCCTGCGATGATCACCGTGCCCATGGCTCGCCTCACGCTCGCCGGCCGGTGCCTCTGCTTCTGGGGGCAGGCTGTGCTGGGCTCCGGCTCTGGCTCAGCCCCAGGCTTGGGCTTAGCAGGCTCTGGACTGGCCTTGGTGCAGGGTGGCCCAGGAATATCCAGCCCAGCTGAGCTATTCTCGTCCTCCAGCTGGGAGCAGTAGTTGAACATCTCCATGGGGACCATGCGCATGTCCTTCCCCCTCAGCTCCTTGGGGAGGGTGCAGGCAAGCTGGTCCAAGCGCCCCCCTGCATGCAGGAGAAAAAAGAGAGGCTGTCCAGGGGCCCAGAACTTCCACTCCCTCTCCCCATCCCCAGCTCCCCAAAATGGAAGCCCCAGAAGGTAGTTTTTATCAGCAATGTAGTCAATCCTGGAATCGCCATCTATAGAAGAGGAAGCGGAGGAGGGAAAACAGCATTGATTGAGCCAAGTCCACAGTGAGTTACGTATATCGTGCCATTTCATTCTCGCAGAAGCCATGTGAAATGGATATTGTCATTATTCCCATTTTATAGAGAAGCATGCAGCCACTTCCATCCGGCCTGTCCTCTCCTAGGCCAAACTGACCCATAGAGTAAGGCAGTGCTAAATGGGAGGTGCTCAGGAAAGGGCTGTCATTGCGGAGAGCTAAGCGTCCCTGCCACACTCTGCCCCCGAATCTGCCTGCTCATCGCCTGTCAGTGAGCCCAGGACACCGTCTCAACACAGCATCTTATCCCTCTAGGGTTCTTCCCTCTCAAGCAAAGGACAAAAGTCAAACCCACAGCCTCTGCCACTGCCCCTCCATGCAGGACCTTTTGGTTGCCTAAGAATGGGCAGCTCCCTTCTTGGTGCAAGGAGGAAGAGAGTTGGGCAGGAATGTTCTCCTTTTCCTCCTTAGGAGCAATCCAGTGACCCCATCACTGTCCCAACCACAGCCCTGTGAATACAAAGGGATCTGGAGGGGGAACCCTGGAGATACACGAGGCCAAGGAGAGGAGGCTGGTGCTGATGAGGAGGTGTGGGTACACGGGCGCACAGGCTCACCATGACGTCTTCATGGTGATGGTGAGCCTGGCTGCAACATGGGGAGACACAGATGCAGGACAGGAATAGGGTGAGAGAGAGGGTGGCTGAGGACAAAAATCTGCCTAGATGTCCCCTAGAAAGTGAAAGTTGGATTCTGGCCCTCTTTCAGCTTCCAGTGAAATCTAGACGTAGGCATTAGACCCCCTGCTGAAGAGACTCGGACTGCAGCCACTCCGTCACTGCCAGCTCCCTCTGCAGCCCATCTGCCGAAAGTCTCTTCCTGCAATAGGCATCAATCTTTCCCCAGGATGCTGATGGAAATATTCCAGGATTTTGTTTTTAAAAATGCAAGGTTGAAAGCAACTCTGCTATTGAAAAAGTCTGAAAAATGCACAATCTCATGGCATGCCTTTTTGTGCTGGGAATTCAGTTCCTGATGACCATAGGAGAGGAGGGTGTGCAGACACATGGCCTGGTTCCCCTGTGCAGCTGACGCCTAGGTGGCCTGCAGCAAACCTCACATCCCAGGGACATGTATCAGTGGGGCCGCCTGGGGAGGCAGAGCTGAGTGCTGACAGGTGCAGCCTCATTTCCCTGCTCAGAAGACCCAAGGTTGAATCCTGGCTGTGCCATCTTGTGAAAATTATTTAATTCATTTAATTACATATGAGTCTTAGTTTTCTTAACTGTAACATAAGAAGATCTGTCTCAATTAGCTGACGTAAGGATTAAAATAATGTACATGAAAAGACATTGGTAAACTGGAAACATACAGGTAGTAATCATCATTTTCCCACTCATGAGACTGGGAGAAATGATCATAGTGACCTAACATTTTGTGGCATCTTATAGTTTATAAAACATTTTTAATTAACTAATGCAGGAGAATTTTGTGGAAATATTTGAAATTGTGGCTGGAGATGAAACAAAAGTAGTAAGACTTCAACGAAAAGCACTGGCATTATTTTCACAGCTCAAATATTGAGCAAACATTCATTGAGCATCTACTTTGTTCTGGGCACCAAATGGTGTTTCAAGTCCACTTAGTATGTGATCACTACCAGCACGTGAACAGATACATGGACGTTTTGTTGCGGTCTCACTTTGTGAAGCACCTCTCAAGCCACGTTCTGTGCATTGCCGCGTTTAATCCTCACAATGACCCTGTGAGATGGATATTGTTTCCTTCCCACTTTCCAGACAAGGCTCTGCCACAGCAAGAGGGTAACCAGCTTTCTCAAGATCACACAGCTAGCAGGTGGTAGAGCTGAAATTCAGACGAGGGTCTGGTCCACCTCACCACCATCTTCACTAGCCGCCTTTCCTATGTCACGTGATCACCTCATAAGTCATTTTTATACTTTCCCATGTTAAAGAAAAGGGGAAGGAAAGAAAGTAAAACCTAACCCATTTGACTTCTTCTTGAAGTTTGGATAACAAAATCTCTTGGGAGAGGAAGTTGGCAGTGTCACCAAAAGGGAGATTTGGCTTTACTGAGGATTCGTTCTATCCCCTCTCCTGTAAGGGCAGATGTTTTTAAGAGGCGGCTGTATTCTTCAGAAGAGCTGTTTTTCTCCCTCCTTCCACCATACTGGGGAAGCCCACAGGCAAACCTGGTGGGATAGCCCAGGTGTCTCTACTTCCCTTATGTAACCTACAAAAGGGAGACCAAGTTCAGTGAGTCCTCCTAGGAGGAAGGAGGGAGTTGGCTGGGGGAGGGGACACAGAGTGAGGAGGGGAGGGTGAGGGTGGAGGGAGCAGCACCAGCCTCTCTCCTGCTGGCAGGAAGGGTGATGGCTCATCATCTGAGGGGAGGCTTGTGACTCTTCTAGCCAAGCTGGCATAGAGGCAGGGTCGCCCCCTTCTTTCCCCTGGCCTGCTGAGTCAGTGCCCAGCCACCAGGAGGAAAGTGTGGGGCCAGGGGTGATTCTCCCAATCTCTCAGGCCCCAGCAGGGCCGTCTGTGCTCACCTCGGTAGGAGAACCACTCCATCCAGTGTTTGAAATCACGCAGGTTACAGTCACACTCCCAGGGGTTATCCCCCACCTGCAACAGCTGCAGGTTTGCCAGGGGTTCAAACGTCAGCCGATCCAGGTTCTGCAGGCGATTGGAGCGAAGTGAGAGAGAGCGTAGAGCCAGGAGCCCGTCAAAAAGGCCAGGGGGCAGCTGGGCAAGACCGTTGATGGACAGGTCCAGGTGGCGTAGCAGCGGGGAGTGCCGCAGCAGGTCTCTGTCCAGGGTCCTGATGCTGTTATTGCGCAGCTGCAGCTCGGTCAGATTGGTCAGGTCCCCGAAAATGGAGTGGGGCAGCTGGTCCAGGAAGTTGTTGGACAGGTCCAAGCGCTGCAGGCTGGACAGGTTGGCGAAAGCCCAGCTTGGCAGGGCACTCAGCTTATTGTTCAGGAGCAAGAGGGTTCGGGTGGCCGCAGGCACATCCGGGGGCACCGTGGTGAGGCCTAGACCACTGCAGTCCACCTCCAGGGTGCGGCTGTCACACTTGCAGGAGAAGGGGCAGGTGGGGAAGGCCTCCACCGCATACAGGGCGATCCAGCAGGTGATCCCTTGATAGAAGGGACAGACGGGGGAAAGAAAGCAACAGGCCAGGTCACCACCTCCTGCTTCTCTCCCCTCCTTTCTAGCTCATATCATAACAGGCTCTTGGCTTTATCTCCTTTGGCACAAACCACATCAATGCATAAACATATATTAACCACATAAAAGGATAATTAACAAATCCAAAGCCACTTCCATATTAACAGGCACCACACAGTGTCTGCAGGGCGCCCTGCCTTGCCACACATCTGGCAGATAAATCACTTGAGTGGAGAATGACTCTGCAGACTCAGCCAGGGCCCACAGGACGAGCCACCCTGGTGCACAGCGATGGGAAGCTTATGGGGCCTCCCGCAGTCAGCTCCTAGGGAGCTTGGGTCGCACTGACACCATGGATGTTGATAAAATAAAGGAGATAAGGTTGTCAGAGAAACCCGCCCCATGCCCTCTCCCAGTGTCTCTGCCAGGACAGTTTCTCTTTCCTAAGGAAAATGGCCTGGCTGCTGGCTCCCTCCCCTCTGCGGCCCACCCCCACTCTGGAGCTGCACTGGACAGGCTGTGTATGGAAAGGTGAGAGCACAAAACGGCACTCCTAGCCCTGTCCTTCCCAGCTTCCCAGGTGCTGTTACTTTTCCATGAACCCCACACCCAAGATGACGCCAGCAACTTGGCGTGAGGCTTTAGAGCCCAGGCCTTGCGCCTAGGGTCCCACTGTGGGAATGACAGGCTAAGACGCACAAATCCACTGCTGCATTGACAAATCACTGGCCCAGGAGAAGTTCCTAAAGCTGACCCCCACCCTAAAGTTGACCCCCACCCTAAAGCCATCCAGGCTCTCGGCCTGGGCTTCTGTTCCTAGGGGCTACAGGGCAGCATTCATGCACAATGGCTCAATTCACAGAGTTCCTTTCCTGGTCCCATCTTTTGCCCAAGACCCTTCTGCGTAGCGAGCCTGGGGTCCCATCCACAGGGCTGGAGGGAGTGACCTTCAGCGAACAATCACATCAGAGCAGTGCCTTCCATTGTGGAGTGGCCCTTTCCAGTAGTGGCCTTAAAAACCCTTAAGTGTCCTCCTGAGGAGCAGAGAAGGTTGGTGAAAAGGAACTGGGAAGCACTCAAAATAGCTCAGCCCCATCAGGTCAGCCCAGCCAAGGTCAGTTCCACCCAGCCCAGAGGAAAGACCCCAGCCAGAGAACTGGTAGAAAAGTTCAGATCCAGCTCACAGCCTTCGGCCCACTCCCCACCCCGCCGGGTGCCTGGTTGGGACAGCCTTGAGTCTCTTTCCAATAGGGGCCTGGGAGTCTGGTGTCCCAAAGGAACAGGATGAGACTCTTCGCTTCCCCTGCCTGGAGGGTCTATGACAGCTGAGAGCCACATGTCACATCTGGCTTAGGCCGCCCTGCAGCTTAACAGTGGGCCTTGCTGTTCTCGAGGAGAAGTGAGCACAGGCACAGGCACAGCCCCTGAAGCCCACTGGGGAGACCCTTTCTGGCTATCTGGGGTCACCTCACGTCACGGCTCAGCCTCTCACCCCTCTAAGCCTATCTGCCGCCAGATCATCTGGCTCCACACCACCACCCCAAGCCATTTGAAAATCAGCATTCTTCAGACTTGACTTTCCCCAGGAAAAAAATTCAACCCATTCAGCTTCCCTCTTAAAGAATCAGCATCACCAGAAGCCACTCACCCCACCCAGAAAAGGGGCTGACAGTGGGCCAAGAGAGCTGCTGGAGAAGAGCAACCCTCCACCTGCCCACCCCTCCAGGAGACCAGCGTGGCATAAAAGCTCCAGTGACAAGAAAACAACCCCGTATTGTGAGGTGTTGAGTGATTCTAGAATGAGGTTGAAAGGAGATCTGAGTCACTCAGGGGCCAGCTTCTCACATGGTGAATAATTCAGGCTGCCCATGTTGTGGGGTGCTGTATCACAGGGCTGGCCACAGCGGGAAGTCAGGCGGAAGGCTGTCCCACAGGACCATCTCCTCCCTGCCACCGTCTAGCCTTGGGCAGACCAGCCCCTGCTGACCTTGTCCCTTTGACACATATAAAGAGAATTCTCAGGGCTCCTTTCACGCTAACAGCCGCCAAGCGTTGCCTTCATTCACGCTTCCTCCCTTTTTGGTAAATGGAGGGCTCAGTCTGCCCACATGCAGGAGGGGCTGCCCACACCCCAAAGTCTCTTCCAGCACCGCATCCCAAGAGCCCACTAGGTTGTCTACTGAGAGGTGGGAAAGTGGAGACATAAGGAGCATAAGAGACATCTCCAAGCTGACCCAGCTCCTGGCCAAGGCCAGCCAAGGGGGCAGTTCCCTATGGGAGCAAAAGGGCTCACCAAAGTCTGTGAAACACAGGCTGACAAGCTCAGGTTGGCGAGCTCAGGCTGGCGAGCTCAGACCCCAGTGAGGCTGTGTAAGACTCTGCATTCCAGCAGAGCTCTTTTCTTATCGGGGACCCCAGCAAGGTGACAGAGACTTACCTGGGGGAGGTAGAACAACTGTGGTGGCCTCCAACTCGGAGTCTAACCGCTCAGCACTCTGCGGTGACTCTGACTGGCAGGGATGCTATCACCATGGGCATGACCTGGCTTCCCAAAACATGGCCTCGGGCATCCCAGGAGAATCTGGCCTAGGCTGCCCTGCAGCCTGTGTTGCTACCCACCATCACCTTGGCACCCCCACCCCACCCACGCCCTCCTCCAGGCCAGGGGTGTACTCACAGGACACCTGCCTCCACTGCAGGGCAAGCCTGCCCCTCTGCTCAGGGCTGCTGCCCGGTGCCAGCATGGTGAGGCCCATGGCTCTCCGGGCCCTGTTGCTCTGGGGAGAGAGGAGCCCCTGGGTGCGCCGCCTGTCAGTCCTGAGGGAGGGAGGAGCACTGAGCCCAGGCAGGTGTGGGAGCCCCGTTCCAACTCAGGGGTTAGGGAGAGGGCCCGGGTGTCTCTTTACACTCCTTATGCCCTCTCCTGTTCCTGTTATGATTCCCTGGGTTGGGGAAGAAGAGGAGCCAGGGAACAGAAAGAGAGAAGTCAGGAAACCTTCAACCCCTGGAATGGGGGCGGGCAGGTTTCAGCTTCCCAGGAGCCCGAGGGCGAGGGCAGACATAGTGCTGCCAGGCTGGGGCGCACCCAAGTGTCCACCCAGCCTCCACTGCCTTCTCGTTGCCTCTGAAGTATGTTGATCACTCAAATGTTTTCATGGCAACATGGTCTCCCATCTAGGCATTCCTTGAGTTATGGGGGGAGAAACTAAGGTCATCTCTCCGAGGTGAGCAGTGAGGTCACAGGTCACAGCTGTCACCTGTCCCTGGAGGCTCCCCTAACCTGGGTCCCATTTTCTGCAGCCCCACCACAGCTCACCATGGCCCCAGGGAGGCAGGAGCCAGGCCCTTGGCAGCTACAGCCACGTAGGGTGTGAGCCACTGGGCGGCCTGCTGCTTCCCCCTGCACTGTCGTCGCCCTCGCAGAGGTGAATAGCAACGCTCTGTCTTCCGCCAGCCGGGCTATAATAAGACTCATCAGCTCAGGGGTTCATGCTGCAGCAGCTGCTAGGAAGAGACAGGGACACAGAGGAGAGGTGAGATCGCAGAGCAAGGCCCCGAGGCAGCCAGGGTGCAGGAGCAGGCTTCCTTCCGAGGGAACAAGGGGGCACTTACCCTTTCTAGGGTCTGCCCCCAGTGTCTCTCAACCGAGACACAGGCTGTGTGCTGGGGTCTCCACTTCCTTCCAGATGGGAGGCCCAGGCTGCCAGCCCATCAGAGAGGGAACAGGGGACTGACATGTGTTTATCTGCTGCAGCTGGAGGGGCCGGGGCCGGGAGGGAGGTGCCCCCACCCCGCTCTGCACTCCACAGGTTCCCTGCACCAGGCAGCTCCCAGCCTCTGACCTTCCTTGGTTGCCAGATTTGTCCCTGGGTGATTCCTGGTTGCAGCCTCCCTCTCCCTGCCCCCATGGGCCTGTGCAATTCTGGGGGCTGATATCAATACCAGAGTGGAGCTGACAGCCCCGTAGGTGGATGGAGCCACCGGGAAGCTTGCATGCTGAGCCCAGAAATCTGCAGGTTTCCCCTCGGGTATCAGGGTCCTGCTGCTGTGAACCCTGTTGCCCCATCCTCTCCCCTCTGCTTCCCATGGCCCCTCCTTCCCCGGGTGCTCCTCAGGCGGCCACAGCAGTGCCCCGTTAGAACAGGACAGTCAGCTCTGCCCCCAGCAAGGGCAGCCTGCTTAGGAGCAGAGATCTGCCCTCTTGGCTGTCTTTCCTCCCCTTCCCCCACACAGCAAGGGTGCCAGCCCACCGAGGGCCCTGCAGGGGCTGGCAGAGGGTCACAAGGCTCGGCACAATGTAGGGTTGCAGGCAGCCCAGGTCCCCATGCAGCCTTCGGGTGGACCTCTGTCCCTGGCATGAGGGGTGTAGGAGCCCCTGAGAGTGGCGCCATCACGGTTCTCTAACCACTGTCTCAAGGCCAGGTCCCAGTAGGCTCCTGGTGCCTGTTGGCAGGAGTAGGGGCTCTGGGTTCAAATCCCTGTCTGGCCACTTCTTTAAATAAACTTTCTGGGCCTCAGCTTCTTTACCTCTAGAAGTGGTGACCACAATACCTGATTGGTGGAATTTCTATGAGGATCAATCTAGTGAAGGGAGGAGAGTTGACACACTCAGGGCACATCACCATGGAAATTCAGGCAAAGGTCCCTGCTTTTAGCTTGGACTTGAGCCCAAGACAGGCGTGAGGAGCAGTAGTTCCTCCCTCCAAGGGAGAGGGGTGTCAGCAGCAGGTCTATGTGACAGCTTTTTTTCCCAGTCCCACCAACCTCACACTAACGTTATTTCTTACTTCTGAGTACCCCGGTCCTGTGGAGTCTGTGCATTTCTGCCCCACACCCACGGCCTTCATAGTCCTGCCTTCAAACAGCAGCACCCATGCTGTCTGCCCTTCAAGCCCTGACCTTCAGAACAATCTCTCCTACTCAATTGAGAATGCCCATCACAAGAGCTCACAGTCCACAGCCACCCAAGGCTCAGAGACAATGAGCCCTTGCCCAAGGTCACATGGTAAGTCAGGGACTGGATTGCAGGTTTCTGAGCCAGGCTGTTCTGACTCCCTGTACACTGTCACCCAGCAGTGACCCTTTCAGGGGATACTTACATATGCACAGAGCAGGACACACACACAGGCCTCCCAGACATGTGCTTGGAGCCCTGTACACAGCATGTGATGCAAACACACACCCACAGAGATCTGTGCAGCTAGGCATGTGCTAACACACATGTGCCCCCATGCCTGCACACATGCGCGCACCTTGCAGGCAGCACTCCAGCACTCCTCAAATGCCAACACTCAGGGAGCTGATGAGATGCCTCTACGTTCCCGAATGTCCCCAGCAGACGGATGTGTAAGCCAGTGTAAGCCACCTCCAGCCCGGAAGTCAGGTCTAGAGAGAACCCCTGCAGGGCAGTCCCTAACCCATAAGATACTTCCTATGCTCAGGGCCCATGTTGAGGCTGGATACCCCACCAGGCTTCTGCTCCCACTCCTTCTGGCTTGCTGCAGGCAGACAGGGAGTGGAGAAACCCTCCCACCCAAGCTCAGGCCAGTTTCCACCTAAGGCTTCTGCCTCCTGTGGGCAGATTCCTCTTTTGCACCCCACCCTTTCCCGTCCCTCAGTGTCTCCCCCACTGTGAGCCCAGGGGTTGACCAGCAAACAGGCTGGTGAAGGTGGCCTCTTGTGCAGGTCTGGATGTCCCATCCCCAGCCTCAAATGGGATGTCACCTGCACAGGTCAGGCAAGTCCCCACAATGCAGACCTGCAGGTGTCTCACGAGGTGGCAGGATGCTGTTGATCCTGGTAGTGTCAAGAGAAAACCAAGGCCCCCAGTCCACGCAGATGTGCCCTGTGCTCTCTGAGCAGCTAATCCTGCCAGTGGGTCCCCTTGGGCTTCCTGCTGGAAGAGCCTTCCCGAGAGCAGGAAGAACTGTGCAGCTCGTAGGGGAGGCCAGTCAGTCATACTTGTGTGGCACCACAGGACTCCTAGGGAGAGGTGGGGCTGCAGCCAGCACTTCCTAGTTCCTTATCCTCCGCCTACCAACACACCTCCATCCAAAGGACCCTTCCCACCCCCAGAAGAGTGGAGCCTCCTTAAGGAAAGGGGGTGACCTACATTAGAAAGCTTGGAGAGCAGCTGCTGCAGCAGGCGCTGACAACCGCTGAAATCAATTCACATTCTGGGAGGGAAGTCCCCACCCAGGGTGCAGTATGGGGGACAGTCAGATCTCCTCTCTCCAGGTCCCATGGCGTCATTCCCTATGGACGCTGGGCTTGCTCCTAACCCAGCCCTAGAGACAGGGAGGCCAAAGATAAGGGGTTAGGCCTCCATGGAGTCCCTGGTCTCCCTTCCAGAGAGAGCCAGGATTGGAGAATGGGACTGAGGAGCTCAAAGCTGCCCAGTGGGGAACTCTGGAGCATCAGAAACACAGGGCTACAGAGTGTAACCCATTGCACCTCAAAGTGTGCTCCATGGACCAGAGGCATTGGTCTAGCTTGGGAGCCTTGTAGGAAGGCAGTCTCAGGTGGCATCCAGAGTGAGTGAGTCAGAATCTGCATTTTAACAAGATTCCCCAGGCAATTTTCATGCATATTCGCATTTGATAACTACTAGGCCTGCACCGCTCAGCAGGGCAAATGGCCACCAAGGAGATCATGCTGGCCTGTCCCTGAGCCTCCAGGATGCACTGAGAAACTAATGGGACCTGGGGAGAAACAATCATCACAGTCATAGACCTGTGGAGTGCTCCTCATCCTTTTAACAACTCTCTGAGGTTAGTGTTCTTGTTACTATAATTTTGCAGATGGGGGAAATTGAGGCACAGGAAATTAAGTAACTCGCTAAAATTAAGCAAATGGACTCACTGAGCCCAAGCTCTCTGGCTCCTAACTCGGTTGTCTGCTTACACCAGAGGTTACTTGTACAGGAAAGGCAGAGGTAGGAAGGGAAGACGCCACCTTTCCTCTGAATGGTCCTCTGCAGTTGCCCGGTCCTCTGCAGTTGCCCGGTCCACTCTTCCTGGAGCCGAGAAGGCAGGTGATTTGTCCCCATATACCTGATGAAGGAAGAGGCTTTGTGACTTGCTGGACTGAGATGCAAGCAAGCCAGGTTCCCCGCTTCCCAGCCTCCCTTCTTGAAGCTCTGGAGGCCGGGCGCAGTGGCTCACGCATATAATCACAGCACATTCGGAGGCCAAGGCAGGTGGATCACGAGGCCAAGAGATTAAGACCATCCTGGTCAACATGGTGAAACCCTGTCTCTACTAAAAATACAAAAAAATTAGCTGGTCATGGTGGCGCGTGCCTGTAGTGCCAGCTACTGGGGAGGCTGAGGCAGGAGAATTGCTCGAACCCAGGAGGCAGAGATTGCGGTGAGCCGAGATCGCACCATTGCACTCCAGCCTGAGTAACAAGAGTGAAACTCCGTCTCAAAAAGAAGAAGAAGCCCTGGGAGGCCAGGCTCATACAGAGAGTGGAGGGGGCTTTCTAGAAACCTTTCTGGCTGGGGGATGTGTTGTGTGCTGAGGTGAGGGGAATAGGCTGGAGCTATGATCTGGGGCAGCCAGGGCTGGGGAGGCCATGGGGAAGCAGCAGACCCCAGTAGGAGCAGGGGGTTCCACTTGCGGAGCTGAGTGGGCTGCAGCCACCCTGGAGACTGGGGGTGGGAGCTTTCTCCCTGCTAGCACCCCACCTGGCCCCTCAGGGTGTGGAGCAGCCTGATGCACTCACTCACTGTGGAAAGCTAGGTTGGGACAGCGGGAGGCTGGACGCTCCATGCACCTGCCCCTTCCATTCCTCCTCAGATGGAAGTGAATTAATCTAGGCTCAGGCTCTCGCTGGAAACCGCCAGCACACTCCCCTGGTGTTCGCGCCCTTCCTCTCATGTGTCTGCGCATGTCTATCCCTCCATGTCAAGTGTCCAAGACACACAGCCAGCTAATGCCCATCAGGCCTCTGCCTCTGAGTTCCTGACTCCTAGGCCATCACACTGGCCCTACTGTGTGCCCGCTCTGCTGGGATCTCCCCTGGGTCAAGGGTCCCTGACTCAGGACAAGGCCTCCACAACCCTCAGCATGGAAGACTCACAGAACTCCTCATTTCCAAGTTCGCTCATTTGGGTAAAAGGGGCCTTGGCAGCCCACTCTGCCACCCCCTTCACTCTGCAGAAGGCCACAGAGAACCAGAGCTGGGACTAGGCTCATACCCTGGGCCTGCAGGGGCAGTGCCCTTCTGTCAACCCCAGAAAGGCTGAGAGGGAGCCCAGAGAGTGGGCAGCCAGAGCCCCATGCAGAAGACGGCAGAGATTCCGTGTGGCTGGGACGCTGTCTAGGCTGGGCTCCCCCTGACGCTGCACATGGGGCGTCCAGAGCCTCTAGGACACATGCTAGATCTCTTCTCTGCCCATCACCCCCACCACACATACTGCCCAGGCAGTAAGGAAGCAGGTTTTGTACTTGGAACAGACATATGCCCTCCTGGTTCATTTTAAAACACATGCCCCATCCTCACCCCCAGCTTCCTACACTCCTGTTTCCTTGTCAGATATTCCCAATCCCAAACAGACCCTCTGGGAAGCAGAACAGAGAAGACACCTCAGCGGCTCCTCAGGGGAGCTGCTCCCTAACATGAAGGATATAAGGTGTCCACTGGGCCCTGGGACTAGGCTCAGGGTGGTGGCCCCAGACAAGGTGCAGGGGAGGCCTGGCTGGGTGAAGAAGGACCAGAGGGGCAGACAGCCTCTATGCTGGCTCCTTCCTCCACCCCCAGAGCTCCCAAACACCCACAATCATCGCATACACACCACCCCCTCCTCCCTTCCTGCACTGCCCGCTGAGGCCAAAGCAGCCCAGAGGTGGGTCCTGGGCCCTGGTGCCTGGGAAATGGGAGCAGGGTTTGCTCATCCTGGGCTCAGACAGGCTTCTGCCAACTCCCAAAGACACCAGATCAGCTGCTTAAGCAGGCATTCTCCTTCCCCTCCCCGTGGGCCTGGCTTTCCTGGTCTCCCTCTTTTGGCAGTGCTGAGACTTTCTTTCTGCGGTGGGGAGGTGGGGGTGGGAAGAGCTGGGCTCTTCTTGGCAGCTCGGAAGCTGCTGTCGGGTTTCCCTACCAGCTGGACTTCCCCCGCCTCAGCTCCACGTGCTCAGCTCCCTCCCCACCCCAACCTGAGGCAGTTATCTAAGCTGCAGGGGTGTCATCTGAGTCACAGAGGCACTGCCCAAAGAGCCCTGACAGCCAGGTGCCAGCACCCCCCAGAAATGTGGACAGCTTGGGGGTGGGAGAGACAGACCCACCAACTGGAACCTAGCCCCAGACCTGTGGGGAGGTGCTGGAATACGAACTTCTGGCTCCCGGTCAGGCTGCCCCTCTCTCCGGCGCTGTCCAAATGGGCCTGGGGGATTTAGAGCTACTGCCCACTCCACTCAGGGTGTCTGTGACCCCTGCCTGGGTTAAGAAGCCAGACAGGCCTGGTCCCGCTGTGGTCCCCGGCGCCCAAGCTCAGGGCACAGCCCCCACTAAGGCTCCTTGACCCATTTGTAGATTGACGATGGGCGTACAGCTGTGGGATACCCCAGCAGGTTCTCACAGGCCTGGTTCTCCTGTCTTGCCCTTGGGCTAGCAGGGAAGGGCTTCTCTCTCTTGCCCACTCCCGGCCTCGCCCTCACCTGGGAGGCTTCAGGCATAGCTAAGTGGACCTGTGCTCATCTGGGGGAGGGATCCTCCACACCCTTGTCCAAGGACAGCCACCTGCAGGCAGCCTGTAGGGAGGCCCAGTCCCTGGGTCTGTGCCCATGCCTCAGACACCCAGATCCTCCGCCTTGCCACCCTCCACCCTGATCCTTCCTCTTATCTGTTCCTAGCACCCTGCCGCCATCCCACCCACTTCCCTTGACACCCGAGTTTCTTGGGGCTCTCTGTACGGAGCCAGACACACGGACAGCACAAGGTTCCTGGCTGCTTCTTGCATGCTGCAGGGACCGGTTTCCATGCCACCCGGGGCTGTCATCTGGCACCAGCACTGCCCTCCTCCCGCTTCCCAGCAGAATCCACAGCTCTTGTCCCCAGCACTGTGGGATCAGAGTTCCTAGTGTCCTGCACCTTTGGGATGCTCAGGTGCCTGAGCCTGAGCAGCTTCTTCAGGCCCAGCAACTGCCTCCAGGTAGGAAGCAACTGCAGCTATTCCTGCAGGGCAAAGAGATGGCAGGTCCCCACTTCCCATGCCCCACCACCCCCTGTCCACACCAACCCTCCATTCCTTCCCACCAGCTGCTCAGCACTCACCCGTCTTTACTCTGACCGCAAACGCCTTCAATCAGGTGGCTCTCAATCCTCCAGTGAGACCCTCCTGGGATTCCTGGAGAAATCCAGACACCACCGGCAGGCAGAGCGCAGTGGGCATTGGTGCCAGAGTCTCCACTCAGCGGGAGCAGGGGCTGGCACACAGCACACAGCACCAGGAGGTGGACTGCTTGCGGCAGACAGGGGACGGTGCTGCTGGGTCAGTCACAAACTGAGAAGGAAACAGAGGGATGGAGGGAGAGAGAGAGGAGAGAGGGAAGAAAGGGGCGAGGGAGGAGAGCGCGCGCGTGTGTGCACGAGCAACAAGCCGGAGCAGAGCGGGAGTGGGGAGTGACAGCTGGGGTGCATCTGTGATGACAGCGGCAGCAGCACACACAGGCGCACACCAGAGGCACCACGACCGCTGCGAGGGCTGTGCTCATCCTGTCCGTGCTCACATTTCAGTGGAAAACGGTGCCTGTGGCTGAATCGCTGCTGACCCCCGGGAGGAGGAAAGCTGTTTCACCACCACCTCCATCTCCTACTCCGCGCCTCCAGGCTCTCCCTCACCCCTGGGCTGCACCTGTCTTCTGTGCCCCTCTCCGCTCTCCCCTTCCATCTGGGGAAAGAAGGGCAGGCACAGACACAGAGCCAGCGGCTGACTTTTGTTCCTATTGAGGCCCCCCTGGGAAGCGGGTCTTTCTCCTATTTCAGAGACATGCAAGGCAGCGCCTTCCATCTGCCTGTGAGAGAAGGAAAAACCAAACCCTTCTCTAGGTCATTCAAAAGAAGTGTCCTTTGTAGGGACATGGATGAACCTGGAGAACATCATTCTCCGCAAACTGACACAAGAACAGAAAATGAAATACCACCGAATGCTCTCACTCATAGGCGAGTGTTGAATAATGAGAACACATGGACATAGGGAGGGGAGCATCACACACTGGGGTCTATTGGGGGGAATAGGGGAGGAACAGTGGGGGGTGGGGAGTTGGGGAGAGATAGCATGGGGAGAAATGCCAGATATAGGTGAAGGGGAGGAAGGCAGCAAATCACACTGCCATGTGTGTACCTTTGCAACAATCTTGCATGTTCTTCACATGTACCCCAAAACCTAACATGCAATTAAAAAAAGAAGGGTGCACAGGAATGTCCATGTGCCAAATGGCCTTACACAAAAGGGCCCTGAGCCCCACAAAGGCAGGGATCACATGGTCATGCAGAGGTCACTGAGCCTCAGGGTCTGACCACCCCAGGCCAAGACTATTTAGGGGAGCAGAATGCCAGAGTTGGCAGGCTGGGAGCTTGGGCACTGGGCAGCCTGCAGCAGCAACTTGCAGAGTGTTCTCAGTGCTGGGGATGAGCTTGGCTTCTCAGGGCTCCTTGCTCTTATCTATGATGGGTCAGGCACATGCAAAGGGAAGAGACTGTCATTCAAGAACTCGGAGGCCTCTTTCCTAACCAATCAGGAAAAAGCAAGTCAGAGAAATTGATATCCCAAGAGATGGGAAGTAGGTAATCTGAAGGCCAAGTAAGTCAGGGACCAAGCCAGAGGGGATCCAGGGCCCCACCAGCTTGGTGCACCAACCCTACACCCCCCTTCCTTTGTGTCCACTCTGTGGACAGGTGAAGTAGCGTGCTGGAATTATATCACTGTGGCCCAGGTCCCTCTTCCATTTTGCCTGCTTTCTTGGGGGGATTCACAATCAGGACTGGAGTCAGGCTGCCCCTAGAAGGATGCTCCTGCATTCTCCCTTCTGCCTGCTCTGCTGGGTCCAGGGCAGCACAGGGCTTGAGCTGCTGTCCCAGGAGGAGAAGGCAGTGTCTTTTACCTCTGGGGAATTCCCTGCCTCTCACCTCTCCCTGTTGGTGCCTCTCACACATCCCACCATCAAGCAGAAGAGGTTCCCTCCTCCCCAAAAACATGCTTCCTGCTTCTCCATCTCCATGAAAGCGTGTCCTTCCTTGGGCCTGAAATGCTCTCCTGACCATAGGTGGCCTCCCCCTTCCTTAAAAACTCAACCAGCATGTCACCTGCAATATGACATTTCCCTGGAATGCCCCAGGACTGGCCCTGCTCCTCGTCCAACATCGCATTGTCTCTGGGCCACCATCCCGTGCGCAGGGGCTGTGGCGTGCTTCATATCCTTTCCTCCACTGAGCGGTTGGAGCAGAGGGACCAGCCTCACCTGCTCCGTGTCCTTCAGGCCCCAGCGCCTTCATGTCAATTGAGCAAGGAATGGAAGACATGAAAGAGCTCGAGCCTGGGCGTCAGGGGACCCAACTCCAGACTCTGTTGCTCAAGGACTAGCTAGTAAGTTCACTCAGCAGCTCCAGGCCTTGCTGGCTTGGATTCCTGCTCTGTAGAATGAGACAAGTTGAGATCTCTGGTCTCCCTTCTGGCACTGGCTTTCTGTGACCTAAGTATTCACTGTGCACCTGCTGGGTCCCCAGCTTGTGTTACAAAAGATGATCCCCCTCATGCCCCACAGTCCCCATCCAGTGCAACTCGCAGTCTCCTGATTGGGTTCTCAAGACAGAGGAGGAGGAAAGAGAAGCAGATACAAGGGTTAGGAGGGCAGAGCTGGAGCTTCTGACTCCTGGGACCACAGCACTCAACAGTGTGCAAACTCATGTGTTCATGCGCATGCTGTGTGTGTACATGTGCATATGCATGTGTGTGCAAGTGTATGTGCATGCTTTTGTGTCCATGTGTACATGAATGTGTGTGTCCATGTGTGTGCATGTAAGTGTGTGTGCATGCACAGCTGTTTGGTTTTGCCATCTGTGATGACACAGCAGCACCGAGGTGGCAGTCTGCGTGCACAGTAAAGACGTACATCTTGATAAGCCGCCTGCCGGCCTGGCCTTATTGAGGCTCTTTATAACGTTGTCTGCCAGTGGAGCTGAGCTGAGATCTTACAGGAAAGCTGCTTTGGAGGAAGGCACAAGATCAATGTGGAGAGGCAGCGCAGAGAGGGAAGGCAGGAGAAAGCCTGGAGAGGGAGGACAGGAGGGAAGGAAGGGGCCCAGGCCAGCTGGGGCAGGAGGAAGGGTCTGAGATTTGTCCTTGCATTCCCTCGGGCCCTTTGCCTGAATTTCTCTTCACTGGAAGGTGTGAGCTTGTCTGCAAACATGATATCATAAGGTGCTGTCTCCTGCACACAGTGGGCTAGCAGGAGATGATGGGAGGCAGGGCAGCCCTCCCCACAAGTAGCCACTCACCCGCAAGAGCAGAGCAGGGCCTGGGGAGAAGACTCGGTTCCCTGGGTGTCTAGAGTAGAAAAGCATGACTTGGGTTGTGGGACAGGAGTTGGCAGAAGGATTCAATATGATGAAGGCCAAGGGGTGCAGGCGGCTGGGCCTGGCAGAACACCATCGGCTCGCTGGTAAATCGATCTGCACGCCTCACTGCCTTTCCTCCCAGTACCGCATCTTGTCTTCAGGATCTTACAGTTCCTGCCATGAGGAAGTTTTTCTTTGTGTCTCACTTAAGTCTCCATTTCTTAGTGGATGGCCTCCTAGGTCTTCAAGGGACAGAGAGCACAGCTAAACCCCAAGCTCAGGATCTCAAGTTCGGGGACAGTGAGAGGGCACAGCAAAATGGAGAGGAAGGAGGTCAGCAAGGCCCCTGAAGCTTGGAGGGAAGGGACAGTGAGATAGGGTAGAATTCTGCCTCACTGTCAAGTGGCTGGCTCAAATCAAATTTGCTCACTTAAGAAGAATTTGCAGAGTCACACTGTGATAGGTACAGTTCTAGGTGCTGGGGGTCAGAACTCAATTCCCTGCCTGCTATTAGCCCCAGACAGACAATAAATGAGACAGCAAATCAATGAACAAATCATGTCACTTAGAAAATTTAAAAAGCAATGAGACAGAGAGTGAAAGGTGAGGGAGGGGAACCTGCTTTATCTCGGGAGACCAGGGACAGCCACTCTAGATGATGCTGGGCTGAGACCTGATGATGGGAAGGAGCCAGCCATGTAAAGTTCTAGGGAAAGAGCATTCTAGGAGGAGAGAACAGCTGGCACAAATCCTCTGGGGAATGAGCTTAACATGTTTGAGAGGTGACGTGTTTCTGGTTGAAATCAGAGAAATCAGCAGAGCCAGTTCATGTGGCCATCTTACAAGTTTAGATTTTGTTTTAAGATCAATGGAGGCTGGGTACAGTGGCTCATGCCTGCAATCCCAGCACTTTAGGAAGCTGAGGCGGGTGGATCACTTGAGGTCAGGAGTTCGAGACCAATCTGGCCAACATGGTAAAACCCCCTCTCTACTAAAAATACAAAAATTAGTCGTGCATGGTGGCATGTACCTATAATCCCAGATACTTGAGAGGCTGAGTCAGAAGAATCACTTGAACCCAAGAGGCAGAGGTTGCAATGAGCTGAGTCCATGACACTGAACTCCAGCCTGGGTGACAGATCAAGACTGCATCTCAAAAAACAAAACAAACAAAACAGATCAATGGAAAGACATTGGAGGGTTTTAAGTCAGGGAGTGGTGTGATTTGATCTTCAGAAAGATCACCCTTGTGGCTCTGTGGAGAATGGATCATAGAGAGGCAGGCTGGAAGGCAAGGGGACAGCTCAGGGTGCTTGCATTAATCCAAGTGACAGCGGTGTTGGCTTGGCCAACAGTGGAAACCGTGGAGATGGAAGGAAATGAACACATTTATGAAGTTTTGGAACTAAGGTGTGCAGACCTTGGATGGGAGGAGGAAAAATGATAGCAATCCACTAGAATATGTGTCCTGAAATGGAGAAGTCTCCAGGAGGGTCAGGTTTGGGGGAGAACATGTCAAGTTCAAAGTGCCTTCCAGTGACCCAAGTGGAGAAGACATGCCAATAGGTAGTGGGAATGACCTAAGTTTTGCAAAGGACACCCAGGGGCAAAAGACACACAGCCTGCCTTGGAGGAACCTGGGATGGAACCTAGTGAGGAAGAATCTGCTCTGTGTCCTGCTCCCCCCATTTCTGCCCAAGGAGCCTCAAAACCTACACCCACACCTTCTCCAGATGCCCCATGTTAGAATCATGGAATTTATTCCAGCTCAAAAATCTCATGATGCTATACAACTTGACACTGAGCCATCGAATGGAAAGGCGGAGTCTCATTCTAGGAATAATGAGAGACCTCTTTGACCCTGGAGGCCAAGGACAGGATGAAGGAAGCCTTCTTAAATCCGAAGGTTTGGTCATTCTGAACCCTAGCATGTTTCACCCCTGATGATCCTCTTTGAGTCAGAATTTTCCTACAGGTGAAAGAAGTCTATCTAAAATGAATATGTAGGGTGGTCTTATAAGGAAAAAGAAGGAGAGGAGACTGAGGGGTCCCTGTAGCCTAAGAGGGGCAGATGAGCAGGAGGAGGAGCGCAGAGGAGATGAGCAGGAGGAGGAGCTTGGCCCTGCTGGCCCCCGAGCACGCCTCACCTGCAGCTGTGCGCTGTGTTGGCAGCTCTCATCTTTGTCATGAGCCAACAGATGGGTCACCTGTCCCCTTCCAGCCCACTCCTTTCAGTCACCTGGACCTCAAAGCAACAGAGACGCCCCCAAAAAACTCAAATGTTCCTATCTTGTAGGACCTGTTCAAAAAGGCCAGCCAGCCAGAGTACCACCCCAGGGTTGCCATGAGACTCCCAGGCCGGGAGGGGCCTCTCAGGGCCTTAGTTTCTTCATCTGCAAACTCAGATTAGCTTTGGAACAACGCTGTCCAATATGGTAGCCAGCAATCATACATGGCTATTTAATTTTAAGTTAAATAAAATTAAATTTTTAAAAAATTCAAGTCCTCAGGCTCGCTAGTCACACTCCAAGTTCTTGGTAGCCACATGTGGCTATTGGCTACTGTTTAGGACAGCACAGATGTGGGTCATCTTCATCATCTTAGACGATGCAATCGGTGAGGCTTTAAGACAGGGGTTTCCTGAATATGGTGCCTGGACTAGCAGCATCGGCAACCCCTGAACACTTCAGAAATTCTCAGGCCTCACCCTGGACTCCCTGAAGGAGAAACTCTGGGGGTGGGTTTTAACAAGGCTTCCAGGCGATTCTGGTGCATGCTGGAGTTTAAAAACCAAGGCTCTTGTCTAGAGTAACAACCTCTCACATTATCTCACTGGAGCCTTAACAATCTTAGGCTCCTTCTGCCCTCCTACGGAAGTCAAACCATGACTCATCTTGCAGCTGAGGAGACAAAATTCGAAGATCACAACCCTGGAAAATGCAGGGCTGGACCTCTGGCCCTTGAGCCTTCCCTGTTCTTTCCCCCCACCCCCCCATCAAATTTCTCTAAGATCATTCCAGATGGAAAAAACAAAAACACAGTTCTGTAACTCTGTGCCATACGGGAACTCCTGCCAACTGAGTACTCGAGAAATGAGAATAGTTGTGGTGGAGACAATGGTTAAGAACCCACACCCGTTGACATTTCACAGATGAGGAAACCAAAGCCTGAGTATACAGTGGCTTGCCCGTGCCCACCGCTCCTTCCCAACCACCAGGACTCAGTCCAGGTCCAGAGAGAAGGCAGGTCCAGAGAGGAGGCAGATGCGGAGAGGAGGCAGGTTCTGAGAGGAGGCAGGTGTGGAGATAGACAGGCCCAGGTTGCAGTCCTGCTTCTGTTCTTAACAAGCTGGTGACTTGGGCAAGCGTGTGACTCTGAAAAGCCTCCATCTCTTCAGCTCAGAAAGTCAGAATAATAATAGGACTGGCCTGCTGTGGGATTCAATACACTCATGCATGTGAGGTGCCGGACGTGTTCTAAGCACCCAGCGCAGTTTTGATATTATTATAGCAGACACTAGGAAGCTGGCCTAGTTTTGAAATTCTTCTTCTTTTCAGTATAACCCGCCTTTTCTTTCTATTCATTGGCCCCAAGTTTTCCTGGAGCCTTTGTCCCAGATTCCTCTTGGTATGTGAGCACCCGCTTGGGTTCTCCAAGCCTATTCGGGAAGCAGAAAGGCAGTGTGGCCCTTGGAAGCAGAGGCATCAAAAGAGAACTATTTGCCAGTTGGTGGTGCCTGCGGTGTCCTGGAACCCACCTGCAGCCCTGGGCAAATCTGATCCTGACTTTGAGCAGGAAAAGAGCCTCCTTCTGAAGTGGGGAAGATCCTGAGCAGGCAGTGGGAGTAAAGGAGGTGGTTACACCAGGTTGTAGTGCAATGGCCTGAATTCCAGTCTCAGGGCACCACTCCTGGTCACGTGATTTGGTCAAATGGGTGGGTCTCTCTGGCCTCTATATTCTCATCTCTGGGAAAGGGGAGACTAAGCGGTCCTTCAGTTCCCAGAGGCTGGGGATGAATCTGCCCTCATTGCTCTCTGGAATGGGAGTCTTGTCGCTGCTGAGCACTTTCTGGCACTGTTCTTCGAGTGGGAACAAGAGAGGCTGCCATCTCTCTTCTTCCTCCCTCCTCCCACTCCCCAGAAACCTCAATTTGCACTCTGCCCTCTGACTCAGTCCTCCCATCCGCTGCTGTCTCTCTCCTCAGTTCCTGCTGAAGCACCTCCTCTCTTTAACTTGAATATATTTTTCTCTCCCCATCTCTTCCCTGTCCTTGCCCTCCCTCTTCCTGCCCTGTAGCGGTGGGCGTCCAGATGAAGCTAGAATTCCTCCAGCGCAAATTCTGGGCGGCAACGCAGCAGGTAGGTGTGATGTTGGGCCAGGTCAGGCCTGGAGACTCCCCACGCTTTTCAGGTACAAGAACCCCTCGCACCCCACAGGATGCTCCGCCTGCCTTGAGGCCCTCGGGATGCCCTCCTGGCCCCTCCTGTTCTCAGCCCCTCAGCTCCCCAGCCTGCAGGCCGAGCCTCAGCCCTGGTCCACAGCCCCTTCGGGCCCAGTGGCAAGGGGCAAGACCCAGCATCACCCCCTCTCAACACCCAAAGCCACTGGCATGCCTCCCACTGCAGAGGGACAGCTGCCCACTCCACCATCCAGGGTCCAGGGACCAGGGTCCAGGGTCCAGGCCCTGATGGCTGGCAAGAGATGCCAGAAAAAACAGCGGCTTCTGGCTGAGAACTCCTAGCTCTGCCTGCCCCGTCCCATTCTACTGGCTCCTTCCCCTCTGCTTCCCCAGAGCCCCCAGGTACCTCTGGCTTCTGAGCTGCCCCCACCATCTCCCACAAGCTCCTCCAGCCCCAATCTCCCACAATGCCGGGCCACTCAGCTCCCTTCACTTGCTGCTGTGGCCTGGCTTTTGGCAAGTGCAGGGAGCCCAAGAGGGAAGCAGGAGGGACAGAGGGCAGGGACCTGGGGGGACCTACAGCCTCACCAGATGGCCAGCGCAGAAGCCCCGCAGAGCCCACAAGCCACCTCCCCACAGCAGCCATGAGGCCTAGGGCTACTTGGGCCACTCCACCAGCTAGGGCCTGCAGCATTCAGCACCCACAGGCCACATACCACACACGTCACACACACCATGCTATTTACACACACCACACTCGTGTGCCCTCCACATACAGATACACACCCACACATGGAAACACACATGCACACACCTCATACACGTGCTGTCCACATGACACACACATCCCACACCCCACACACGTGCCTTCTGCATGCAGATGCACACCCAGTACACACATACTGCAAATGTACCACACACAGTGTTCCCACTCACATGCACCATCTCCACTACATGGATGCAGGTGTCACATTCAGTCTCTCTTCTTCCTTCCAGTGCAGCACTGGGGACATGCCGTGCACACAGAGCTGCGAGGACAGTGTAAGTTCTGCCCATGTGAGGAAGGTGGAGGAGGGGAGCCATGGCCCTCCATCCAGTCCTCCTGGAGAGCCAGCTTCCCTCTCCCAAATGCCCTCCTTCCCTGCAGCGAAGGTTCCCACGCTGCCTTCCAGAACTTTAGGGACGGGCAGAGGAGCCGGGCTGGGTGAGGGCCCTGGCCATAACCTCCCTTCTGGGTTTCCTCCCAGGATCTGGACTGCTTCGTGGTCGACAACAACGGGTTCATTCTGATCTCCGAGAGGTCCCAAGAGGTGAGTCACTGGGGATGTAGAATGGGGGGAGAGGGCGGCAGGAGGACGGGAGACAGCCGGCAGCCACTCCAGCCACGGCCCCAGGAGGGAGCCCTGCTCAGGGCCACTGCAGTGAAAGGGCTGAAGAAAAGGTATTCTTGAAGCCAAAGTCAACATAGCAAGATGGCAGAATTTGGAGCATTTTTCAACTGAGAGGTCAGAGAAAATATTACTTCTTTGTTCTATCTGACACTAGCCCGGCCTCCTCACGTGGCTGGTAGGAGCCATCTTGGGGCCCTGCCTGGCCACACTGGCCCAGCCTCACGCTGGGCCTCCTCCCAGGGGTCCAAGCACACCCACTCATCAGGTCACTCCCTGCACCCCGCTTTTCTACCATCATGGGGCCCAGAAGGCATAGCTTCCCCACTCATGTTCTTGTCCTGTCTGGACCTTATGGAAAAGTATATTCTTGCCCACCACACCTGGCCTTCGGTGTGCCAGGGAGAAATGGAGGGTGGACACGAAGCGTTTGCACCTGAATGCCTGGTTTGCACATTCTAATCTTCCCCCGCTCCCACCGCCCCTGCCGGGTGTGGGTATCTCCCTGAATGCAGCATGCACTCAGAAAGGAAAAAGAGAAAGTAGAATAATGGTTTTATACTTGCTGGGCTCCAAAAGGGGCCTCAAAATGGATTATTTCTTTAGCCAGGAATCAAACTGAGAAAGAAGCCCATTCGAACCTCAAGCAAATCTAGATCTATTCACTAGATGTATTTCCTTCAAGCATGGCAGAAGCATCGGAACGGCCTCCCACCTGAGCCTTGGGGGAAGGGGCATAGTGTTTGGTTCTATGTGAGCGTTGCCACTAGTTAGAAATGTGATGCGGGCAAGTGACTTTCATTAGCTGTGCCTCGCTGGGGGCTGGACTACACAGTGTCTAAGCCAACCCCAGCTGAAGGCTCTAAGTGCCTGGGATGAGGAGGCTGATGCAGAGGTCGTGGCCAAGGCCACCTCCACGCATCGCAGGGCTGTGGTCTGGCCTGAGCGGGTGTGGCTTAAGATCCAAAGCAGTTGTCAGAACAGAGAACCAGAGCCTGGTGTCGGAAGGAGACTTGGGAAAGAGGGCAAGTGAGGACAAAGGGGCACCAGTGGATCAGGAAATCTAACTCCTTGGGGTAGTGTTTAAACGACCCACTTAACATGCAGCAGTTTTCAGCCACAGGAATAGAGAACCCGAAGATGGTTCCATTCAACTTCCTCTTGGTGGGAGTCAGGGCGAGGCTCTGCGGGACTCAGCTCATTGTTCATCGTGGCCAGCTGGGTGCCTGCCTCTGGTTTCCCCCTCCTCCCTTTCATGCCCTCTTTTGGCCATTTCACTCCTCTCCAGACAGAGCACCAGGCCTTTGTAGTTTTCAGTTGTTCTGGGAGAAACCGGTGACGATAGGAGTTGAAGCATGGTTGGTGTGAGGCTCTGGGATTACCTGGTGCCCCCTCTTTTGTGCTCCAACCCCTCCCGCCCTGGGTAACTGAAACTGATCACGTCCCCAGGCCTCCTGAGGTGTTGGCTTTTAAGGGCCAGAGCCTGGCCTTGGGCGTCCCAGAGAGAGCTTGGATCCTGGACACTGGGATGGGAGGTGGCAGAACGGAGGGAGAGGATGGTCAGGCCTGAGGGCGAGCTCTAGAGCAGGGGTAGGTGAGCATTTCCTAAAGGGGCAGATGTACATTTTGATTTTGAGCTTCACAAGACTCAGCCCTGCTATGGCAGCAAGAAAGCCACCATGGGTGATCTGTTAGCAAATGCACATGGCGCTGCTCCAGTAAAACCTTTGAATACTGACATGTGAATTTCATATAAATTTCATGTGTCATGAGATGTTACCAGTCTTTTGACATTTTTTTCCCCAACCACTTGAAAATGGAAAAGCCAGTCTTAGATCAAGGTCCCACATGAATCAAGAATGAGCCAATCTTGGCCCACGGGCTGTAGTTGCCAGCCCCTGCTCCAGAGGCCGCCAGACAACTGTGCAGGGAGATGGCCCTGGAGGGGAACCACCCCAGCCTTGAGAGAAGCTGGCAAGCACGTGGCATCTCAAGATAGGAACCCTGGAGGGGCCTCTCATAACCCACTGGGCTGCTTTGGTCCTATTCTGTCCAGACCACATTTGCTCACGTCTTCAGATTGTAAAATCACTGAGAACAACTTTGGATAAGATGTGGTAGCAATCGATGATTCAGAGATTGATATTAGATAACGTGTTTGTTTACTTAACTCATTCACCCCCATTTCCTATTACGTTTTTACCCTGTACGTGGTTTTATGTGCCGTCCCAAATCCTCTGTGAAAAGAAGGTGGGCAGCAACGAACTGGACTTCTAGAGGCTCCTGCCAGGGCCCCTGCTCCCACCGTACTTGGCTCACCCTTGCTCCCTGAACAGCGATGCCACAGAAGTGAGGAGGGCCCCCCACATCATCTGCTGGGACCTTATTAGTCTCACTTCACACAGGAGGGGAAAATGAGGTCCTGCAAGGTTAGGGCATTAACCCAAAAACTCACAGCCACAGAAAAGCCAGACTTCAAACCCAGAAAGCCAAGTGAAGAACAGCAAAGAAGAGGGGGAAGAAGATTCTAGAAAAGACCTCTTGTAAGGGAAACTGAGTGGGGAGAACACTGGTCTTGATGGGACCTGAGCATTTGCAGGGCACGGTTCTTGACCCCAGCTAGACTGGCCTTCCCTGGTGGGTGTGGAGGCTGCAAGTCCCGGCCCCCTGTATGACATTCCTGGCCCTGAGCCCCACGCAGGTCACTCTGTCACCACTCAAGGTGGAGTTCATTCACTTGCTGCGCTCAGCTGAGTCTCATGGAATTAGGACCAATGCCTCTAGGACATGAAAGGCAAGGCCCAGGAATTCCAACCCTGGGTTAAGCTCTGGGCTAGTGTCAAGGCCCTGGGGGTCATGGCACTGTGACAGGGCTCACTTCGTCTTTCCTCACTTGGGACAGCTCTGACCCTGCAGCCTGAGCTGTGTTGGGTTATGGGAAGGCACCAGGCTGGAGACCCCACCTGGCGTGCTGCCTGGCACACAGCAGACACTTGATAACTGTGTGGAAAACCGAACTGGCCTGAAAGTTCTAGGCCTGGAAGTAGCAGGCGCTGGACTAGAAGACAAGTAGAAGACAGGGTGGCAGAGGGTCTGGGGCTAATGCCACTTGTTCAGCTGTCCAACCCTCTGTCCATCCATCTGTTTTGCTGTTTTTTAAAACTCATTCATTTAACAACTCTGTAGCAGTTATCTATTGCTGCATAACAAATTATCACAAAAGTAGTGGCTGATAACCACAAGACTTAAAATCTGGCTGTTTCTGTGGGTAAGGATCTGGGTACGCTGGCTCAGGGTCTTGCACAAGGCAATAGCATCCAGGTCCCCAGGGCTGCTGTCATTTCCAGGCCTGATGGAGAAGGATCTGCATCCGGCCACACTCACGTGGTCGTTGGCAGCATTCAGTTCCTCCAGGGCTGTGAGACTAAAGCCTCCTCTCCCACAGCGGGCAGTTTCCATCAACAGACTGACCAAGGCAAGGTGGAAGTCACAGTCTTTTGAAACCTGATTTCAGAAGTCACATCCCACCACTTTTACCATATTCTGCTTGCTAAAATCAAGTTACTGTGTCCAATCTACACTCAAGAGGAGGCTTTTACACAAGGGCAGGACTCCCAAGAGGCCGGGATCACTGTGAACCTCTTCAGAGTCTGCCCACCACCAACTCCCACCAGCCAACCCAAACCTGCCCCTCTCTCCCAAACACACAAGTGCCATCGAAGGCCACAGGGCTGGCCTGCCAGACTCATTCACTCCTCGCTGCACCTCCCTGCTTATCTGTAGGTCTCCATTGTGGCTGAAGGACAGAAGCCCCAGCATCTGGGAGCTGATTAGGGATGCAGGTTTGCCAGGGTCCCATCCCAGACCTAGGGACTCAGACATTCTGGGGCTGGCAGTCTGCTTGAGGGAGCCCTCCAGGTGACTGGGTACATGGTGGGTTCTGAACCCTGCCCAGGCCTCCTGGCTGCAGAGGGTCTGGATACACTTTAGCCAGCTGCTGTCACTTTCCTGACTGGGCAAATGTGCCAAAAGTTTCCAGCGACTCTTTGTCCCTGCCAGGGTTCACCCAAGGACCTGGAGAGGAGCCTATTGAGCTGCAGACTCAAAGATTCTTCCCAGACAAAGTCCTTCCACGCCCTCCCTCACCCAAGGCCCTCCTCCCTGTAGTCAGTGAGTGGGGAAACCGCAAGGGCCCCATCTGCAGCCAGCCTGAGGGAGCGGCTGCTTGGCTCTCCTGCCACTGGTGGTGCTCCAGGCCTGCTGATTAGACATTTGGCCTCTCTTCCAGGGCAGGGCTCATTCTTTTTTCTTTTTTTTTTTAAATTTAATTTTATTTTTATTTTTTAAAATAATAAAATGTTGGTAAGGCTGATCTTGAACTCCCAACCTCAGGTGATCTGCCCGCCTTGGCCTCCAAAGTGCTTGGATTACAGGCGTGAGCCACCACACCCGGCCAGGGCTCATTCTTATAATAAAGAGCTAGGGATGCCAAGATTGTAACCCTCGACATGGGGCCTGGAAAGAGAAGCAGACAGCTGGGGACAGATAGTGACAGCAGCTCTGTGGAGCTTTGTAATATATATCGTGGATCTGTCACCCTGAATCTGGGGACTCCAATTCCTGTCATTTGCTTCTGGGCAGCACCCATCCATGGGAGTTCAAAATGAACCTCCAAGGGGCACAACTGCAGCCTAGAAAATCGGAGGCACCACCCCAGCACCTTCCCTTGAGGGGCCTGGATCTCTCAGAGCACAGCACCCTGCTCCCTCCACATCCCAGCCCAGTGAGCTGGGACCAGGCAGGCACTCAGAGCAGGGTGCCCCTTTCTGTCCTCAGGGGGTGTCAGGTCTGGGCCTCAGCTCCTGTTTCTCTAAATCCCTCTCACCTTCCCTGCCCCCTGCGACTCACCCAGCCCAGGCTCTTCATCTTCAAATTCACTCTCCCAGCCTAGCACATGTTCCCGTCTTCTCCACTCTGGGCAGCCTGCCTCTGCCATCTTTCAGGGCACCCCTTGCCCTGGTAGCAGTGCTCCCTCTGTCTTCTTGGCATCCCAAATGGCCCTGCTCGACCGGGCCCTCCCGCAATAAAATTAATCCTGTGGTGGTCAGAGGCAGGCTCTTCAAGCGGCTTTCGCGGGAGTGCAGTGCTGCCCCACTCCCACCCCCTCTTCCACATCCCTCCCAGGCACCCCTTAGGAGACTGCAGCCTGGGGTACAGAGGAGCAGGCGAGACTGCACAAGCCAGGAGCAGAGGAAAGGAAACTGATCCCCACACGAGCCAGACACGGGGATTTGAGTGTCCACACCCCTTAGGAGAATGAGCCCCCAACTTCAAAGAAGAAACCAGGGCTGCCCCTAGGTAAAGAGGCCATGGGACATTTACTCCATCTGTCACAAGACTGAAGATCACCCCTTTTCTCTGGGCACAGCCTCCTACAGCCTTGCAAATTACTATCCAGGCCGGGGAGGGACTGCCCAACCTCTCATCACATGCTCCCCATCTGCTTCCCCTGCAGGCTCCTGGGTGATGCTCATACCCAGGGGAGGCTCCCTGCCTCCCCACAGCCTCCCTGCAGACTCAAATACCGGGCAGGGAGTTTCTCGACCCTTCCGACCCAGCCCCAGAGTTCAGGTGGCCCATGGGCCACTGTTTATTTGTGAATTGTCCCCGTGAAAAGGGGACCCGAGAGGTCAGTCCCCTGCATCGTATTGTGCTTTCGCTGCCACTCCACGGGCGGTCTGGGGCTCCTAAATCCACAAGGCATCCCACGTCGACGTTTGGACCTTGACTTTGCAGGTTCAGGGACTCGATTTGAGCCGGGGATTTGCTGTGACAAAGTTCAAAAGAAACTATCAGCCAGGAATTGTGTTCTGCTGCCAGAAGAGTCTCCACTACAGTGGCTTAAACAACTAAAGGTGTATTCTCTCATTAAAGAATGGATGGAGGCAGCCTGGGCCCGGCCAGGGCCTATCCGCAACGTCTCAGCACAGCTGGAGGGGCTCCTGTCCAGAGCACAATGGCAAGAACGGCAGCAGGCAGGTCTTGGGGCCGCTTGCCGGAAGTCCCTCCCGGCGGCTCTGCTCACATTCCATTGGCCACCCCTTGCCGCAGGGCCTACTGGGAAATGTAGTCTTTTCCCCGAGCACATGGCTGCCATAATTAAAGTCAGGCTGCCTAACTAAAGAAGACAGAGAGAATGGATATTTTCTGTCAGAGTGACAAATCCTAGAAAAAATCAAGTTATTTATTTACGAAGGGGGATACATTTTTCTAGTGTCCAGGATACACATGCTTGCTCTTAGGGATCTCTCTTAGAATCAAGTGTCTAAACAACAGGATAGTTGGTGAATAAGCCTGGAATTAGGAGGCAGAATGGGACAGGCTTGTAAGAATTAAACCAACCTTGTCAGAAGCCTTGTCTCCACGCTGCTGCACTTCCTCAGGGAGCAGAAGACTCAGGTCATTCATTCCCTCACCCATTCCTTCAGCACATATGCATGGAATAATAACTGTGAACCGGACATGGTGTGGTGCTGTGGGACAGAGATGAACTTCTGTCCTCTAGAATTTTGCTGTCAGGTGATGGAGTGACAGAGGAAACAAACACACTCACACAGTAACGAAAATAGCCAAAAGCGAGCCCCAGCTGAGAGGGATCACTCTAGCTGGAGGCAGCAGGGAGAGCTTTAGGGCTGCACCTTGAAGAACAGCGAGAGCTTTAGGGCTGCACCTTGAAGAACAGCGAGAGCTTTAGGGCTGCACCTTAAAGAACAGGCAGGGCTTCAATGCCTTTCACATTCTCATGTGCTGTGCTGTTCCTGGAATGCCCTTGACCCTCCCTGCTGTCCCTCTGCTGTGTTCACTGCCTTCTTCCATGCAGCCTGCCAGGACTTTGGGCTCCCACTCCTTTCCACCACTGTCAGAGGTGCTGGTTATCAGAGGGTCTTGTCTGAGGTCTGTCCATGCAAACTAGTCTGAAGCTCTTGATTCGTGTCCATTTCATTCATTTTTGCATCAGACTCACCTGGTGAGTGCCGTGTGAATAAAAGGTGTAATGAAATAGTTTTTGGTGGTCAGAGCATTCCGGGTGAGGAACTAGCAGAGTGTAGGCAAGTCTGAGTACCTTTGTCTACACCTGTTTCCCTCCTATTTAGTTTTGTAATCGACCTGTCTGTTTTTAGATTACAGTTTGCCATGCATTTTTAGTGGGTTGCATCCTTACGTTTTAATTTTATAAGTCAGCTATTTCCACTTATACAGGAAATACTGTAGGATGTAAGGACTATATTTTGTTACTTAATTCCAATTTGGAAAGTAATATTCTGACTTCATCCCAGATTCCTCATGTGGGCGCATTTGGAGACCTGTGGCTCCATATTGGCTGATTATAAGTCACAGCATTATGAACCATGGGCATGGTCCTGGGGTTATTGTCCTGAAATGGGACCATCACCTCTTATTTGGAAGAGAACTTCTCTGATTGTTCATTGGGTGTCAAGAGTCATGCGTTCTAACTAGCCTTTGTCTGGAATAACTCTCGTTCCCTTTAGAAGGCTTGCTGGCGTCTACTTGGCTGCCAGGGCAGGCCCCAGGTGGACACCCAGACAGTGCCTGGCTTTCCTTGAGGTTGTCCAGGTCCATGTGCCTGAGCTTCTGTGCCAGCCTTGCATTTCTTTTTATTGGTAGTTTTCATACATGTCATTCATTTTGAGCCCGGGCAGCTAGAAAGCTCTCCATGAAGAACCTGACATGGCCATCAGCTCAGCACCCACCTCCCTTCCCTGCCAAAGTTCCACACTGACTATGTCCAGGTACCAAGACACTTTAGGGAATTCAGAGATGAGTAAGACATGGTCCTGTCCTCATACAGTTTTCAACCAAGTATCTTATCAGGCAGAGTGAGACGAGGACTGTGGCGTGTAGGCCACAGGCTGTCAGTGTGCAGCGCAGGGCCTCATTTTAGCTGGAAAAGTTAGAATTGAAAGACTTCCCAGGGATGGTGAAGAAAAACGTTCCTTGGCTTGAGGGCAGAGAAAGGTAATCAGGGCAGGGAGAACAGCCAAGCCAGAGCCCAGACCTTTCCTCATAACAATGGCTGCCATTTTTCAAGTATTTACTGGGAGACACATCTTAAAGGGCACACGCTATCCCCAATCTTTAAGACAGCTTACATTCAAGTCAAAATCCAACACCAAGCCCAAGCTCTGCCACCCTGCCAGGCTGAGAAACAGCAGAGTCAAGAGGCTAGGGCAAGTACAGAGGCCATGAGCAGTGGAAGAGCAGAGGACCTGAGGCCTTCCTCAGCCAGCTAGGGGGCCAATGCCTGGCACAGGGCACAGGAGCCACAAAACACTGGCTGATGGGCAATGAAAGGGTGGCCGGGGACAGGAGGGAGGGTCCTATCTTATTTTTTTTTAATGAAGACAAGAGTGACCCATCCATGATGCATTTGAGGAATATGACTCTGGCAGTGCCACAGGGACGAGGGGAGAGGTCAGTTAGGAGGCCAGGTGGGCAATGGAGAGAGGGTGAGTGATCCAGTTAGGCTGTTGTCATGGAGGGGACAAATGACCGATCCACAGGGCACACTGATTATGAGAGGTGACGGAGGGACATCAAAAGCAACAGCAGCCCTCTCACACTGGGAGGATGCAGATACCAGGTGTGCATGAGATAGGCACTGCTGCTTTTGACCTTGACCTGCAGAAACATGTTTTATATCTGACCCAACACACACACACACAGAGCATATACAACAAATCCAGTTTCACAAAACATTCTTCAACCTTGCTGCAAGTGATTCATACAGAATTGTTCCAAGGAATTCTATACCATTTTTAAAAAATCATATTGTAACCTCTAGGTTGGTCTCATAGCCAGCTGGCAGATAACTGCTTCCGGTTTAGAAAGCACCAGGCTGGAGGGGGTAAGGAGCCAGGATTGGAGAGGGCATGGGTGGAAGGTTCAGCTGGATTATGCTGAGAGGCATCTAGAGGGAAAGCCCAGCTGGCACCAAAAGCCTCGACCCGAGCTGATAGTAGTGCTGGACTCAGAAGGCTTCATCCTGCTCTGCCTCTTTCCCTCTCTCTCTCTGCTCTCCCTCCCTCACAGATGGGAAGATTTCTGGGGGAGGTGGATGGTGCTGTCATGACCCAGCTGCTCAGCATGGGGGTGTTCAGCCAGTAAGTGGGGCACACTCTTCCCCAGTCCAAATAGACAACAGTAAGCCGACAGATGACCCTAAGTGGTCCAGGCGGATCTTGGGATCCTGATGTCCAAAATGCATAGTGGGTGCCCCAAAAGCAACCTTTATGGAGCCAGGGCATCCACGTGATGTGGGGAGGGCATTAGGTGATGTGGGCATCCCTGGGAGGGACCTCACAGCTCAGACCCTTGAGGGGAACACTGTCCAGCTCGAAGGGCAAGCCATTTGCTCTTCATTGTCTTTAAACCATTCCAAGCACAGAAATGTAATTTTCAGCATGAGCTGTCTTCTGATCTGCTGTCCTAGCTCAGGCGCCCTCAGGAATTGCAGTGAATGGATGCTCTGCTAGTAAAGCCTCCTGAGGCAGGGGCAGGGTATGGGGGTGGCTTTGAACTCATCACAGCCTGTGTCTGATTTTCAGAGTGACCATGTATGACTACCAGGCCATGTGCAAACCCTCGAGTCACCACCACAGCGCAGCGCAGCCCCTGGTCAGCGTGAGTGTCACCCAGCCCTTCCCTCTGCCAGCCAGCCAGTCCTCTGCCCTGTCCTGGAATGAGGTCACTGGTCCTTGCTCTCACTCACCTCGGGCATCTAGCTCCAGGGCCCCACCTTGACCATCTCCACCTTCTGCTCAGAGCCACTGCTCTGTCCCGCTCCCAGGCAGGCCTGTGGGTCTAGCTTTGGGGCTTCAAAGGGACTGCTCTGGCAGCTGTGACTTAACAGGGTCTCTGGTGGAGACAGGGAGAGCAGCCTGCCCCAGCCTCAGCCCCTGATGCTGCCGCTAGACCACCAGGGGTCCTCAGCAGTGCCTCACCAGAATGAGGGCTAGACTCGTCTCCTGAGGGGCATGTCCAACCCCACCCGAGATGTCTGACCTGCAGTAGGCATTTCCCTGCTAGCTCAGCTCTGCAGGGCAGATGGGAGGTAGGGGGATGCAGGGTGCTGGGTTGTGGGCCTGTGCCCTGCCACACCCCCTCCCAGTGGCGGGGCAGCCCTCTGGTCTCTCTGAGGGTGGTGCTGGGGTGGGGGACACCCTCACCCTTGGACCTAGGTGTGAGCGCTGTGCACTCTCTCCTTCCCAGCCAATTTCTGCCTTCTTGATGGCGACCAGATGGCTGCTGCAGGAGCTGGTGCTGTGAGTGGGGTGGACATGGGACTGGCAGAGGGCTGCATGTGAGGGTGGCTTAGAAGGGTGTCCTTGAGCAGGGGCTGCAAGGTCTCCAGGACAACCCCTTGCTCCCGGACCCCAGGGAAGGAGGGCACGGTCCCTGAACATCACCTCCTCCCTGCAGGCTGCCCCTGGGAGGGACCTCACTGCTAACCCCAGAGCCCTCAAGCAGGGAAGAGGGTGTCTTGGAAAAAAAGGAATGGGCTAGGGGCTGTCAGGGATACTCCAGCCCCTTGGGGACCCAAGAGGACTCCAGGGTTTCCAAGATTCCGTCCTGTGTCTGATAGGTTCCTGCTGGAGTGGAGCGTCTGGGGCTCCTGGTACGACAGAGGGGCCGAGGGTGAGTGAACGGAGCTGCAGGGCCATGTGCTGAAGAGCAGTGGCATTTTGGTCTCTCCCCATGGGGTGGGTGATGGTGGGGATAGGCAACCCTGAGGCATCGTTGTTCACATCTCATCCTGCGTGGCCTTCTCTCATCACCTCTCTCACTCCTGGTTCTGTGTGTGACATCATCTTGGGACACCGCCACTCCATGTGCCATCATCGCCACCCCATGACATCCTGCCCTCATGTGCCACCATGCTTCTCCTGTGCCATGTCCACCCTGTGCTGGGCTCACGTCCCGGCTAGCCAAAAGTGTCTTCCATCACTGTAAGTAGCCCCTCAGAGGCGACCCCTGCTGGTGGAGGGTTGGGGATGCAGCAGGAGCCACAAAGAACCTGCCCTCCATGACCTGTCCCAGGAATGGACCCCAAGCAGGGCTGAGCTCTCCCGGTTTAAAGCACCTTTCCTGGGGGTTGGGGGACTGGGGAGTCTAGCCCAGATCTCATCCCACATGAGGAGAGTCAGGCACCAGGGAAAATTAGAAACTCCAGCCTCCCTTTGGGTAAGAACATGTAAGATTCCAATAGGAAGGGTGGTAGGGCCGGGCAGCCATGAGCCAGTATGAGTGAGCAGCAGCCAGACCACCCCTTGGAGAAGCAAAGAGTGGCGCCCCCAGCTCAGGTGTCACCAGCCCTCAGCGGGACTCCAGGTTTCAAGGGCCCCAGGAAGTTCTCAGGATGATTCCCCTCCGGGACCCTGTGTCTGAGGACACAGTCCCCAGAGGCAGTGACCATGAGAAACCCCAACAAAAAGACTGGTGGCTCTGGCCACACGCGCAGGGTGGCGATGAGCTTGGTCTTTCAAAGCATTCATTCCCTGGGCGCCTGGGTGCTCCATGACCACAGGAGGCCATCTTGCCTCAGCGGGCTCTGCTCAGCTCCTTTGTGTTCATAGAACCTTTGCCATGGGGTTCCAGAATCTCCCACCACCTGGGCTGTCCCCAACTTGTCCCATCTCTTCATCTCCACTGTGGTCCCTCTCTGGCTTGCTCTTCATTCTCTCCTGCTGGCCTTGGCCTGGGGCATCCTCTGCCCCTGGGCTCAGAGAATTTCCAGCTGTGTCTCCAGAGTCCTTCGGGACTCACACCCAGATCAGCGGGGCTGCTCCGAGCGTTCGCAGTCCGTAGGTGTCAGTGAAGGAACCAGGAATGCTGTGTCACTTAGAAGCAGGTCCCTGCCCCCCTGCACAGGAATACAGGGCTCCACCCTGGGGGGGGACACTGCCCCCTCTGTCTCTCTCCGTCAGCAGCTGCATCTTGCAAAAGCTGAGGATGATCCCCCTCAATCTGCCTGCTCAGAATTTCTCCTCTCTGGGGCAGCTGTCCCCTGGAGCTCCTCCCCCTGGCCTAGGAGGCCTGTCCTGCCCTGCCCAGGTGTCAGTGTCCTCAGTGAAACAGCACTGGACTTGGAGTCCCAGGCCAGGGTGTAGGAGCTGTGACCCCTTTCTACTGTGTGACCCTGGGGACACCATTCCACCCTGCTTTTGTCAGGCAGGCTTTTGTACCCAGCCCTGGAGACAAAACCCACAACCCTGGCTGCCGTGGGCTTGCTCCTCTCAGTGAGGGTTTTTTGCATGCCGGCTGGTGACCTCTCTGGGTTTTGAGCTCTGGCTGGAGAGGAGACCCATGCTGTCCTGTAGGACTCCGTGTAACTTCCGCCTGGGAAGTTACCTCACACCTGCCCCCGCCTATAAGCCTATCCCTTGGGGGTCACATTGCCAGCCCTCTCCCTGCCACAGCCAGGCCCTGAGAACAGAAAGGTCATGCAGAGAGCCTTGGGAGAAGTAGGAGCCTTGGGCACAGTCCCTGCCTGTGCTCGGCCTTGCTCTGCCCCACTGTGTGGGGGCGCCCGGCGGAAACAAACCTAGGTCCCCCAGAGCCTTTGGTTGAGTCCTCTGTCCCTGTCCCAGTGAGCTAGGGCAAATCACACATCCCCCAAGGAGCCCTGTGCCCGAGGCTGTGCCTTCTAGGCTTCAGCAGCCCCAGGCCTGGAGCCCACCTGCCCGGCTGCCCCTCACCCTGGGCACTCAGGCTTGATGGGTGGAGTGTGGGCCTGGCAGGATCGCCCAGGAGCTGCATTGGGTCTGTCCACAGTGAAGGGAGGGGCAGTGGGCCTAAGTCCCCCCAAGCCACTCCTTGGTGCCCCTACAGCCTCTGCTCCCCCCCTTAGACCCTCCTTCGGGGATCTGGGTGCTGGAAGGAGCCCTGAAGATGGTGCACTGCCCCAGCTCACAGTGAGGCTGGGGTCCCTCCACGGGCCCTCCCCGTGTGAAGCCACTCTCTTCAGAGACTCCGTGTGCCTTCCCCTCTTCCCCCCCCACCCACTCCTCCCACACGTACCCTGAGACCTGCCTGAGGAGTGGCCATCTGCAGATGGCCTGAGGTGAACACTACCTGTTGCTGGGAGTGCTGGGTGAGGTCACCCCAGGGCAGGCCCTCCAAGGCCCCTTCATTGGTGTGACGCCCTTTCTCGGTCTGCCCTGCCCGCAGCACACAAACAGAAGAAGCAGGACCAGCTGCAGCCCTGCGACACGGAGTACCCCGTATTCGTGTACCAGCCGGCCATCCGGGAGGCCAACGGGATCATCGAGTGCGGGGCCTGCCAGAAGTGAGAGCCCGGGGCGCCGCTGCCCGGCCAAGTATAGGCGGGGCCTGGAACCCCGGGAGGAGGGGCCGCCTCTAAGTACAGGGCCACAATTCCAGGGTCTTCCCCCACCATCTGCAGGAGGCGGGAGGTCTGAGGCGGGCAGGACGGCTGGGGACCCGGACAGTCGGGTGTGCTGCCTTAGGCGGGTGGGGAGAGGCGTCCCGAGGCCAGACCCTGTGTGGCGAGCCCACCCCACAGAGGCCGCAGGGGACCCCAGGCGTCTCCCTCGCCCCTGCATAGGCACAGGCTAGGCCTAGGCGGTGCCAGCGCCTGCAGCTGAGCTGCCAGGGGAGAACTCGGGAGGCAGGGGAGGTGTGAGAAGAGAAAGTGTGCGAGGTCCTCGGCCGCTGGGAACCCCGGCAGCAGCGCTGTCAGGCCTCCTGCTGGGTGGAAGCCGTCAGCTCCATCCCGCCCTAGCCCCGGGGAGGCAAGGAGGCCGGAACGAAGGGTCTCTCCGATTGTCCCCCGTACCCCCAGCCCGAGAAGGCCCCCACCCTGGGAACGGAGCGGCTTCCCCCAGGGTCGTCTCAGCCAGATGTGCGGCTCGCCAGACGGTCCCTAGACCCCCAGGTCCGCGGCAAGTCACTTAATAGCGCGGCACCTGCGCCGCTGGCGTGGGGTTCCCATCGCCCCTCCCTGCGCCTCATGCTGTGCGGGGTTTCACCGGGGTATACGCAGGGCTGAGGGTTGGGACTAGAGTCCCCAGTGCCCTTAGCGCAAAGGCTCGGCGGAGGACAGAGGCAGAGGTCGGAGTGAAGCCAGGGCTTAGAGTATACAGACCTGAGCTTAAAACTGGCTCTGGGCCGGGCGCTGTGGCTCACGCCTGTAATCCCAGTTGGCGAAACCCCGTCTCTACTAAAAATACAAAAATTAGGCGCCTGTAATCCCAGCTACTCGGGAGGCTGAGGCAAGAGAATCGCTTGAACCCGGGAGGTGGAGGTTGCAGTGAGCCGAGATCGCGCCACTGCACCCCAGCCTGGGAGACAGGGCGAGACTCCGTCTCAAAAAACCAAACCAAAACAAAAAACTGGCTCTGCTCTTCCCCACTCCTGACCGTGGGCGAGTGACTTCGCCTCCTCTAGCCTCCGTTTCCTCATCTACAAAATGGGCACAACACCGGCCTCACAGAGAGCTGTGAAGGTTGAGTAGATGTGGCTGTGGTGTGCACTCGTGGGTGTGTAGACTACCCACCCTGGGGGAGGCGCTCGGTAGGCGGCAGCTGTGACTGCTGGGAGGCGGTGGGCGGGCTCCACCCCACCCCTCGCAAGGCGGCCTCGCCAAGCGCGGGACCACTGCGCCACCTGGTGGCCAACCTCCAGCACTGCCGCTTCGCCCAGGCCTGCCCCCACCACCCTCATCCAAAGCTAGCGCGGCCTCACCCGCCCATTTGCTCAGGATGGTCTTGATTGACGCCTGTTGTCCCTGCATGTATTAATTATTCTGCACTCTACAAAGCGGCCCAGTTTGGACTTCTTCACCTTCTCCAATCTGCTAGAAAAGGGAATGTAGCAGCAAAGGCTTGTGGGGAAGGCCAGCAGGACTGAGCCGTTGCCCAGGCCCCTTCCCACAGCGCCCCTCACCCACCCTGCCTTATAGTTCCAGGCTTCCCTGTCACTCCAACTCCACACTAAAGTCTCCAGAAGTTCCTTCCCTAGAAGCCCTTCTCTTGGTGGCCACCGAGCCGTCCTCGATTCCCTCTCTTTGCTGCAGGGTATTTGTGGTGCAACAGATTCCCAAGAGTAACCTTCTCCTCCTGGTCACAGACCCCACCTGTGACTGCAGCATCTTCCCGCCAGTGGTGCAGGAGGCGACAGAAGTCAAATATATCCTGCAATCCTCCGGGATGTGTGGGGTGGGGCTTGGATTTTGAGCAGCAGGGCCAGCCTCCATCACCACCCGCCCGTCCTCCTCAGGGCGTTGTCTTCTTTAATCCTTCCCTGGGCCCCAGTGCTGCCTCCTGACCTCGAAGCTACTTGCAGAGCAAATGATGGCACCAGGGCAGGTTCTTTCAGACCTTGGTGCAGTCTGCAGAATGGGCTCCGGTCCTGAGATATTGACCTTAACAGTGGCTTCTGCACATAATGCCTCTGTCAAATGTGACCGGTTGCGCTCTCAGAAGGTCCGCCGGCGGCCAGACTCCTGCCATGCCTTCCATCCAGAGGTTCGGGCTGAGAGGGGTTGAGGGTGGGCTGGATCTTCACCCTCGAGCCCTCTGTGCCTTGGCCTGTGCCCCTGCAGCCAGGAGCACATATGGATACCAAGGAACACGCCTGTGCCTGTGCTTCTTGGGGGAAGCATTTGTGTTTATGCCCTGTGACGCTGTGCTAGAATAAGAAACAGATATTTGGTCTTTGTCCTGATTCCTGGCAAGCTCCTAAAACCCTTGCTATTTCCTGAATGAGTAGGGTGACAGGTGCATCTTTTGTTACAGTATTTGGTCTTAGTCCCTGGTTCCTGCACAGGTGCCTTTAAGACGCCTGGAATGACAGGGGTGTCTTTGTATCCTAATTAGCTGACTGGTGACTGGGGGCCCTAGGCAGGATGGTGCTAGTCACAGGACTACAGGGTTGGGACTTTTGGCTCCAATCTCCTGGCTTCGGGGAAAGGAAGGGGGCTGGAGATTGAGTTGATCACCAATGGGCAAAGATTTAATCAATCATGCCTACCGAAATGAAGCCTCCATAAAATCCCTGAACAATGGTGTTTGGAGAGTGTCCCGGATGGTGAAGGGGTGTGAGAGCTCTGTGCACCCTGTGCCTTGGCCTGTATGTCTCTTCAGCTCTGCTGCCTGAGCTGTGTCCTTTATCATAAACTGGGAATGGTGGGGGAAGCACCTTCCTGAGTCCAGTGAGCCACACTAACAAATCATGCAGACTGAAATGGGGTCATGGGAACCCTAGACTTACAGCCAGTCTGTCAGGACAGGAGACCAGGGGCTTTCGATTGGTATGTGAAGTGAGGGCCACCTTGTGGGACTGAGCCCTGTAACTTGTGAGATATAATGCTAACTCTCGATAGTGTCAGACTTGAATTGAACTACAGGAGAGACATCCAGCTGGTGTCCAGAGAGTGGGACAGGGAAAACCGTTCACATTTGTTGAAGAGATGGTGTGAAAACATAGCAGAGCCCCTATATCATTAAAATACAAAGTCAACTGGGATCCAAGGTGCTTTAACAAACAGCCATGCTTCCTAGGGTTTGGGCCCTGGGTGAATTAGAATGCCATTTTCCCATCTTGCCTGCATTCCCACCACACTTAGCTCTGAATGATCTGAGCAATGTGAGGAGACTGTCGTGTGGATAATAGTCATAGTGGCTGGTATGGATCCTGAGCCGGGTGCTTCATGCACAGTCCAGTCTGTTGGACAGGGTTGCCCTGAATAATCCCCATCAGAGATGCTCCCAGAGTTGAGGGCTTTCCTGAAGCCATTCTGAGAGGATAACCCTACAGCCACTCCAAGCCTGGGGGCAAGCAAAGGCTAATCCCCCACTCCCAGGCTGAGGGGCCAGGCTCTGCTTTTCTCCCAAAAGGTAGGGGCCTAAGAAAGGTGGCAGTGATTCCCTGGCTTTCTGAAACTCCCCTTTCCCCAGGATTTTGGCCCCCATTAGTGGTGGAGGCCCCTCTCTTTTTGGGGCTCCTCTGAGTGCTGCCCTCTCACCTCTGCTTCGGGTTCGCAGGAGAACGCCCAGGACTGCGGTGGTGCCTCAGACACCTCAGCCTCGCTGCCCCTACTCCTGATGCCTGTGTGTGCCTGGGGGCTACTGCCCCAACTCCTGAGGTGACACCACCCAGCCTGACCTGTGTTTTGACAAGGTGATCCTTCCAGAACCATCCCAAAGAGCCAGCACTGACATGGGATGCAACTAACTGCAGTTGGGTCACCCCCAGACTAATGCTCCTCTCAATCCTGGGCTGATGGCTTCTGCCTCCAGAGAATGCTGGATGGAACATGAAACCAATCACCTGGCACCACCTGCAAGATGCTTAATGGTGCCCAATACCATCCACCCAGGTCTCAAAAGGAGCATCCTTCTAACCTTCCTGTATCCTCTGGGGAAGCCCAGAGGATTGAGCTCAGCTTGGACCAAGACAAAATAATTTAGTTCCTCCTGTAAGCCAGAGTCCAGACCCAGCCAAAAAATGGTCAGATGCTTCTGAGTGGTCTCCAGTAGAACCCAAGGACTTCCGGGTACTGAGAAAAAGCAGCAGAATGAGGCCAATTGCAGAGATGAGGCTAAAGCAAGAACATGCCCCAACTAAAGCATAGATTCCCCAAAGGAGGCTCCAGGTGGAAGGCAAGGCAGCTCACTTTACTAGCTGCTGCTCAAAAAAGTTTTGACTGTGTTGGGGTGGAGGGTGGAGGTTGGGTAAGGGAATGGTAAAGAATGAGAAAGATATTAAATCCTTTTAGGAAATATCGACAGGGCTGCATCTGATGTTTTGGGAAGTTGTTATTGAAGAACTTCCCAAAACTTCTTTACAAAGCCCTAACTTAAAGGAAAGTTTGCATCTATGACAAGCCAGTAGGGATATCCAACTGCTGCATGGAACCTGATGTGCATTCAGGGGATAGCAAAAATAGCTGTAGCATAGTGAAAAAGAGCAGTCATTGTACTCTTTTTCTGGCCACTGATTTACAAAAGTATCCACTTGACTCTGTCCCTGGGGTGAAATCCTTAGGATTGGAACTTGTGGGAACATTCCAATTTGCTAAGCAGCTCCACTGGGAGGGAAGCTGTATCTGGGAACTCACCCCCAGCGCACACACATCTCCCCAAGGGTCCCAAGGGCCTGCAGCTTCCTCCCCCCACCAAACCCCAAGACCTGGATCCAGGGAGACAACAGTCTCCACAGTGAGAACAACATTTAGGGCAAAATCATAGGGAAATTCGGGAGAGGCCTCAAATCTGTCAGTTTAACCAACCCCAGTGATGAGCTTGGATAGTATGTGGGACTTTGGGGGCCCTTCCTCCTGCTCCTCCATCACCCTCAGCCTCCACACTTTAAAGTACAAGCTGTTCAAGTTTCCTACCAGCAAACAGCCCTAACTTCCCTTTAGAGTAGGCCAACTGTATAAAACACACATTATAGATTACAGAATGTCACTCTTGTCGTCGTGTCTTCCAACAATCCCGTTGAGGGCAGAATTAATGCCCCCTTACAGCAGAAGACATTGCAGCTCAGAGAAGCCAGTTCAAGTGGCAGGATAATGCTAGAACACTAAGGTTTACAGGTACCAAATAACATGTTTCAGCTCATTCCATCCTCACAACAGCTCCCTGAAAGTGAGTACTAGCATTAGTACCATGTTATAGAAACTGCAGGAGAGTTGAAAATTGCCTCGAAATTATTGGAGGAGTATTGTGAAGACTGAATGTGACATATTCATGTAACATGCTTGAAACTTCCTGGCATATAGTAAATGCTAAATAAATACATGCTAACTGCTATCATTACGTTACCTTGTTTCATGGAGGTGGGGACAAAGAAATGACAATTTAGATGCCAGGAACAGTAAGGTGTCCAATAGGCCCAGGGGTGTTAAGAAAGCAGCAAGGAGCTCTTCCCAGCCCCTGGGCCACCATTTCTGTGTGTGGCAACTATGTGACACAGCAGGATGAGTACACCCTAACCCTTGCCCTGCCACTTCCTGACAAAGCTGTGGCCGCCCCACCTGCTGTTCATTCTTTAGCATTACGGCACTCCTCCAACTGCATTTAACCCCAACTACCAACTCACAGAGACCCACCAGCAGTATCTCTAGGACAATAACCAACCCAGTTGGAAGGCTTATCTTCCCCACCCAAACAGGAGAAACACTTTCATGCAAATTTATCAACTCTTAAAAAAGCAAGATTAGGAAGCTGGAGCAGCTTCTGGCCTTGTTTTTTCGGCTTCCTGTGAATCCCACGTCTCTGCATGGCCAAGGGGGTTGTAAGATCTGGGAATCCAAGACCGTTGCAAGGAAAAACCACTTCTGATAAACTTTCTGTACCTTGGAGAACAGAATATTCTCGTAAGTTTTGCCTTTGGAGGTCAAAACAATTCCTCCTTTTCTTTTAGCAGAACCACTAATGGACAGCAGGTGGCAGCCTGGCTCACGGTAAAGCCCAGTACCTGCTCAGAGACACGAGGTTGGAACCTGAGTCATTTAATAGAGTGAAGAATTATTGAAATCTTAGTGTTGTACACCTTTGAAGAACCAGGAACTCAAAGATGTTGTCAAATCCTACTAAATCTACCCTAATAATGTTGTATATTTTAATAGAAGAGGTTTCAGAGAAAATGCTTCAACCATTTCATAATGCTCAGGGAAATTTTGGTTTGGGGGAAGGGGGCAAGAAAGTGAGCATATCGTAAGGCCAGAAAAGTAAACGAAGTCCACAAAAGGAAGGAATTGGAGCACGGGTCTGGCAGAAACCCCAATCACTATGGGAAGTTTGAGGAAATGATCTATAGGAGCAACAGCATCTCAGCGAAGGCTCTAGAGGGTGTATCGCTGGCCTCTTTTTAACGGAACACCAAGGCTAGACAAGCAAACAGCCACTTGCCCACACTACATGGCAAATGGCACAACCAAGATCTGAAGCTACGCTTTTCATTTCCAGGTAGTGTAGCAAGGCAGGGACATGGGACAATAGGACAGCAGTGACGCGAGGCTGCATGCTCCAGCAGCTTCCTTCCTGCCCCTCCCTGATCCATGCCATCAGCAGCAGCACTACATGAATGAGCCAGGCTGGCCTTGTTTCACCAAGTCAAACAGATGAAGGCAGAACAGATTTGTACATTAGATAGGGTGTTGGGGGACAGCGCTGGCTAGTAAATGGTTCATGCCCTCTGAGGGAAGGACAAAATGAAACACTACAATTAATGCAGAATATTCAAGAAGTGCATGTTGTTTCTGGGATGATTTTAAAGTAACACTACCCAGAGGCTTCTCTAGGCAACTGGAGCCCTAGCACTCTGTAAAGTCGGAATCTAAACTTATCCTTACCTCCTTCCTCTACAAACATCCACGTTAACATCCCCTGAGTAACAGGAGCCATATAGACAGCTTTTAGTAAGAGACTAGGAAAAGACAAAGTTGTTTATTAGTAAGCTTCAGCTAATATTGTTTGTCAAAAACAGGAAATGATCCAGTGTCCATACCCAGATAATGTATGGGACACTCTAAAATTATATCTCTACTCAAAAATGAGAATTCAGAGTGAACATATTGTCCCAATACTGAAAATTCCCTTCCAAAAACTAAATTTACCTAAGGCAAAAGAGTTGGCATTTCCTTTTATTTCAAAGACCAATTGAACCAAATCCTCTTCTAACATAGAAGGGACTAGGTTAATGAGCCCAAAAACCTTTAAGTCAACATACATGAGACTTTTTAATCAGAACAATAAACTTAAGTACAGAAAGAAATGTTTTCTTCTTGGATTTCCCCTTCACTCTTTTCTACAATACAGTGCTGGCACTATAGTCATTCTTAAACTTCCTAAGCTTCAGTTTCCCCATCTATAAAATGAGAGTGAAAATAATCCTGACTGGCTCAAAGGGTTGTGGTTATGATCACATGACATCAGCAGTTGCTCCAACACATCCTTTGGCATCAAGTGTTAAATCAGAGACTATTTTTATAAACTTCAATAATAAATTGAGAACTGTCCCTTAGAGTTGCTCTCCCCTCCATTCTAAACCTGGTCCAAGTCACAATGAAAGCTTGAGTTAGGAAACAAGAGCTGGGCATAAGCACTTGATTTGTGCATCCCAAATGGGACGTTTCCAAGTTTCTTATATCTCAGTGTCTAAATTAGAGCTTCAAAAAAGTGCGAAAAGCTAAGGGGAGGTAAGCTGAATGGCAACAAAAAATACACAACAGAAGTTCATATTTCATTTGGTTCTTTTTATTAGAAATTGAGAATACAGCAAGTAGGGAAATCCCACATCAATGGAACCATCACACAGATCCCCTTCTGGAACCCCAGCCTTCTATGATCCCCAAAAATGTGCTTTGTGACTTTAGCAATTTATAAAGGGGAAGAGGGAAAATACTGAAAAAGGCCACTATTCAATGGTGAAAGAATGAAGCTGTAGAGGTCCCAACCAGCCTAGGGCCAAAAAAGAAAATTAAAAATCTGCACAGAGCAAGCAAGCCTCTGACTGCTGAGAGTAAGGCATTCAGGCGCCAACCTGGTGAGAGTTCTCAGCGAGCACTGTCAGGACAAGTGCACATGAGGCTGTTGGTAGTGAGTTGCACGTAGACGCACACATAGAAATGGGCACAAACATGCCCACATACACACCCAAAAGAGGGAGATCTTACTGGATTACACATCAGTGATGTTGATTTCATTTTTCCGAAAGGTTTGTGCTATGTTGAACCAGATTCTTCCAGCTTTGGGGTGTGGGTGACTGTGCCCAGAGGCTGCTACTTCTGTTGGTGTTGTGACAGGGCTGCATCTATACCCTGTATCCCAAAGTGCATGACCGAAGAGCAAGTCTGGCTTCTGATATGTGCTGTTGCTCCCATGAAACTAAGTGGGCTTCTGTCCAGATGGCCACTGTCCTATTGGACTATGGTTTCTCAAAGGGATTAACACTGTTTTTTATTCTGTCAGGCACTGCACCAGTTCATCCACTGAGTCTTTTACTTGGTCCACCTAGCACCCAGGGCAGTGACCCTCTCCAGAACCAAAATACTCAAGTTCTTCTCAACTTCTACACTAGATTCTTCCTTCCTGGATCCCAGCTTTTGCTGGAGATTGGAAGGGGAAGGGAGGAAAATAACTGAGAAAACTCTATTGAGTAAATAGGAGACCCTTCACATATTCCCAAACACCTATTGAAGATGCCAGTCCTCATGCTCAGGGCCTCACCATTTAGTTCTAATATCCACAATCCTAGGATATAATGGAGTCATCCCAAGTCTTTAATGACAGCAACCTAAGACTCAAGTGCTATTTTGGGGGTTCACCTATGGGCTAAGATCAGAATTCCATGAACCAGATCCTTACCCCACCACTTTCTCTGACACCGTATCAGGTAGGTCTGGGACATAAGCCATCGGCTTACCTTACCCCCTGGCAGTAACATACCATTGTCTTCAAAATGCCATACCACACTATCCCTGCAAAGTGGGGGTCAGTGAGTGCTGACAACTCCGATGGGTACTGCACCTGGCTTTAAAAGAGTTCTGCTGGCTTTCTTGTTCAAGGAGAGCCAAGATGTCTGTCATATCCAGGCTTACCAAGACAGTGTACCAGAGGTAAAACTCCTCTTTCCTAAATCCAAAGGAGGGTCTCCCAATCTATGTAGATGAGCTCAGGAGAAACCTGGACACGTCAGAATCTCATTTGTGGCTGGCTCCATGCCAAGAAGTATAAAGTATTTCTATTCCCTCGAGGAGGAAGAGTAGTTAGGGCAGTGATTTTTAATAGAGGGAATTCAGAGAGTGTTCCAGAGCTCCACAGCAAGGATATGGAAAACGGTCACATCCCTCTAGTAAGACTAACCATAAAAGTGAGCAGGATGCCAGGAAGTAATCGGATCAGCCATGCTAATGTTTCTGGAGCTCTTCCTTGGTCTCCAGCACCCCTTTACCAGCTGGTTAGAGTGCAAAGCTCTACAAGTCAGTCTCTCAAATGACAATGACACCCTAACTAGAGCTGTTATCTAGCACATCTTGGCAGCCATTCATGTGCTGCCTCCACCGAGAAAACACATACCACTCCCTTCTACCCCAGGCCCTCCAAAGGTTCTCAGGCTTAACAGTGGTCATGTGATCACTGGGCTAGGGCTATACTCTGCCTCACTAGGGTCCAAGGTATGTCAGCCTTTAGAAGGCACCTTGGTGCACCAAGACACTGTACATTCTGGGGCTATCACTTGATCCCCCTACAGTCACTTTTGTGCAAAATTCAACAGTGTGTGGTACCTGCATGTTTCATTCTATACAAAAATTCTCCCTCCCTCCCTTACCCTTATGTTTTAAACATTTATATAAAGTCTTATTTAAACAGTAAGTTAGAAATCTTATTTACATTAATTTCTTTGTTCTCCCAAAAGAGAATTTAAAATCACACTCCCACCCCTTATTGGATATAAATGTTCACCTAAATTGGTTTGTATTATTTTATACGGAAAGAGAAAGGGAGAAGAAAGAACCACCAGCTAAACTGTTTCGCCATCTTCTACAAATAAATACGATATGGATCAGAAGCCAGTTTGCCAAGGGTCTTCCAGAGCCCACAATTGGTAGATCCCAAGAATAAGCCAGGGTTTGGGCTGTGTCTCCTGTTCTCCCAACTGATGCACTCTGTCCTTTGAGGTATGATTTATTTTTGTTTTTCTCTTCTCAGTCATGTACCACACAGAGCCCCTGGGCCGTCACAAAGCCCACGAGGGTGTCAGAGTTTTGGGGCTCCTCTGATACTGGCATCAGTAGCCAGCAGAGAGGCCTGCAAGTGCTGCAGAACCTGGTTTAGGGTCACAGTCCCTGGCTACTGGTAGGTATCACAGTGCATCCTCTTCACTGCAGCCCCCACCGATCATGAAACGAAACTCCTGGAGGTTTGAGACACCATGGAAGTGAACAAAAGCTCCAGCAACCACAAAGATATGAAACAGCTGATGAGAGTGAAACTGGAGGGGGAAAAAGAGAGAAGGGGGTAGAGAAACCCATACATTATTAAGACTGCTAAAGATTCTTAGAATTGCTTAATCATGGTTTAAGCTGAGCAGAAGGCAGGGAATGGATACGACAGAGCTCAAATTCAAGATGTCCACAGATCCTGGAATATCCATTAGGTGTATCACATTCTGCTGAGCTGAAAGCCAGTTGTTCCCAAAGAAATCAACGTGGTGCCACTAACCTCTACAAATAAAAATCTACATACTTAACCCTGGAACCAGTGGCAAATGACATACAGACTCTCTTGCTAACAGGCCACAAAGGTCCCAAGGATCCCTTGACACCTAGCCATGGGCTATGATTACACATACAGTCCTTTTCCTACCCACTGCTGATGGACATTTTGTCACACACAAGAGGACTAGAGCTATGGTCATTTACATATTGCTCTCTATCAGAAAAACCAGAGGCTTCCAGGATCGAGTGTGGAAGGTCACAACATATGGTCCCTAGAATTTCCTTCAGTGCTATGATTCTGAAATTTCATGAACATAATGTACCAAAAGACTATACAAACAGGCCCTTTTACTTCTCAAGTCAGAAGCTGGTCTAAAGCCTGTGACATTATTTCTCGTTTTACATATTCTGTTGAATACTATTTCACATCTTAAGAAGGGTAATCAACAGCTCATTGTACTTCAAAAATTACACTATTCTCTCATTATAATCTCAAAAAAGTACAGTGGCAAAGCAGTATTTATCAAGAGAAAGATACTGATTTTAGAAGCAAAAACTAGAAGAAATCAAAAGTCACATCCCAAAGGATGCTTCTTAGGACACCAAAAGGGATTAATTTCTCCAAAGAAAGGGGATAAAGGGCAAAATCCCTCCATACCAATGTCAAAATTATGATGATACAATCAGAAAATTACCTGATTTGAAGCTAAAAAGATTGCTTAAGTTCAAGATCATCTTCATTTTACAAAGAGCTAAACTAAACTTAAAGAGATGAGATGATCAGCTTAGTCTATAATAATCAGCAATAGTCTGATGAACAGAATCCCAAAGGTCAGATTTCACATTAAACAGATTTCCAATTTTGTCCTGTGGAAAATGTTTCAGGCCCTCTTCAGTTATAAGTTTTCCCAACTATCTCAGTCCCTTATATTTTCTTTTCCCCCTTCTTTATCCTCCCCTCTTACCAATAACCACAATACAGTTCAATCCACTTCCCTCTTCTTCACAATCCTTCTGCTTCTACCAGACATATATACACTCAGTCTCTCATTACAAATCACTAAATTTTGGTATCAAAAAAAACCTTGGTAGAAATCTGGTCCTAAAAAGGACTCTGGTAAAAATCTGGTCTATCATCCTCATTTCATAAATAAGGAAACTGAGACAAAGAATGGCAAAATGACTTTCCATTGTCAAAAGGAGCACAGATTCTGATATTAAAACTAGCCTAATTCAAATTCCAGTTCTATCACTTACTAGCCACATGGCTTGGACAAGTGGCATCAGCTCCCTAAGCCTTAGTTTCCTGATTTGTAAAATGAAGACATAATGTAAGTTATCATACCATATAGGGTTAATGTATTAAATGAGGTAATCCATGCACAGGGCTAATGTATTAAATGAAGTAATTCATGCAAAGCACTCTGTACTATGCCAAGCATCAAGAAAGTGTTCACTAAATGTTAGTTACTATTGCTCTTATTGTCCAAGAAAGACAGCTAAATAGGGAGTTAGGACCAGATACAACTGTCCTAATTTTGTTTCTGAAACTTTTTCTATTGCATCACTCTGCAGTGTGCCAGTAACCCACAAGCACATACCTACACACACTCAGTCACCCCTGACATACTTACCCAGATGTCACATTTGCCAGGAAAGAAGCGTTCAGGGATCCGGGCAGCATACAGGGCAGCTCCTGTGATGTAGAGGCTGGCCATCAGCATCAACCAGCCTATCTGCCCTATGGTAGCAGCCTTGAGGAACCCCTCGGAGATGACATAGTGCAAGGTAGGAATGATTCCACTCAGGCCTAGGCCCAGAAACACTCCTAGGAGTCACAAGAAGAGAGAGTAAAGCAATGCAGAAGAGAAATAAAGAGCAAGTCAATACTACAGCACAGTACCATTAACTCTGTAAACTGAATATTTCAAAGTAGCATACAAAACTAGCTTCCAGTTTTAAAGGAAAAAGAAGGTTCTTCAAACTCTGGAACAATGTTGTACAAGACAACACAGCTATGTTCTCAAGATTACAAATGCAAGGAGCCAACCGGACGTGGTGGCTCACACCTATAATCCCAGCAATTTGGGAGACCGAGGCGGACGGATCATCTGAGGTCAGGAGTTCAAGACCAGCCTGGCCTAACATGGTGAAACCCCAACTCTACTAAAAATACAAAAAATTAGCCAGGCATGGTGGCACATGCCTGTAATCCCAGATACTCGGGAGGCTGGGCAGGAGAATCACTTGAACCTGGGAGGTGGAGGTTGCAATGAGCTGAGATCACACTACTGTATTCCAGCTTGGACAACAAGACCAAAACTCCATCTCAAAAAAAAGCAAGGAGCCTTGCTGAGAGAGGCTTAGCTTAATAGGTCAGCAGTCTTCAAGGATTTTGAATTAATGTTGCTAAATTTTTTGGAAAGGACACCTCCAAGAGTTTATTTAAAACTGTCCTAGCCTGTCCTTTTACAGACACAGGTTTCAACACAAGCAGTTTTACATATCTCATCTTCTCTTTGAAACAACAGATGTTCCTCTCCATTCATTGTGAAGAGGCAATGAATGATCATCATATCACCTGGTATCGCCTATTTTTAATAGTAATCTAAAGCTTGGCACAGTGGCTCACGCCTGTAATCCTAGCACTTTGGGAGGCCGAGGCAGTCAGATCACTTGAGGTCAGGAGTTTGGCCTGATCAACATGGTGAAACTCCATCTCTACTAAAAATACAAAAATTAGCTTGGTGTGAGGGTGCATGCCTGTAATCCCAGCTACTCAGGAGGCTGAGGCAAGAGAATTGCTTGAACCTGGGAGGCAGAGGTTGCAGTGAGCCAAGATCATGCCACTGCACTCCAGTCTGGGCTACAGAGCAAGGCTCCATCTCAAAAAAAAAAAAAAACAAAAACAAAAAAATTTAATGTAAATCTATGACCTATAACTGGGTATTTAAAAATTTTTAAATGCCTTTAACAAATGACCTAACAGGAGGAGGAGGGGGAGATAAATGTTTCTGAAAGCTCCCAGGCCCCTAAAGAGCAAGCAAGTTTGGAAGTCTGGCAAATCACTCAGCCACAGCCCTACTGCCTAACTGCATCCAAGAGCATCTAAAGTAATGTTTCTTAAACTTCTGGATATGACCTAAGTTTTAAGATCAATTAAATGAGTCTCAACCAGCATTTTTTAAAATGAACTAGAATAAAATTTAAAATATCAGACTGTAACATAAGTGGAGGATTAAATATTATTTTGTAAAAATTGTGTACTTTATACATACATGAACTTAGGTATAGATACACCTGTTCAGGACTGTAATAGACAATGTCATGATAAAAAAAAAAAAACTGAAGTCCACTGATCAAATCCGCTTTGAAACCTGTGTTGCCAAAGCAACACAGGAACTCCTGGCCTCAGCCAGTAACTACTCCTACATTTTGACACAGTTAACAACGACCCTTGCAAAACAAGCTGTCATGTGATAAGCTTTCTCAACAGATAAATAGCCTATTGCTTGCTCTATTTATTTGCCACTACCAAATAAACTGAACTGCTGATATACAGCAATATATGTAGGCACAGATACAGGATGCATACTCACAAATAAAATGGGCATCTAAAAGAGAAGAGGAAAATGGTAAAGCTGCTCTCACAAAGATAAGAACCAAGCACACCTAAAGAAAAACAATTTCCTACCTCTGCTCCTCTAAGGAATTATTAACATGATGTTCCTTCACTTGTTCTTTTCCTCTACATGCTAAGCAAATGCTGCTAATGGTTTCTGCCTATCATTCTCTAAGTCAAAGGCTCAGGAACTTGGTTTTTCTGATGTATATAAATAGCAGAATGCTCAGTTCTACTCAGCAGACATTCTTATCTCATGTGCTCAAGCAGGTTTAACACCACTGTACTACTCTAGTACTGCTGAAAGCTGGCCCTGACCAATGCTCATTTCCTCATATGAACACAAGAAGGAGGAGGGCAGAGTATTGTAACAGTCACTAACATGAAGTTACTTCCATATCTAACTTTCCAGGTACTTGCAGATGATCCAGAAGTTAGATCTTAATACTAAATGGTTTTTGAGGTCTTTTTAAAAAATGAAAGGAAAAATACTCCTTGTTCATTCTCAGTAGGCACTGAGTTTTGACACTGAAGATAGAAAACTGAAGGCACACCCCTGGCTACAAGGAGTCCCCAGTTCGATGGGAGACAAAAACATCTCTGCTAACTCCATATCCTACAAGAAGACTCAGCCAAGGCACCGAGGGGCTTGTGGCTTTCTCTATGATCTCCAGCTAAACAGCCATTATCCTAAATATAAAAAGCCCCTTAACCCTGTACCAGCAGGGAGATATAGTGCCCACTTGAACAAAACACTATCAGTATGGAAGTGAAGGCTTACTTAAGTGTATTATCCATTATAAAACAAAAATATAAAACACAGAAAATGACAACAAAAGAAGAATCAATCACTACAAAAAGTACACTCCTGCTGAATAAGAGAAATCATTGTTTACTTTACAAAAGTTACAGACTACCACTTTCTGGATGATGTTTAGTCATAAATTCAAGTAAATAACACTCCCAAATTACATCACCTCATACTCACCACAGCCCCTCAACTTTAATGTTGTAAGACAATTAATGAACACTACTTAGTAGTACTACTACTATATTAAAAACCCCTCAACAACAGGAACTAGGATTTATTCATCTTGGCATCACAAATACACAGCATTATGTTTGGCAAATGGGAGAACTTTAATAAATGACTAGTGAATAAATGAATGTCAAATGTAGAACCTCGGCATGCTCTTACCTGCTCTTACTCCCCGATACTGAGGGGTAGCAAACATGTCCCACTGGGAGACTATAATGGCTGCAATGCCCAGCACACAGATGACAATCAAGTAGATGAAGCAAGGTTGTGGATTACAGTAGAAAGAATAATAAAGCCAAGGAACAAAACTTCCCATAATCAAAAGAGCAATACCAGAGTAATCCAGTCTATGACAGAAAAAAAAAAAATCCATTTAATGCAATAATTTAAAAATTACTAGCCACTACAGGTTCCAATTAATCCCTCATGACATAAGTGATCAACAACAGCTAAGAGGCAAACTGAGTTGCACTTTAATTTTTTTTAAGTTTCCATGAGATAGTATTAAGAATTCTGCCAACTCTGCTGAATGTTCTTCCCTAATGCATTATCTCTAAATCATTGACCAAAATATGGATTTTAGAGATACTTACTTAGAGAAGATCCGGGAGACCCCCTCTGAGTGGCAGTAGACTGTGTGGAAGAGCCATGAAAAAGAAAGGCAGAGAATGGCTCCTAAGAAAAATAATCCAAAGACCACCTTCTCTTGCAGAGGGGCCACAAAGGAGATATTTGGGCGAAACATATAAAAGATCCCCAGGCACAAGAAGAATACACAACCTAGGAAAAAGATATAGAAAATAGATAAAATATCACCCTTCAGAAGAGACAGAATTATATACTGATTCTGTTTTCAATCCTTCAGAATTACAACAATTTCTGAATCAAAAGTTCCATGAGAAAAATTTTCCAAATAACTGAAGCTTATCCAAAATTGTGGTTTACTTCCCACATTGTTGGTATAATAAATAGTTCAGCTTCATAAACTGAGATAAAACTTACCTAAGGGCATAATCTAAAAAGAAATCAGACAGTGCTGCTACTTCTTAGAAGACATAATGAAGCCACTTCTACCTCTAGATGTAGAATGAGGTTTCATTTATAAAGATTTTGGCACATACATCATAGCCCAGCTTTCAAAGGTCCATTGTGCTTTTGCTTCTGTTTTTACAATAAATTCCAATACCCCTAAACCCTGCCAAGACATACAGCTTTCCTCTACCAATAGCGGTCAGAGAGCATTAGGTTGCTTCTCTGGTCCTCACCAGCTGGCTCAGTGGATTCAAGATGTAAGAACCATAAAATGCCTACTCAGGCCATTTCCTAACCAATTCTTAAACTGTTCTCCAAAGAAAGATGCCATGTTCCTATTGCTTAGGGAAGGGCTACCTAACACAAGGAAGGTACAGAAATTTCAAGTTCAACATTTGCTACGTGATTCTATCATTTTAATTAAAACTCACCCTTGAATTAAAAGTCAACAAGAAACTTGATTTGACTCTCTACTCTCAACTACACTAACAGACAGGAACTTAGAGGCACCATGGAAATCAAATGTGTGATAAGAAATACAAGTCAAATGGAGTAAGGCCAAAAACTAGTATATTTTCAAAAGGTTGTACAATCATCGCCACTACCTAATTCCAAAGTATTTTCATCACCCCAAACAAAATACTATACCTGATATCATCCCCCATTGCCCACTCCTCACAGTCCTAAACAACTGCTAATCTACTTTCTCTCTTTATGGATTTTCCTGTTCTAGACATTTCATGCATGCAGAATCAAACAACATGTGACCTTTTGTGTCTGGCTATTTCACTTAGCGAATGTTTTCAAGGCTCCCCCATGTTGTGGCATATATCAGTGCTTCACCCCTTTTTGCGGCTAAATAGTGCTCCAGTGTATGAATATATCATATTTTGTTTATCCATTATCTGTTGACAAGACATCTGGGTTGTTTCTACTTTTTAACTATTGTGAATAACGTTGCTGTAAACTTTTGTGTACAAGTTTTTATGTGAACATATTTTCAGTCATCTTGGGTAATATACTAGGGGTGGATTTCTGGTAACTCTGTTTAACTTTTTGAGGAACTGCCAAACTTTTCCATAGGGACTGCCCCATTTCACATTCCTACTGGCAATGTATGAAGTTTCCATTTCCCCACATCCTTGCCAAGACTTGTTTTTCATTATAGCCATCCTAGTGGGTGTGAAGTGGTGAGATTTCTCAATGCATTTCTCAAAGCATTTGATTTGCATCTTCTTAAATGCCTAATGATGATAAACATCTTTTCATGTGCTTATTGGCCATTTGTAGATCTTCTCCAGCAGAACATCTATTCAGATTTTTTACCCATTTTTAAAACTGGTTATCTTTATTGTTGAGTTATAGATTAGATCCTTACCAACTAGTTGATTTGTAAATATTCTCTCTCATACTAAGAGTTGGTCTTTTCACTTTCTTAATAATGCACTTTGATATAACAATGTTTTTAATTTTGATGAAGTCCAATTTATCTATTTTTTCTTTGCTTATGTGTTAGGTGGCAATTCTAAGAAACAGTCACCTAATCCAAAGTCACAAGGATTTGTATCTGTTTTCTCCTACAGATTTTATAGTTTTTGCTCTTATGTTTGGGTCTTTGATCCATTTTGAGTACACTTTTGTATATGATGTGAGTTTGGGGTCATTCTTTTACATATGATCAGCTGTCCCAGCACCATCTGTTATAGTTCATATTCTACTTCAGACCAAACTAAAAATTAACACTGCGTATAAGTAACGAATTTGAAAATATCAGATTACTTCTATTAAATACTATATTCTTCTCAATGGTCACTAAAATATGAAATCACATTTTGTATAGCAACTTTTTCTTGGCCTGGTTTGAAGACAGTATCTGAAAATCCAGTAGAGAGAAATGTGACTTAAGTTGTAACAAGATCATAGTGCAAACCAGGATAGTCTAGGAGTAAATCAGTGAGAAAATTCATCATTAGAAATTCAGAAAACAAAATGGCAAATCCAAATACATTTCTGAAGTTCTATCCCTTACCCTCGAATACATGAATATAAAAAGGAATAAAATGAATTGCCAGCTCATTATATCGCTGACCTTACATACCTAAGAGATGTGTCCAGATGTTGCCGGTTTCTGTGTGTATTCTGAAAATGCTCTTAAAACAGGCCCGGAAAGAAGGCATAGGAGGTCGGTGTCCATGTAAAAGAAAGTCGTTATCCTTGAGCCAGTCTGGTAGTACATCATGAGGGATCACTCGCCACCGACCTTCCCATACCTGCCAGAGGAGTATTATCAAACATCTTTGTGATTTTAGTTGTCAACTTAGCAACACTGAACCCAACAACTATGTCTTACCACATTGCTTCACAATGGTAAAAATAACTCATTTTTTCAAAGGCAAGTATCTCAAAATATATAATGTCTTATATTCCGAGTTCTTTAAAAAGACTAATGAAAAAGATATTTTTAAGTAGGGGCCTTAGGAAAAGGAAAAAGTAAACAAATGTATAGAACATGCCCTAAAGAGTGGTTTCAAGCTTTGTTTCAGTCTGGCTGACAGTGGGTTGAAGTTTCCAAAGTCTCACTCATACAGGCCCCCTTCACCCTATATAACAGACTTTACCTCTGATAAATCCCTGTGGTATTAAATATGAACATCTTTATATTTAATATTTCTGTTGGTAAAAAAAGAATTCCATAGACTCACACTTCTGTGCCTTTTGCTAAAATCTCTCCCTCCACCCTACTCTTTCTTCTCTTCCCACTACGCAAATATGATAAAGCATAAAAGAAAGTATAGGACTCAGAAAATTGTGGATCCCTGACATTAACTAACTGCATGATTTTTAATTAACTATAAAACCTCCAAGCTGCTATTTCTTCATTTGTAAAATAGCGCTTCAGTTACTTCATAAGGAAATCATGAAGATCAAACAAAATGACACAAAGTATTTCATGAATTAATTAGTAATCCCTAGCATCTACTCCAAGGCAGTACATGACTAACCCCAGAGGCTATCACCTGTCAGAGAGTTAGTGACAAACCCACCGTTCTCATGCTGCAGAGAGATGGCAAAGAAGCTCAGCCTTAACTGCCCTTCCAGTTCCTCAGTGCCCTTTCCTCCCTTTTCCTCATGGTCCCTCCCACATCAGATTCTAGAGGAAAAGCGATCAGGGAGCCAATATCCCTTCTGTAGGAAGTCTGTCAATCTCTGCACTCTGCTTCTTTTAATGTCTCAAAGTCCCAAGAGTTCACACCACAAGGACTACTTAATCTTGAACTAACTTGCTTCTGCTAGAACGAAAGATGCAAGGAAAAATGCCAGGCACATGGTCTATCTTCCAACTAATGTGGGCTCAGCAATCCTTCCAGTCTATCACCCTATAAAGCAAGAATCCAGGCTAACAATCAGCAAGATTCACCTTGAGACAATGACATCCACCCTCCCCCCTACAGGGGTCTTGTGACAAACAATATGGCTAAACCACTGAAACTTGCTCTCTACTCTATGGAAAGACTGCCACTTACTCGCCAGCCACTGTGCCCATTCCTTTTGCTCCACAACCTGTTTCTTGTTCTCTGCTTTGTGTAACATCTCTACCTCCAAAGGAAGTGAGGACTAACAATTTAAGAACAGATGTGTCCCTCTTAACACTCTATCCAAACTAGCCACCCCGCTGCCGCCTCTTCCTTGCTCTTTCTGTTCCCAGCCCGCATACCTGTCCTCCCTCCCTTCCAACTCAAAACTTGGGGCCTACAGTTTCTGCAGTTAATCTGGTTATTCTATGCTTGTTCCTAACATATGATAAAATAAAATAATGCCAAAAGACTAATCTAGATTTTTAACATCTACTGCCAATAGTACTACCACTTACAAAAGTATGAGATTTTTCATGGGACTTTATGGAGAGAAAGAAAGAATAGGGATCAGGGATCTAGTATCCCTTCTGTTGGAACTGCTGGATGTCTGTCAACCTCTGCAGCCTGCTTCTTTTAGTGTCAGAGAGAGAGGCCAAGATAATGCATTTTTTGCATTAAACTTGAATTTGGGAAAAGACCACTATTGTTGAGATTAACCTTACAAAGTGTTACTACTATCTTACTTTAGGGAATTTTTCTCCCCTGAAATGGAGTCTTGCTCGGCTCACTGCAACCTCCACCTCCCAGGTTCAAGCAATTCTCCTGCCTCAGCCTCCCGAGTAGCTGGATTACGAGTAATGGGACACCACATCCAGCTAATTTCTGTATTTTTAGTAGAGAGCGGGGTTTCACCATATTGGCCAGGTTAGTCTCAAACTCCTAACCCACCCGCCTCAGCCTCCCAAAGTGCTGGAATTAGAGACAGGAGCCACTGCACCCAGCAGGGAATTTTCTAAGAGAAAGAGGAGGATAGAAAAGATGTAAGGATTGCCTTACATCTTCAAGGCAATTCACAATGTGCAAACAGCTCTGCTGTATCAAAAGTGCTACTCTGCTACCCCACACAGTCAGAAGAGTCATATGTTCCCTTTGTACATTCGAAAAGAATATGTGAGTTTCTTACTGGTTATGTATGCATATAATTTCAGAGTGATTTTCCCTGTTATTTCTAAACAAACGTTCTAGTGGTCTACATACTGAGTCAAAGAGCTATACTTTCTTAATTACACTGCAATTAGTGACACGTTCAATAGACAGTGCACCCTCATTCTCAACCTGGAGTCACATACAGTCAGCCAAATTCTAACACAAATAGATATTCTTGTTTATCCCCTAGAATTAAAAAAAAAACAGGATCACAGCTTAGCCAAAGACATATTTATATACAAGCTTGACAAAGACACTGCCTACCTTCAAATACCTTATCAATAATCCCCTGGGTATTTGAGTATATTAAGACCATAAAATGCACAAAAATGTTCCTGAAAAAAAAAAAAAACAAATAGTGTGTGACTCATGCCTGTAATCCCAGCACTTTGGGAGGCCAAGGTGGGCAGATCCCAAGGTCAGGAGATCCAGACCAACCTGGCCAACATGGTGAAACCTCGTCTCTACTAAAAATACAAAAATTAGCTGGGCATGGTGGAGCGTACCTGTAATCCCAGCTACTCAGAGGGCTGAGGCAGGAGAATCACTTGAGCCAGGGAGTCGGAGGTTCCAGTAAGCCGAGATCATGCCACTGTACTCCAGCCTGGCAACAGAGCAACACTCCGTCGCAAAACAAGCAAACAAACAAACAAATTGCCCACAGCACACATCCTATTCCCACATGGGCCCGGTTATGCTGGTAAATAGCAAAAACTGAAGTCTAGGAGAAAAAAGAGTGACCAAGATCAAACATGAAAACAAAGACTAAATTATCCACAGCACATTTCACATTAAACTGTCTCTGTTTACTTGCTTCCAATCCAAGAAATAGAATCCCTGTGTCATTAGATATGGCTTGTTTTCAAGTGTGGTCAGTTGCACTGCCATGTCAGGGTAGAGCCACACCAGAGAACACTGTGTAATAGGATGCCTCTTCTTTCTGCTGTCATAAACAAACTGTAAGGGATATTTACAACATTCCTCTTTCTTCAGTAGATCATAGTTTGTAGGAAACAAATGTTCTGCCCTATTTATTCTCCCATTCACTATTAAATTTAGAGTTTTATTTGCTTTATTCTTTGCTTTATTCTTTGCTCTCTGTTCAGAAAGGTAGGACAAAAAGGCAGTTAAGTCAGCTACAGTTCCCCGCTGATATATAAATATTAAAATTCCCTAATGGCCCAGATACTAAATTTGCCAACTTTGAGAGATTTCTTCACACCAAATTTCCGTTTTAAAAAACAAAATAATTGTTTGTATCCCTTTGTGCTATTTATCCTGAGACAGTGATCACTAGAATGAATCTACCGTTTTGTTCAGTTGTTTCTTATTTTCAAAATGGCTAAAATTTTCTATTACAGACCCATAAATGTTTAAACTCCCCCTGAAACCTACTGGACCCTTAGTCTTGGAAAGGATGTCTATGTTCAGATCACAATGTTCTCTTTTCATACCCTGATCCAAAGTATAGTATTCTAAGTCCACTGATCCCAATTACTTCCAGCATCACTGTGAATGTAAGAAAACCTACGTTTAGTTTCCTGGATCTAAGACCATGTGCATAAAAAGTTTTGGTTTCATAAAAGTCATGAAAAGCTAAGTGTCACAAAAATTTCTCTCTAAATAATAAAGAGTTCTCCAGAAATGTTTAATAAATCAATTTATATACACATACACATACAGACAGACTGACTTATGTTGTTTAGATCCTACCTGCCAGGGCCCTTATTGATCTGATTGATCAAGTACCTACAAGTTTACCAGTGTGTCTATTTTCTCTAAGCAGGCAAAGTTAATTATAGTTACTACTTTAGAAAAAAAGAAAAAAGGATCCCATAATAGGTCCTAGGCAATCAGACAATGAACTGGAAGAAAAAACCTTTGAGACTGAATATACCAGCTGTACTGAAAATACCAATGTGCATGAAAACTGGAAAATTTTTCTCTCAAGAGTAGCCTGATTACCCATAGAATCTCTAGAAAGAACAGAACGTTTACCATTGCAGTCAATCAGCAGAACAGATTCAAGGGACCTGAGGAGGGCATTTTAATATCTCCAGGTGTCAACCACCCCTGATTATGTTTCATCCTCTTTGTCTAAACCATCAATAAGACATTTACTCCATTAACCTACATTAGGAAATGTTTGTTTCCCAGCTGGTTATCCTAATTTTATCAGAGCTTTACCATGGCTACTGCAAGCAAACAAATGTGTCTTCAATAGGGTTACAGTCCCAAGACCACTTCTGTCCCCATCTTGCCACACATCTTCACCAAAGCAAACCAAAGGCTACAGTACTACCACTCTCTTTAAAGGTTTCTGTTCGGGAAGGGCTACTATATAGCATGACAATTACAAGAAATTGCACTCTTACCTTACAAACAAATTCTTCCATTTTTTCCATAGCATGATGGGCTTGTAAGAGAGGGGACATGCCCATAAACCCCTCATCTTCCTGAGGAGCTTCATCACTGCACTCGTGTTCCTCAGAGCTCTGCAAGGCAATCACATAAGCAGTCAAGGACAGAGACTGGGAGCCAAATGGCACAATCAATACATTTTCCTTACAGAATTAAAATTTAAAAAAATATTTTTTTGAGACGGAGTCTCACTCTGTTCCCTGGAGTGCAGTGACACGATCTTGGCTCACTGCAATCTCCGCCTCCTGGGTTCAAGCAATTCTCCTGCCTCAGCCTCCCGAGTAGCTGGGACTACAGGCGCGCACCACCATGCCCAGCTAATTTTTGTATTTTTAGTAGAGATGGTGTTTCACCATGTTGACCAGGATGGTCTCGATCTCTTGACCTTGTGATCCACCCGCCTCGGCCTCCCAAAGTGCTGGGATTATAGGCGTGAGCCACCGCACCTGGCCTTATTAAGTGATTTCTATGCATCAGGCAGTGTTCCCATGACTTTACATGCACGAAGTTATTCTCGCTACAACTGGTGAGACAAGAGGCATACTATTACATACTCCATTTACAAAAAAGGAAACACTCAGCTCCTCTGGGCTCAGCTTTACCCTGCTAAAATTTCTATTGGTCTGGGAACTTACGTATATGCATTATGAAAAGAAAACCATGATCCTTGGCTCTCAATCTTTAAGTGTGCCCCACAATCACATGAGGGAGCTTGTGACAAATACAGATTCCAACTGCAGAGATTTCAATTTTAGAATATTTAGTTTCTAATACTCTTTCTAAAAAACCTTTCCATTTCATAAGGAATCAAAGAGACTAACCTCTCCATCACCTCAAATAAGGAAGGGATTCCTATGCACAGGTAAATTTAATCTAACTGTACACACAGATATTTTATTTAATGTTACTTGAGAGCCAATTCCATAACTACACTATCACCTATCACAGGGTCTCTTTTTCCACAATTCTGATCACCTATGGAAATAATCTAATTTCAAATGTATTAAAGGCAAATAAGCAATGAAATTGCCATATCGCATTTTTGACAATAAACCAATGAAAAGAAATTGCCCCTTTGAAGAGAAAAAGTATTACCATCCCCCTGACAAGAGTCCCAGAGTACAATACACATACATTCACATAAAACCTCAGTTTCCTCATCTGTAAAACTGATTCTAATATCTATTCCATAAGGCTACTTTAGGAACGAATAATATATTCAAAAGGGCTCAAAAAATTGCTTCACACATTGTGAGAGATCAATAAACGTGAACCACCATTATTCTGAAATAGTAAGAATGCATTTATTAGCCGGGCGCGGTGGCTCAAGCCTGTAATCCCAGCACTTTGGGAGGCCGAAGCGGGTGGATCATGAGGTCAAGAGATCGAGACCATCCTAGTCAACATGGTAAAACCCTGTCTCTACTGAAAATACAAAAAATTAGCTGGGCATGGTGGCGTATGCCTGTAATGCCAGCTACTCAGGAGGCTGAGGCAGGAGAATTGCCTGAACCCAGGAGGCGGAGGTTGTGGTGAGCCCAGATCGCGCCATTGCACTCCAGCCTGGGTAACAAGAGCGAAACTCCGTCTCAAAAAAAAGAAAAAAGAATGCATTTCTTATATCTAAGATTAAAGAAGATTAGTTAACCTTCCCTAAGCATCTAAATAGTATACCTCCCCATGCGCTCCTTTTGTACATCTCTTTATAGAAACTATTTGAAACCATTTAGGCACAGAACTTTAAAATTGTTGGTGATAAATTCATTCAACAACTATTTGTTATACGCCACTCAAAGACTAACCAGCTTAGACTCTGAGGATATGGTGGGGTGGGGGTGGGGGTGGGGGGGCACCAAAAAGGCAACATTCTTACCACCAATGGAACTGAAGAGTCTACAAGCAACACCAATTATTAAACATAAATATATAAGCTTTATATATTTGTTTTATACATTTTTATAAAATATGTTTTAAAATAAAATATAAGTCACACAAATATATGTTTTGATTTGCACTGCAATGAAAAATAATAGGTGATTAAAGATAACAATGGGAAACCTGATACAGAATGAAGTAGGGGTAGAGAACTTAACCTGAATACTGAAGGATGAGCAGCAGTTAGCCAGAGGTGTGGGTGTAAGAGCACTCCAGGCAGAGGAAAGAGCCATGTTTGAAGGCTCTGCTGAAAAGAATCCAGCCTGTTTAAGAAACTGAAATAAGGCCAATGTGGTTGCAGCTCAGTGAACATGGAGAAGACTGTCCTGAAATGAAGTTGGACAGATAAAGGGAGCTGTGAGATCAAGCAGAATCCTACAAGTTATAGAAAGGATTTGGGATTTTACCCTAAGTGCAACGGGAAACAAATGAATTTTTAAAATGGGAATGGCATAATAAACTTTGCTTTTTTTTTTTTTTTGAGATGGAGTCTTGCTGAGTCTCGCAGGCTGGAATGCAGTGGCACAATCTTGGCTCACTGCAACCTCTGCCTCCTGGGTTCAAGTGATTCTCTTACCTCAGCCTCCTGATTTGCTAGGATCGCAGGTGCTCACCACCACACCCAGCTAATTTTTGTTATTTTTAGTAGAGATGGGTTTAACCATGTTGGCTGGGATGGTCTCGATCTCTTGACCTATTGATCTGCCCACCTCAGCCTCCCAAAGTGCTGAGATTACAGGCGTCAGTGCCATCACACCCAGCCTAAACTTTGCAATTTCAAGAGCTCTCTCTAGGAACTGTGTGAAGAATATATTGGGACTGTACAAGAAACAAAACAGAAAGTCCTGTCAGGAGGTCTATTTCAGATGGGAGATGGGAGATGGTGGTGGCTTAAAGTAATGGCAGCACAGATGATGAAAAGACCATTTTAAGTTAAATTGACACAACTTGAGTTTTATAATAAGTTTGAATTTAGCTTCTATTTCCAAATTCCTCAAAGAGGTTAATACTTAAAATCCTCAGCTAAAGCTAACCAAGGCAGATCTCTTAATAAAAGCTCAGAAGTTAACTATGATGAGATACCATTTTGCACCCACTAGGATAGTTATATTCAAAATATAGTAACAATAGTTAGTGTGGGTGTGGAGAAAGTGGAACCGCCACACATCGCTGGTGGGAATACAAACTGGTGTGGCTGATTATGAAAAACAATCTGGTGGTTTCTCAAAATATTAAACACAGAGTTAACATATAACCCAGCAAAATCCCTCCTGAGTATATACCCAACATAAATGAAAACAAGTCCACACGAAATTTTGTACATGAATGATAATAGCAACATTTTTTGCAACGGTCAAAAAGTGGCAACAACCCAAGTGTCCATCAATTAATTATTAGACAAACAAACTATAGTATGGTAATTCCCCCTCATCCACAGGAAATATGTTCTAAGACCCCCAGTGGATGTCTGAAATCATGGATAGTACAGGACCCTATATATGCTGTGTTTTTTCCTATACATACATACATATGATGAAATTTAATTTATAAATTAGGTAAAGAGATTAACAATATTCAACAATAAAACAGAGCAATTATAACAATACACTATTTTAAAAAAGGTATGTGAACATGCTCTCCCACTCAAAATATCTTAGTGTATTGTACTCACACTTCTTGTGATCTGTGACCTTATAGCCCAGACAGGTACTAAGTAACTAAGTAGCCAGCCATCTGCAGCATAGATATGCAGGAGAAAGGAATGATTAATTTACTGGGTAAGGAAGAGAGGGCAAGAAGGTGTGAGACTTCATCACACCACTCAGATCAGCACAAAGTTTAAAACTTATGAATTATTTCTGGAATTTTCCATTTAATATTTTCAGTTCTCAGTTGACCTGGGGATAATTGAAACCACAGACTGAAACCACAAATAAGAAAGGACCTCTGTATATCCATACAATGAAATATTATTCAGTCATAAAGTAAATGCAGTACTGGTACATACCACAATATTGATAAACCTTAAAATCATTATGCTAGAAGCTAGACACAAACACCATGTCTTATGATTCCATTTATTAAAAGTCCACAATAGACAAAGACATAGTGACAGAAAGTACAGTTGAAGCTGCCTAGGGTTGGGGGTAAAGATGAGAAGTGATGGCAAATGGGTTAAGAGGTTTCTTTGGGGGATGATGAAAATGTCCTAAAGTTAGACTGAAGTGATAGTTGTACAACGCTGTGACAAATAAAACTACTGAATTGTACACTTTAAATGGGTTAATTTTATGGTATATAAAATTTATCTCAAAAAAAAAATTTTAAGGGTCAACTGAGAGTAAATGTGGCCTTTTCCTTTAACAGTAAATAAATCTAGCTTTATTTCCCTAATAATCCTCAGAGAATGTGTTAAGATTTCTTTGCAAAGCATGTTCCTAAGAATGTTTAAATACATTAACTATTTTAAATAAAATATTTAGGCACTGGTTTTAGTGGTTGTTTTTTGTTCCCCCCTCCCTCTTAGCTATCTCCTATAGGAAGGAGGTTGGGGTTTGTTTTGTTTTGTTTTGTTTTCCCAGAAACGGAGACTTGCTCTGCCATCCAGGCTGGAGTGTACTGGCGCGATCTCAGTTCACTGCAACCTCCGCCTCTGGGGTTCAAGGGATTCTCCTGCCTCAGCCTCCTGAGTAGCTGGGATTAGAGGTGCCTGCCACCACACCTGGCTAATTTTTGCATTTTTGGTACAGATAGGGTTTCACCATGTTGGCCAGGCTGGTCTTGAACTCCTGACCTCACGATCTGCCCGCCTCAGCCTCCCAAAGTGCTGAGATTAGAGCTGTGAGCCACTGTGTTCAGCCAGGAAGGATGTTTTAAAACAGCAGTGAGCATCTTAGTCATGAAAAAAAAAAAAATACATATATCCAGGATCCAAAGACTCTGATTCAGCAGGACTGGAATAAATCCTGGCCTTTGTATTTTTCTATAAAGGGCAGTATGTGATCAGGTGCGCACTGCTAATAGGTTTACTGATTTAAAGAAACTTGATGGTAAATTAAGACTTGTACAAAAAGATAATCCGTCTGTAATATACTTAATTACCTTAAATCTTACTTCATAAATTCAGACTTCCACTTAA